GTATAGCCACGCAATCATGAAATTGTGAAAATTTCAGCATTTGTAGAAATTTTTTATGCAGATTCAGAATAATATACACCTTTAAAGGCTTAGATATTTTAAGACTTGTTTTTTTGAGATAATTAATTTTTTGGGCCCTTGTTTTGAGCCATTTTTTAATGGTGGTTAAACGTCTCCTACATCCATTACTGATTCTCGTAAGGCTACAATGACCTATATTTTCTTATTCTACGTTCTTTTAGTTAGTAAATAAGAGCTGTTTTAACAAAATTGGTGACATGAAAAATATTAAACATAATAAATAAAAACCTGCAAAAACTTAAATACTTTGCGAAAAAAGATATTTTTTATACTCTTGTTTTTAATGAATTGAAGCAGTTCTCTTTATTGTGAAAATTAAAAAAAATACTCTCACTCCAATAATAATTACAGTGATTTCTTTTAATTGATAAAGCATTATGTTTTTCATTCAAATGTGTAGAGTTAAGAATAAAAATGCGGGTAATTTGCACAAGGAAATGTATCTGATACATCCTTCCTTTCTTTTGCAAATGGAACTAATCTTTAATGCGTTTGCAACGCACCAGTTTTTTTTTCTTCTCTTAAATTGCGTCTTCCTTCGCAACTGACTAGACTCACCTCTATCATTAGAGGCTGCAAAGCTGAGGCTATAAATACAGATAATTTTTATTCAGTCGCAAACTGGCTCTTGCACTTTTGTTTTTCTGTCTGCGTAGCCGTAGATATGCCAGCCTTTTTAATTAGTTCACTGTGATAAAACCTGGCAGAAGAACAGTTTTGTGATGTCGGCAATTAACATAAAGATTGCAGCGCTAATATATTTCTTTAAATCAAATGACGCAATTTAAGTCGTGTTGCATTCAAACGTGTAGAAAAATATTGCCGCAATTTCCTTACAAAATACGGACTTTTTGCAATAATATAATGTAAAATTTAACTTTCTAAAAAGAAATCGCTATACTTTACACGCGTATATACAGGGTATGTCCAATCTGTATTACTCTTTTTCTTCTCTAAGAAGCATGGTAGAAATACTAAGTCCAGGAATGGGAATTCTCTCTTGTCTAACATATTGTAAAATTCAGCACGTAGCAATTTGGTATTTATATTTAGGTGCTGTTTTCTATGTTTTATCTTTGATCGTGACTCAAATTTCTAAACATGTAAACATACCTGCTTTTTTCGTAGATTATCTGAAAAGATATTATCGAATTGTTCTTCGTAATTTTGGTATTAGCATAAAATGTAAATTTTTCAAGGATTATTTAATAGTTTTACCAAAATCCTTAATTTTCATGAGTATCAGTACGGAAAAAAGTCGAAAAATACCCATTTTCAGAGGCCTTAAAGAGATAGTAAACACAGCGATAAAATTATAAAAATTTTAGCATTTGTAGGAAATTTTATGTAGATTAGACTTAATATACAACAATTTAAATTTTATTTGTCTTGGTTTTGTGAGAAAACAAATTTTTTGGACCATTGTTTTGAGCTATTTTTGATGATGGTCAACACGGTCTACTACATCCAGTACTGTTCTCGTAAGACTACAATGACCTATATTTTCTTAGTCTACGCCTTTCGATCAGTAAATGACAGCAGTTTGAATAAAATCGGTGACAGGAGGAAAATCGCCAATTTTCATGACTAATATGGTATCGAAAAATGCCGAAAAATGCCCATTTTCGACTGTTTTTTACACATTTTCAAAGGCCTTACAAAAATAGTAATCATAGCCATACAAGTATGAAAATTTCAGCATTTGTAGGAAATTATATGTAGATTCAGAATATAAGGTCTTAGATATTTTGGTTTTATAAGAAAATTAATAATTGTTTGACCCCTTGTTTTGAGCAATTTTTGACGATGATTAAAACGTCCCCTATATTATCCCCTATATTACTGTTCTCGTAAGACTACAATGGCCTATATTATCTCTATTTCCTTACTCTACGCCCTTTTAATTAGTAAATAAGAGCAAAATAAAACACTAAATCACCACAATACACCAACCAAAGGTTCCAACCCTCAACTGTAATAAATAAAAGTTTTAACAAAATCGGTGACACAAGGAAAATCGCCAATTTTCATGAGTATATGGTAGAAAATCGAAAAAATGACCATTTTTGGCTATTTTTTACACATTTTCAGAGGTCTTTGAAAGATGGTAATCATAGTTCGATAATTTTGAAAATATCAGTATTTCTACGACATTTTGTGTATTTGTAGCACATGCAAAACAATCAGAGCTCAAACTCTTTGATTTTGTGAGAAAACAGATTTTATGAACTTTTCCTATCTCTAATACTGTACTCCTAAGCACAAAATGGTCTATGTTTTCTTATTCTATACAAGAAGCAGTAAGTTTTTTCTGGGTAACAAGCTGATTCTGCAAAAAGATTATCTCATGAACTTTGACATTAATCTATCTATGTACTGTGTATATATGTTAATCGATATATGTTATAATTAAAATGAGACCATTTGCATACCAGTAAGTATTCTTTCGTATCCGGCTTGGCCGCACAATCGAAAATAGAAATGCCCAAGCATGTATTTTCCCATTTTGTTCGCTTTTATTCAGTAAAGCCAAGCTAATAATAAGTACGAGAGCGAATTCCTCAGATTAAAATGCATTATTATTGCCCCCAAGCATCATTCGATATAACTGGCTGCTAATTTGAATGATATATGACTCATTTGCTTCAATATTATCCAATAGACTTTAACTAGATTCAAAAGAAAACGGTATTTGGTCTTGTTAGTTCTTGGGAACTGAAAGCAAGTAATGTAAGGCTCATTTTAACACCTTAGGCTGTATAGAAATGCCTATGTTCTACAAGAGAGATAGTAATGTAGTACAAATTTGCATAAAATTTATTACAAATCCTGAAATTTTCGGAAGTTTAGACAGTCATGAAGTAATTTGTCAAACCGTCCAAGAAAAAAGTCATTAATCGGTTTGAGCTTACTTTCAATACTTCAACTGTCGACTGCCTTATGGAACATTACCTCTAAATGAAGCTGAAAATAATAATGCAGATAGGTCATTATATTTTTCAGTCTGTTTCTAACAATACAGCGGAAATGCTTTAAAGAAGAAAAAAAACGCAGCCGCTAGCAATGGTATTTTCTTCGTTGTTTGAGTTTGCCAGTAATGATTTTCAACTTTCTAAGAGGCCGAGTTTCATAATAACTCCTAAAAGTCGGCTGGGTGAAGACTTTTTTGTTTTAACAGGGGTGAGCTTGAAGTTTTTAGGGAATCCATTCACTGAAGTTTATTTCTTTAAGACAAATGAAATATACCTTATTGTTTGTTCCCTTCCAACAAAAGGTATTTAAAAAAAAACGGTCATGTAAAACAGGATAAAATATTTTTTTAATTTTTTTTTTGAGAATCATCAGATTACACGCTCTAGATAATAGCGAGCTGAACTTTCTTAGTCTTTATTACAATTACTTTTTCTAGTGCGCTCTTAACCTGATTTTTTTTTTCTAAGTATTTGGTAATATTAATAAAGTATGAGAGAGTCTTTAACATGCATGACAGCCTTAATAAAAATAACAATGATTATTTAGCTTGAAAAATTGTACAAGAAATTTAACACTTCATACGTTTTCTTCTGTAAATTTAGCAAGGTTTTGTATGACATCTTGTATGCCCACGAATATTTAATATCAAGATAAGCATTACTACTGCAATTTTTCTACATAATACGGTAAATCTTATACAGTAAAAAAATTATATATTCTTTTAAAAACTAAATTTGTTTGTATATTTACTTTAAAATGATTATTCTTATAGTTATATTAAGACCGTTAGAAGGGATTTTGAATATTCCATTTAATATACAGGGTGTTGTTCAAAAACAAAATTAAGACTTACGTAATATACAGGGTGGTCCGATCTGTATTCCGGAAACTTCGGCAGCATATTCTGCAGATAAAAATAACTAAAAAAGTTCGTATAAATGTATGTTCTAAAATGCTTAGTTTCGGAGATACAGGGTGTAGAAGTTTCATTTTTATTTCCCAAATAATTTCTAGTAACTTCAATATTTGGATAAAAATTGGTGTTTTTTGATACGAGAAATTTGATTTTGATGTCAATATGACTCCTACTTGTAGAGGGGCCACCTACATATTTTTAACTGGTTTGAAAAGAAATAACATAATAAAACGACTGAGTAAAAAATATACATTTACAACATTTTTTACGTAAAAAAGTGTCTTGGGAAAAATGCTACGTGTAATGGTTCTCGAGATATTTCGAATCTAAATTATCATTACCTGTCATCATTGACATAAATTAAACATGTTGACTAAATAGTTATTCGACTGAAACCATAAATTTGAAAGGTTTTTGTGCCAAAAGTTCAACAAAAACTGTTTTATCATCATTTTTTTCGAAGAAAAATTTATGATTAATTTAAAAATTTCCCAAATTCATCATTTCAGTCAAATAACTATCTACTCAACAAGTTTATTTTTTGTCAATAATGACATTTATTGACTATTTCCATTCCAAATATGTTGAGAATGGTTGCTCGTAGTGATTTTTACCAAGAGACGTTTTTTACATAAAAAATCACGGAAATGTATATTTTTTCACTCAGTAGTTTTATACAGGTACGGATGAAAAGTTATTCCTCTTCAAAACAAAATTTCTCATGTCAAAAAACTCCCAAACAATAATTTTCATCCAAGTGTTGACGTTATTTCAAAAATTATTTGGAAAAAAACGAAATAAATATGACACTTCTACAACCTGTATCTCCGAAACTAAGCATTTTTGGATATACATTTATACAAACTTTTTTACTTATTTTCACCCCGTATAAATAAAAAAAAATTATCTTCCTTACTTTGTATTCAGAAAAGTTGATGCATTTGAAGGGAGAATGTCATCCCCTTATTTACTATGAGAACGTTAGGATTTTGATTAAAATAAAAAATTTATATAACCTAGAGATACTTACATGGTAAAACAGCAAGAAAAATAGCCGAGATCACATATACACATAGGCGCTCCATGAGAAATAACTTCAACTTGTTTGGCACCGAAAAAATGTCAAATATTTTCCGCCTACATTAATTCAAAGAGGAGACGAAAAGAGAAGAAAAGAAAAATTGGAAAGACGAGAGCCACCCAAGTGCCGCGTAGAACAATTCGAGAAACACGCAAAGTGTGGGCCGGCTCGAAGGACCAAAAAGCCAACTCGCTCAAGATTCAGGTAGAATATTCGGTGTACAGGTGTTCCGGCTGTACGTGGCCGACAGAATTGAATGGAGCGGACTGGTCGCGCCCGAGTCTTGCCGTGTTATGAATGAAACCAGCGCCTTATTGTTGGGTTCTGCTGCGGCTTGGCTGGGTTCAGGTTCCGCTACAAGGGGAGGGTTGTTTACTACTATAGCGTGTGTACGGCCGGCCCCAGGAGAAGGGGGCTTGTTCAATGGAGGGATGATTCATACTTTTTTCTCATTTTTAATCCCAGATCGCACATATGCTCTCGTAGATACATCTACAGGGGTGTTCACCACATACAACACGGAGTATTGTAACTAAGCGATTAGAGTTTTACAAATTGTAAGTTTTGGGTTCGTCGAAGGACTATTAGGGCTACAATTTAAAAATATTTTTACAAGATGTAGTGTGTCCCAAATAAATAAAAAATATCAAAGTTGTATTTTTTTAGATGGAATATTACAGTTGAGGGTTGGAACCTTTGGTGTTAAACAGCAAAATAAAAACACTAAATCACCACAATACACCAAAACACTTTTACTTTTACACTGGACGCGCGTTTCGCTAACCATGTTAGCATCATCAGCAGATGATTATAAACTGAATTAGTTTATAACATGGTTAGCGAAACGCGCGTCCAGTGTAAAAGTAAAAGTGTTTTGGTGTATTGTGGTGATTTAGTGTTTTTATTTTGCTAGATGGAATACCCTGTATATTATAACATTTTTAGTTTCTACGATTAAAATAAAGGTTAATCGCACTTAAACCTTACCGTTTTTGAAATATTTTCAATTTTGTGAAATTGCAGTAATAATTTTAAGGCTTCATTTCTCCAAGGGTATCAAAGTTATTGTGTTGCAATAATAAAAATAATACTAGCTCACACAGAGTGTCTAAAAATTTATTTTAAATAATTTCTAGCTTTAAACGGCAATAACTTGTTTAATTTAAATGGAACACCCTGTATATTTCAGAAGAATTGAAATAAATTTTTTAACGAAACTTTGTACTCGAAATACCAAGTGTGCGGTATCAAATTATTCGTAAAAAATACTTTATCCAAATATGCTAATGAGCCACCCTCGTTCCATTTGAAAAAATTGAGATATGATTAAAAATACGATATGAGCATTTTCTAACTGTCCAGGACAAGACACTAAAAACATTAGACGATCAAATCAATTTTTCCAAGGCTCCTTGAATATAAATTAGTGGTTTTAACATAGCCATGGCACTCTAGATGAAAATTTAAAATACGATTTTTTATTAGGCGAAAATGTCAAAAGTTGACATATGATATGCCATTCTATTCAGAATGTCATTTTCTATCGAATAAAGTAAAAAATACCGAGGGTGCCATTTAAAAATCAGAAGTACAACTGATTATGTCAATCTTAATTTATGTTATATACTAATATTCCAAATTTTGTTGTTTAATCTGAAAAAATAAAAAAATTATAGGGGGTGAGCCACTTTTGAGACGCACCTGATATACTATGATAAAAATTGAAGTAATTTATAAGTTGGTTTGTTACACACAACAAATTGCTAGAAATTCTAATAGTATAAAAAGAAACTTAGTTTCAAATAAATTTTTAATTTTTCATCATTTATTTCAAGGTTTTTCCCTGAGAATTGGAAATGGTATCGTTTTAAAGAAAATTAATTATGGGAAGTATAAAAAAAATAGAAAATTACTTTCATTTTACGTGTGTTGGACATTTAAATGAACGTACATTGTTTTTCAAGGTTAGAAAAATACCTTCTCAATTTTACTGATTCGTCTGTGTTAAAACAGAAATAATTGTATTGCATTCGCGTTCAGTTTGACTGATATTGAGGCTCTAAAAATAACAAACAAATTATTTGGAAGCTTTCGAGATAAGCTGAACTTAACGCACGGGCTGTTTCGTGAAAGCTGACTGTAAAAAATAAACAAAAATGAATTTATATTTCTCACATTTGCCGTTAGCTTTTCGTAATGCAAGGAATATCACGAAATTCGTTTACACCCCAAGAATTCTCCTTTCGTGAGAAGGTATATTTACAGATACTAGCTGAATAAATTACCATTAATTACTCGAAACAAATCGAATAATAGCTAAAAAGCTTTATTTATATGACGCCAGGTTTTAAAATAAAGAAAAACAAGCATAAGACGTAATAAAGAGTATTTGCTTAAGTTCATATCAGTTCACCTGTTAAGCAAATGTTTGCCTTTCTCAGAGTCTTATGTCGTCTCTCGAATAAACAACGTTACAATTTTTGACGATGAATCCAAAAACTTTTTACAGGCTCGAATTCCGGTTATACGGTTTTAGTCTCGCTCTATGGTTTCAAGATATTTCACTCTGTCTCTACACTGCCCAACCAAAACTATATCAATCATAGATAGATATTAATATCTTCTTTTACAGATTTACAAACTTTTTGAGCAATCCTTTTTTAGACACACAGAATCTTTGCATCATCTTGCTTTAAAGGATACAAAAATTAATTTTCCCACACAGCCAAGGTACCTAAGCCTTCAAAGGTGTCAAAATTCTGAATCTACATAAAATTTCCTACAAATACTGAAATTTTCATAATTTTATGACTATGGTTACTATTTTTCTAAAACCTTTGAAAATTGCCAAAAATGGGCATTTTTTTTTCCATGCATGTAGTCATGAAACCAATTTTGTTAAAACTACTGTTATTTACTAATTAAAAAGTGTAGAATAAAAAAATATAAGCCATTGTGGTCATACAAGAACAGTAATAGATATAGAGGACGTCTTAACCTTCATCAAAAATCGCTGGAAAACAAGGGTCCAAAAAATTAATTTTCTCACAAAGCCAGGATACCTAAGCCTTCAAAGGTGTACACATTCTGAATCTACATATAAAATTTCCTACAAATCCTGAAAATTTCATAATTTTATGGCTATTGTTATTATATTTCTAAGGCCTTTGAAAAAGAGTAAAAAATTGCCAAAAATGGGCATTTTTTCCTCTTTTCCCATGCATATAGTCATGAAAATTAGCGATGTTCGTCATGTCACCGATTTTGTTAAAACTACTGTTATTTACTAATTAAAAAGTGTAGAATAAAAAAATATAAGCCATTGTGGTCATACAAGAACAGTAATAGATATAGAGGACGTCTTAACCACAGAACAGATACAAATCTGTATCTGTTCTGTGTCTTAACCTTTATCATAAATCGCTGGAAAACAAGGGTCCAAAAAATTAATTTTCTCACAAAGCCAGGATACCTAAGCCTTCAAAGGTGTACACATTCTGAATCTACATAAAATTTCCTACAAATCCTAAAATTTTCATAATTTTATGGCTATTGTTATTATTTTTCTAAGGCCTTTGAAAAAAAGTAAAAAATTGCCAAAAAGGGGGATTTTTTCCTCTTTTCCCATGCATATAGTCATGAAAATTAGCAATGTTCGTCATGTCACCGATTTTGTTAAAACTACTGTTATTTACTAATTAAAAGGTGTAGAATAAGAAAATATAAGCCATTGTGGTCATCCAAGAACAGTAATAGATATAGAAAACCTTTTAACCTTCATCAAAAATCGCTGGAAAACAGGGTCCAAAAAAGCTTTAAAGGTAAAATATTCTGAATCTACATAAAATTTTCTACAAATACTAAAATATTCATAATTTGATGACTATGTTTACTGGGTTTCTAAGGTCTTTGTAAATATGTAGAAAAAGTAGTTTTTTTTGAATATTTATTTTTTACAAATCTTTTGAATTTATTATTAATTTGTTACCAGGGTGTCAGTATTTAATTGTTGAATTATAAAGAAAGTAAAACATATTGTTTTTTGCTTTGGAGTGTATAATCTGTTTCGCCAACAATGTTGTGAAAGAAGTAAAAATAACGAACAACGCTTTAGCTGGTCTTATTGTTATTTACTTTTTGCATTACTACTTCATAGGTGCAATTTCACAGTGTTTTATCAGTAACGGTTTCTATGCAGTGTTCCAATTTCGTTCACATCGGCGTAAGTAATTAAACCCAGATATATCTAATGCATAATATACAGAAGACCCAACTTGATATAATTTAAAACAGTGACCCTGGCTACAACCAATTACTTTTTTTTCACTACTGATTTAATAACATCAATTAAAAAGCAAGAAAAGTGTTAATTACGAGTAATTATTTAATTTTCGACATTATTTTACTGATGCATACGAGGTTTGCGGAAGTTGAGTGTTTCTTTATGCATAGCTAGTCAACTGCAGTGCACACACCCTGTTTGTTTAAAAGGCTTGATTGGTTCGACATGTTTGCAATTCATATTGATAGATTATCAGATGCGGTGTCACACTGCCAATTATTTACCTTTGTATTCGTGCAGATAATGTTTTATTTATTCCATTCACTCCTTCGTTTAATAATTTAATAAGACATATTCCAAATTAATTTGTATAAATGTCTCTTTAAACATTTTTTTCTTGCCTCGAAAAATCCTGGCCATTTTACAGTAGTATAAAATACCTTTTCAAGAGCAAGGTTAAAGGGACTGGTCAGGTAAAAAGCCCTCATTCAATATAATTTCTTTTTTTTTTCTTTCTGATTCAAGTTTGGGAGCTCATATCCGCCCTTTTTTTAGTTCGTCAGCATGCCACGACTCGTTTCTTCAGAAAGAAACAGTTTTGAATAAACAGATTTCAGATTATCGTTTTACAAGTATCAGGATATCGATCTCTCTGTACTTTAGGACAGAAAATCTGGTTGGAATTTGGGTTTAACAAGGGCTATTCGGGTCCTTTGTTGCATTATGTAAGGCCTATTTGGTCGCAATTCTTGTGTTAGTTAAAGCAACACGCTAAACTATGTAATTTCAGATATGTTTATTGGAGATAATTTTCTCTAAGACCTAATTTAATTGAATTATTATTAAAGAAAGTTTTGAAATTCCTTTTCACCGATCAAACAAAGCTTGGCCCCACTTAACTTGATCAATTTGCTTCATAATACCAGGAAAGTTAACCTAAAATTATAGGGCTGTGTTAATGGGCTTGGAAATTAACTTCTGCGTCCTCATCATCGATGTCTAGAGGTCTTTTATTTTAGGCAGGAGGGTTGTAAACTTTGGTAAATTAATTAAATTGGCACATGGGCGCCGGAAGAATGAAATTTAGGGGGGGGGGCAAGGTAAAAATGAATAAAAAATTGACATTTTTGGTAATTATTGGGAAAACTGGAAATCGTCCGATTTTCACCAAAATTGGTATACACACTATTTTGAAGTCGTAGATTACGAATTTGAACGTTACGAATCTTTTTTCTTGGCGGTCTCTTACCGTTTTTGAGAAAAACGGAAAATAATTTCAATATCGAATTTTTCTTAATTTCTCATATGTTTAAGGTTTTCTAGCACATATTTTGTTAGGTATTCAATAATCAATAATGTTTTTGCTCTTTTCTGTTACTTTTTTAACCAATTCTATGCATAATAGAGGAAAATTTGTTAAAATAAATTTGTAAACAATCTGAAAATGTTAGATTATGGCTTTGTTCGGGTTCTTGTTATTACCGATTCTGAACCGTCCAAGAACTCTGCAGCGCATGCGCAAATGAAGTAATGTCTTCATATTTCCTTCTGCGCATACACATCACAGTTCTAGGACGGTTCAGAATCGGTAATAAGAGAAACCCGAAGTAAGTTTATGTCTTTCTGGCATTTAAAGCAACGTTGCCAATGTTAAACCTAAATTTAGCGTGTTTTTTTCGCTCATTCTGGAATTACGAAAGGCGGTCGCCAGAAGAACGGCTCCTTCCCATAACTGCTATTTTACCAACGAGATCTGACTATTTATACCCACGAAGTTGCACGAAAAAGTTTTGATTGCATTGGTTACAACTTCCATGCAGAGGGTGTTAATCTTTTGTTGTTATATTATTAGATTAACTAAGAAAAGATTAACCTCCTCCGCAAAGAAGTTAAAACCAATGCAATCAAAACTTTTCCGCGTAATTTTGTGGATATTGGTGTATATTTAATTATTGTTGATCTCATAATAGGTAATTTATTTAAATTCCGTAATCACCCGAAAAAATAGAAGATATGGCAACGTTGTAAATTTTCAAATTTCTAGATTAGGTCTAGAATAAATTTGTCTCTCTTATTACATAGGAGAGAGAAAGAAGGATATATCAAATGTCAAACTTCCATCTGGTCTCAATTTTCTTTGCTATTTTGTTAAGAAAAGTGTTTTTCAGTAAAATGTTGGACACTTTTCTATCCCCAATCAAGTGTGGCTTTTAGATAAACTATAATATAATGAAAATATAGTGAAATTATTACTTTATAGGGCCGAAATAAAGAAAAATTCAATGTTGAAATAATTTTCCGTTTTTCTGAAAAACGGTAAGAGACCGCCAAGAAAAAAATAGATTCGTAATCTACGACCTCAAAATAGTGTGTATACCAATTTTGGTGAAAATCGGACGATTTCCAGTTTTCCCAACAATTACCGTAAAATGGGGTGAATAGAAACATAGGGGTGAATAGAAACAAAATTTCTGAAAAAAATCAAATCACGATTAAAAATATTCAAAGTAAAAAGTGGACATATCTAATTTTTCTATCATTGGTAATACACAAAAAATGTAAAAACTATATTTTTATCTGTGGCAGCACTGTTTCTGTCAATCAGCTGATCAATAAATGTGAGATCGATTTATCACCTATTTTGTATGGCGCGAAAACTTTATAAATAAAATATTTATTTTTAAAAGTAATACTTAAGCTGGTACATGTAAGTTGTTATATTATATGTATTATTAGTTATTGCTAAACCTACTTAAATATGTAATAATTATCTGTTTCTAATCACCTTGTTGGAAATAGAATAGATAAAAACCTTAACATCAATGTGTGTTTCTATTCTCCCGAATAGCAGGTGAATAGAAACACAAAAGTTATTTTTATTTAATATTTATATGCATATTTTTCAAAAATCAAATTATATTTATACGCAAAGAACAAACAAAGACCCATGTTTTAAAATATTCGGGAACATAATACCACATTTTTATCAACCGGTATATCGCTAATAGCCTACGAAACTGTTTCTATTCATTCCAGTTTTCCCAACAATTACCACATTTTTTATTATTTTACAGGTAACACCTAACAATTTCATAATAATGATTATTTTTTTTACAGACGGATGTAAGAAGATAGCTTTTATTTTTATTGTTTCAGTGATCCAGGGGGGGGGGGGCAAATGCCCCCTCTTGCCCCCCCTGTCCGGCGCCCATGAATTGGCAATACATTTAAAACTACTTAGGGGAATATTAAGATAATTAAGTTTTAAGCTGCAAGGGTAAATAATAGAAAAATTAGAACAAAATATATTTATTCTTAGATAAATGATATTAAGATCTAGCTGCCCGGGAGACCTTATCGTATACTTCCGAGAATGCCTCTCTGCATTCAAGTTTTGTCCTTAGTTTGTCGTATAAGGTGTGGTTGAACATTTTTCGAAATTCCTCTTTTGTGGTGTAAGTGTCAGCATATAACATCTGAAATCTTTTTAAAATAACGCATTAGAACTGCATTATTGGAAACGAAAAAGTATGGTGTAGTTGAAATGGTGTACGTTCAAGCATTTCTAGTTGAACTATATTTTGAGAACAAAAAATAAAAATATTATTTACTATCACAAAACATCGTCAAATGTAGACCATGTGTATAGGGATCTGTTTTTTTAAGAATTTCATTCACCTGATTTCTAGAGGAATGTTGTTGAATGAGTGATTTGTCTAAGGTTTCAAGAATTATTTACACACGAAGATTACTTACCCATGGACTTCCGTCACATATTTCTCTATTTTTCTCATACTCTCTCTAGGTTTGAAACTTTTTACTTTTGGCGTTCCATACAGGCCGATATCAACGTATAACTTATCGTCTGTCTCATTTTTGGGTTGAACCATACCAGGATTATTCGGTAGTATAAATGGACACAACCATATCGGATATATATCAAAAGTTTCTTTAAATACTTTTAAGCTGTCTTTCAGTGTTCTGATTGGAACCAGCATGTCTTGAAGGACGTGGTTGTTTTCGTATAACTTCTTGATAGCTTCGGTTTGTGTGAGTTTGAGAAGTGAGACTTTTGGTGGCACCATCCAACCAAAAAGATATCTGAAGAAGACGTTGTTTCCAAAAGGAATTATATCCTAAAAACAAAAAAATCTAGTATTTAAAACCCGCCTTTTGAACCATTATTTGTAGTAATGGTAAAAGTAAATATTACCAAGAAGTTATGAATAGAAAATGAATAATGTGCTATTCATTCTTTATCTTTGAGATAAACAAACTTCCGCAGAGGTGAGTTAAAATTTTAAACCCACCCGTTGTGTGGTAGTGCCCTAAAGCTTTAAGCCTTAAGTGGATTGTCTATATGACCGGATATTAAAATTAGACCTGTAAATAACTGCCAGACTTAATGATATTTTTATTATGGTTCATTTCGTTCACCTTAAGATAGCAAAAGAATTCTAATGGTCTTGTTAGTGATCCCATTTCAGTCTCAAGTCATTTGAACTATTTATGTTTTATTCTAAGAATTATTATTAAGATCTTGATTGCATTTCAGAATTTTTGGAATATCAAGTAGGGCATACAAATGAAATACAATAAAAATTACAAATTGTAACGAGGCTATATTATGATATCCAAAAAAATCCTTATGGGTTTTTCGCCACTGCACTGCAAGAAAAATCTACAAAATAAAATAGTTATTTTTTTGTAAACACTTCTGCGTTAAACCTAAACGGACGCTGCTTGTCAGAAGTTGTGTTTACAGTAATAAAAATTTGCCTAACAAAGAAAAAAATGCTTAACGTTTCGGAAAGTTTTCTCTTTCCGTCGTCGGAAGCAAAAAAATATAAAGAATCAAGAAAAAAACTATTTAAAATATTTAAATTGAACTATTCGAGAACACTTTACTTTTTAAAACAGATACGTCTACAAGAAATCGTTGACGTTCTGTTAAAAATTTATATATTCATTTTTAACAGAAAATATATATATTCATTTTTAACAGAACGTCAACGATTTCTTGTAGACGTATCTGTTTTAAAAAGTAAAGTGTTCTCAAATAGTTTTTTTCTTGATTCTTTATATTTTTTTGCTTCCGACGACGGAAAGAGAAAACTTTCCGAAACGTTAAGCATTTTTTTCTTTGTTAGGCAAATTTTTATTACTGTAAACACAACTTCTGACAAGCAGCGTCCGTTTAGGTTTAACGCAGAAGTGTTTACAAAAAAATAACTATTTTATTTTGTAGATTTTTCTTGCAGTGCAGTGGCGAAAAACCCATAACGATTTTTTTGGATAGATGAATCCGCCACATAGGTATAGACATTTTTTATATTATGATCTTGTATTATTCTTCTGTTATATTGCAACAAAAAAGTATACATATAAAAATATAAACGGAATAAATTTTAAAAGAAAAAATAAAGTAATTTAGCAAATTGCTTAGACGTAGCCTACATTTTTATAAATATTTTCGTATCCACTTGAAGAATTTATTCGAATTTATTGCCTAACTTACCTGTAACTCCCAAAATATCGACCTGGTATGCCTGTGGTAATAATCTCTTAAAGGGATGTACTCAATAATAGATTCGTTTCTTTTTAGCATGTCTCTCACGTGGACGAAAAACCATGGTTTGTACCATTTTCCTATTTCGTTCAACTAAAAATTTAGTAGTTAGTAAACCCGATTATCTACTTCAAGTCACTTACTTTCTCAGGTTCTGTTTGGTCTACTTGTACTCCTGTCATAATAACCGCCTCATTTTCGCTATAGCATAAACCTTCTACAAACTCATTCTTTAAGTCTCTACTAGCTCTCTCAAATGCATTCGCTATATTGTCGGGTCCTTTGACAGGCTTATACGTCAATTTAACAAAGCGTTTTGCTGGTACAAGCTTTATTTCTGCAGCTGTCAGAAATCCTAGTGTGCCATAGGACCATGGCACAGCGTAAAATAAGTCTGGGTTTTCATCCTTGGAACACTTGACCACACTGCCATCGCATAGGACCAGTTCGTACGATAAACAGATGTGTTGGAACAATCCGTATCGATGTGAGCTGGATTCGATGCCGGTGCCCATCACTAGACCGCCTACAGTTAAATCATCGATTTCTGGCAACACAGGAATTGTCCAGCCAAGAGGATTTAATGTGGCAGTTAGTTGGCCCATGCTGACTAGAGGTTCTACACGAACAACCTAAAATTTATAGAAGAAATGTTTAGGTCGGTCAAGTTTGCCCCCCCTACTAGAGGAAATTCAAAAAGAGATATACCACTATTTTGCACACATTTTGCACAATTTTGCACACCATAAATGATATTTTGCACACTTACCTATGAAAAACTAGAGCCGTTTTTTAAACGGGGGGCAAACTTGACCGTTCCCCCCCATTTGTTACGAAATTGATTTATTTCTATGTACACGGATTCGGCTAATTTTGCACAATTTTGCACACATATTTTTAAATTTTGCACACCCTCCTGACGAAAGCGATAAGGGGTTGAACATTTGAAATTTCCCCCCTATTTGTGACTAAATTGAATTTTGTTTATATCAAACGAATGGGCTAATTTTGCACACCTATTTTAGAATTTTGCACACCTTCCTGACAAAAGTTATAAGGGTTTGAATATTTGAAATTTCCCCCCCATCTGCCACAAAATTGAATTGTGTTTATATCAAACGAATCGGCTAATTTTGCACAATTTTGCACACCTGTTTTTGAATTTTGCACATTCTCCTGACTAAAGTTATGCGGGTTTGAAAATTTGCAATTTCCCCCCCATCTGCTATGAAATTGAATTTCGTTTACATAAAACGAATCGGCTAATTTTGCACAATTTTGCACACCTATTTTAGAATTTTGCACACCTTCCTGACGAAAGTTATGAGGGTTTGAAAATTTGCAATTTCCCCCCACATTTGCTACGAAATTGAATTTGGCTTATATCAAACGAATCGGCTAATTTTGCACAATTTTGCACACCTATTTTAGAATTTTGCACACCTTCCTGACAAAAGTTATAAGGGTTTGAATATTTGAAATTTCCCCCCCATCTGCCACAAAATTGAATTGTGTTTATATCAATCGAATCGGCTAATTTTGCACAATTTTGCACACCTGTTTTTTGAATTTTGCACATTCTCCTGACTAAAGTTATGCGGGTTTGAAAATTTGCAATTTCCCCCATCTGCTATGAAATTGAATTTCGTTTATATAAAACGAATCGGCTAATTTTGCACAATTTTGCACACCTTCCTGACGAAAGTTATGAGGGTGTGAAAATTTGTAATTTCCCCCCATCTGCTACGAAATTGACTTTTGTTTATATCAAACGAATCGGCTAATTTTGTACAATTTTGCACAGCTACTTTCGAATTTTGCACACTCTCCTGACAAAAGTTATAAGGGTTTGAATATTTGAAATTTGTCCCATTGTGTGTGAATTGTCCCATTTAAAAAACATAAGTATAAGTCATATTTGAAAATGATAAGATCTCAGCGACGTGGAAAACTGTACGGAACCCAGACTTCACCTTTTCGATAAGTATAGGATAACCGAGATATGAGGGTTGTCGAAAAATGCAAAATGTTCAAATTTGCCAGGTATTTCAGGAAGTAAGAGGTCTAAGACAAATCTGTGTGTAGAATCTTTAGTTTCATAAATGTTCTTCTATGCAAGCTATAAATTATCGAAAAGGTGAAATCTAAGTTCCGTGCAGTTTTTCACGTCGCTGAGATCTATCATTTTCGAAATATGACTCATACTTATGTATTTTTATATGGGACATTTCACACACAATGGGACAAATTTCAAATATTCAAACTCTTATAACTTTTGTCAGGAGAGTGTGCAAAATTCGAAAATAGCTGTGCAAAATTGTGCAAAATTAGCCGATTCGTTTGATATACACAAAATTCAATTTCGTGACAGATGGGGGGGAAATTGCAAATTTTCAAACCTTCATAACTTTAATCAGGATGGTGTGCAAAATTCAAAAATAGGTGTGCAAAATTGTGCAAAATTAGCCGATTCGTTTGATATACACAAAATTCAATTTCGTGACAGATGGGGAAATTGCAAATTTTCAAACTTTCACAACTTTCATCAGGATGGTGTGCAAAATTCAAAAACAGGTGTGCAAAATTGTGCAAAATTAGCCGATTCGTTAGATATAAACAAAATTCAATTTAGTCACAGATGGGGGGGGGGGAATTTCAAATTTTCAACCGCTTATAACTTTCGTCAGGAAGGTGAGCAAAATTCAAAAACAGGTATGCAAAATTGTGCAAAATTAGCCGAATCGATGTACATAGAAATAAATCAATTTCGTAACAAATGGGGGGGAACGGTCAAGTTTGCCCCTCGTTTAAAAAAAAATAATTAAATAAAATGGCCCTGGTTTCTCTTAGGTAAGTGTGCAAAATATCATTTATAGTGTGCAAAATTGTGCAAAATGTGTGCAAAATAGTGGTATATTTATTTTTGAATTTCCTCTAATATGGGGGGCAAACTTGACCAACCTGAAATGTTTCGTGTGTTTTCTTTGTTGGTGCAAAGGCCGAAAGCCCGCTGCAGAGGAAATTCTAGATATCTTCACCTGTCTTTCTGTATCGACTTCCAGGATATCGACCAGATCTATTTTAATGTTTTTCATGGTATTTTTGTATCTGCCTTGTCTGAAACACATAGTTTGCCAGCCTGGTCGGGCTGTGCACATTTGAGATTTCTTTCCATTTTTTATCCATCCTCGCACCTACAAGTATGATCAAAACTATGCAAGTTATGAAGATTTCTCGCGTTAGCTCGATATGTGTAATAAAATGTTTTCGTCATAGATTTTCATATCTTAAATACATGTATATTTTTTTGTGAAAAACAGAAACAAATCTTAGACTGCAAGACGGTCTTGGTCTTGGTTCTGCATTTGCTCATCACTATAGAGTGAGTCTTAAATAAGTGTAAATATTTTTAGGGGTGGTATATTTCGACTCCAGAAACACGATTATGAGGTTTTTTTTCGCGAAAAAAATTGAAAATATGGAATTATATGGCAATATAGGTAGTAGATTAAATTTATAAAAAGAAAACCCAGAAAAAATACAGTGCTTCTCAAAATTTAAGCTAAAAATCATTTTTTTTTCGAAATTTTCAAAGTAAAATATCTCGGTTATTTTGGACTTATTTAAAAAACGGTAAAGAGATATGTTTCTTTAATCGAGATCTACCAGCCCTGAAAATATTTGCACTTATTTAAGACTCACCCTGTATACCATTTATCCGCTCAAACTAAACACATACTTCTTCAGCTGATTCCAAATTCTTCCAATATTCCACTAATTAGACTATAAAATTGTACTTGTTATAGTAGATAAAATACTTTATTATTTTTAAGGAGTGATACCTTCGATATTAATCTTATCATCAATCTCTTAAGAAATTCATTTAAATTAATTTATTTAATACTAACTACAAAAATAATTAAAATTCCTTTTAATTATTTCATATTGCAAAAATATGTATATGGCTTACCTGTCTTTGGACATCTCTCACTTTTTTGTTGTGTTGTTTTGGAGCACTAGTCAATTGAAACACCAGCCAGTTCCTCAAATATAACCACAGGTCATAAAAGAAAGATACCGGTAGCAGGAACAAACAAACAAACACCCATCTGTAATTAATTAAAATATACTCAGTTAGATTTTCGCAGCCTTTATCCATTTGCAAAATAAATTAACAAGTGGACAACAGAAAATCTTGGTGTGTATCAATTAACCTCTCAGCAAGCTAACATTTCGGGTTATACAATATTGTTTTATTCGTTTTATCTAGTAGCACTTTATATTCAGATAATGGAATGTCAGTAGCGCGTATTTTTTTAATTTTTAAATTTTATTAAGAGTATTATCTTTATACTTATTATTACTTTCTGTAGTATCGACCCAGTTAGTTAGTTATTTAAAAAAGAACGTCGGCGATAAATTTATCGTTAGCAACAAAAAATAAAAGTGGTAATTATCTTCGTTAGAAATAATACTACCAAAAAAAAAATGCCTTCTAAAAATAATAGCGGTTTCATATTATTAATGGTAAAATCAATACGATTTCAGTAGTGTTTCTATTCAAAAGGGTTTGTTCGTTTTGCTTTGCATAAAGACAAAACTAGGAGATATAATAGATTGCTATTAATTGCTAACTGGCTGCACACGTACGTGATTTAATCTCGAAATAGTAGAGCGAATATAGGAAAATGTCACCTAAGTTGTCTACGCTACTGATCTCATAATCATTATACAGTATCGGACAAAATATAACGTTTGTTTGATTGTATGATTTTCTTTAAACTGATTCTACTAAAATTCAAATAAAACTTTTTTTGTGATTAAATAGAATGAGTGTGATATACACGATGGTCCGAACAGTATTCCGGAAACTTCGGCAGCATATTCTGCCCCCAGATAAAAGTAAGTAAAAAAGTTTGTATAAATGTATATACTAAAATGCTTAGTTTCGGAGATACAGGGTGTAGAAATTTCAATTTTATTTTAATTTTTTACGAATAATTTCTGAATTAACCTGAATATTTGGATGAAAAGTGGTCTCTGGGAGTTTTTTGACATGAGAAATTTGATTTTGATGTCAATATGGCTCCTATTTGTAGAGGGCGCCACCTACATGTGTTTTAACTGTTTTGAAGAGTAATAACTTTTCTTCCGTATCTAAAAGATGTACATGTACATGACTTTTTACGTAAAAAATGTCTCTTGGTAAAAATCGCTACGAGCAATCGTTCGCGATATATTTAGAATAGAAATAGTCAAAACATATCGTTATTATACAATACAAAAATAAAAATTACAAAAAATAAACAGAGGTTGAGATAGTCATTTGACTGAAATAATAAATTTGTGAAATTTTTATTTTTTTAAATTAATTATAAACTTTTTAAATTTTTCTGCGGATAAAAAAAGGATAAAACAGTTTTTGTTGAACTTTTCATACAAAAACATTTCAAATTTATGATTTCAGTCTAATAACTATTTAGTCAACATGTTTAATTTATGTCAATAATGACAGGTATTGATAATTTCGATTCCAAATATCTTGAGAACCATTAATCTCAGCGATTTTTACCAAGAGACCTTTTTTACTTTGTATATTTTTTTACTCGGTAGTTTTATACAGGTACGGAGGAAAAGTTATTACTCTTCAAAACAGTTGAAAAATATGTAGGTGGCGCCCTCTACAAGTAGGAGTCATATTGACATCAAACTCAAATTTCTCATGTCAAAGAACTCCCAGACACCAATTTTCATCAAAAAATTGACGTTACTTCATAAATTATTTGGAAAAAATCGAAATAAAACTGAAACTTCTACGCCCTGTATCTCCGAAACTAAACATTTTAGGATATACATTTATATAAACTACTTTACCTTTTTTTATCTGCAGAATATGCTGCCGAAGTTTCCGGAACACAGTTCGAACCACCCTATATAACTTTTGAGTTTTTTTTGCTACAACCGCATATCCTTTGTCGTTAGGCAGAAAAAGGGTTGAAAAAGAAAAGGGAGAAGTTCCCTGAACTCTGACCTGCTCAAATGACAAACTGTCACCGGACAAATTAAATTTCTTGTCTTTTTTCGTTCTCAAACTGACGTTTATTCTTCATCATAAAGTTACCAATAATTGCTTCCCATTTTAATTTCGTGTTTTCTTTTTAGTGCTCGCGGACAAACTTTTATCTCTCCTCAAAATTGCGCTTTAGTAGAACAAACTATCAATTAAAAAGTTCATTTTTCTTCGTTTTCCTTCAAGTTTTATTTCGATATTTCTGGCAAGCCAATTAATTGACCGTCCATATCTTTCTATCGACCAATTAGACAAATAATAACGAAAAAGCCCTTTTAATTTTTTTTCAATTAGATTATATAAAACACCGGGGGAGTCATTTAAACTAGTAAAATTTTCAAAAGTTGATCATTTAAAAGCGCAAAAATGGTATTTATGAATGGGTGCCATCCTCGACAAAGAATTGCGTAATAGGGAACAAGGAAGTTCTGAAGACGATGTGGCGCATATTCGAAACCAGGCCCGTACTATCCTTGATCAAGGAAAATATCCGCATAGTAACACATTTAAAAAACAATTTAAGCCCGTAGAAGTTTACATATTCTAAAAGTTCCTACATCAAATTTTCTACCAGTTTTGAAAAATTTTTGTCTGCTATTTTTCAAAGAGTTTTGAAAACGTGTAATAGCCAATGGTCAAAAAAATCCTTTTTTTGTACATGATTTTTTAAAATGAATTTCCTATCAAAATCAAATTGCTGCAATTCTTAAAAATTCATAGGTTCCATATAAAAATCATAAGTTGAAGTCATTTCCGGTGAAACAGGAAGTGACCAAATACAGTTGAATGCGTCAATAAATCCAATAATAATACTAATTTTATCCAACAAATATTAATTTATTTCATATACTAACGTACCAACTCTCGATTTTTATCTGAAAAAATAAAAAAGATATAGAGGTGAGCCACTTTTGAGACGCATCCGGTATATCAAATTCTGATTTTTTTACGATGTCTATTATGTTTCGAAGAGTCTCGAGTACTTAATAATAAATATTAAAAGGGCTCGATCTCTATACGGGATGGGTCTTAAATAAATGCACATATTTTCAGGGCTGGTAGATCTCGATAAATAAAACATTTTCTTTTTACCATTTTTCAAATAAGTCCAAAATAACTTATTATTTGTTATTTTACCAAGTTTTCCATAATTTTTTTTTTGCTTGAATTTTGAGAACCACTGGTTGCCATATTCTCAAGAAATTATGTTTTTTAACTGAAAACTAAAAAAAATCCATTTTTCGTGTTTCCGAGGTTGGGAATATTTTACCCTTAAAAATATTTGCACTTATTTAAGACTCACCCTGTATATTAAAACACCTCGAAATGGAGGAACATTTCGTTAATTTGAAATTTGTCTTTTCCCTGTTGGATACAGTCCTGGTTTTATATAGAGCAAGCGCCTCAATATTGATTCGCCAGAGCGAGGGTCCCTACAAATGGTAAAGTTGGACGACAACGACAGATAGTACACTCGAAAAGGTGGGGCATGTAAAGTCCGTAGTAATACCAGACTCGACCCCAACTTTTGCCAATTCCAACATCGTCCCCCATTCGAAAAAGCGGTCCGTCATCACACCGTCTCGTAGTTTTATGGCTTCGAGCCTATCGTATCCTAAAAAAATCACAGTTACAAACCACTAGGAACTCATGATTGGTTCATTTTGGAACTTGTGTAGAGCTACGTGCCCCGCGATGCCAGTCGATAAGGTAAAAATTTCATTTACCTTAATTTCCACCATTTTTTTTCACGCTTACAAACAGTAGAGAACAACTAGAGCGAATTTGTAGGGTACATACACCGGTTTAAAGGTCTCTAGTTCGCCGTATTTAGAGCACAGCTGATGCATTGCGCTCAAAACCTATAATCATATGATTTGTGTGATTGATCTTATGCGCCAAACTTTTTATTAAGCAATAATATAATCATGAAATTGGAAGAAATTCACCTTTTTTTTGTTTCCTTAATCAATTTAATTAAGCAGGACACCTAGTGCTATAAAAGCGGGTTTTATTTATGTTTTAGGGCTTCTTTTTATGGTCCTAGATATTGGCTATAACTTGTATTTTTTATGATTTAAATCATTATTGTTTCATCCGAATTAGTGCACTGTAACCTAGATATTTGTATGCGCAAAAAACACTAAAAAACTTTTTTTATACTGAATATAATTTTAAAAAGAAATCTTGGATTGGATATCTGTATTTAAGTTTTTTACCTGTTAAGAATATATTTTTCCAACGGCAAGGGTTTGAAAAATAGTTTTTCTTACAACACTAATGTAATTATCTATAAAATAATCTTGAAATAGCGATGAAATAGCTTTGAAATAGCGATTATCAGCCATTTTTTGGACATTTTTTACATAATATATAGGCCTAAAAAATTGAAATTAGACAGTCTCATATACCGGGTGCGTCTCAAAAGTGGCTCACCCCAAACACATTCTATGACATATCATATGTTATAGAATGACAGTGAGTAGATGAGTATCACTTTCTATCGAATAAAGTAAAAAAATACCGAGGGTGCCATTTAAAAATCAAAAGTTGTAGTCACTTCCGGTGAAATAGGAAGTGACCGAAAAAAATTGAATACCTCAATCAATCCTAATTTATGTCATATACTAACATACCAAATCTCGTTTTTTTAACTGAAAAACTAAAGAAGTTACAGGGGTGAGCCACTTTTGAGACGCACCCGGTATGCATACGTGATAAAATTGAATAGTAAATTAAATGAAACGATCTTGGATAGCTGACTTATTTGAGCGTGTATTTAGTTTAATTTTGCTTCTTTCTATAATTGGTTATCTCAAGAATACTTGTAATCCTCTTTTAGCCAGCGAGATAGGATATAAGTAATTGTAGTGATAATGGGTTCTAAGGAACTTGAAAATTAATTCAAAACTCTATGAATATATTAATATCAGTGCTGCTATATAATAATTATGAGAAATAATTACTGCTATTTATATCTAATATTAGTTTAATGAACTGGAAAACTTGTTCAGTGTTATTACTTCTTTCATACTAAAAATACAGATTTTCAACACCCCAAGCGTCATTTTTTTCAAATACTATAAGAACTTATGGTAATTGATCTAATACCTAAGACCTACCCAGTCTGTGAATATTTATTTATGTCTTTAATACCATTAGTTTTGAAACATGAAGCTTTCCACCTAATCTATCAAATTGTTTGATCACAACAAAACTTGTTATTTGTAACGAAATATTATGTTCGCTACAGTGATTTTTATTATATTTGAGCTCTGTCAATCTGTTTTATGATTTATGTCCCTTATTGTTGATAGTGGATCAATATTTTTTATTGCAGTTCAGTTGACTTTTTCTTCTATACAAGAGGTCTAAAAATTGAGTTTCTAACGATATCAAGTTGCCTAAGTCCTAAAAAGTTTATACATAATTATTTATTCTAAAAGTACATAAAATACACCACAAACTCTGAAATTTTCAATATTAAAACTACTGTTATTTTCTAATTAAAAAGTGTAGAATAAAAAAATATAAGCCATTGTGCTCATACAAGAACAGTAATAGATATAGACGATGCGACGTTTTAACCTTCATCAAAAATAGCTGGAAAACAAGGGTCCAAAAAAAGGCTTTCAAAGGTGTATACATTCTGAATCTACATAAAATTTCCTACAAATCCTGAAATTTTCATAACTATATGGCTATGGTTACTATTTTTCTAAGGTCTTTGAAAATGTGTAAAAAATAGCAAAAATTGTAATTTTTAGGACTTTTTTCCATACTCTAGTCGTGAAATTGGCGATTTTCTTCATGGCTGTTATTTACTAATTAAAACGTGTAGAATAAGGAAATATAGTCCATTGTAGTCCTACGAGAACGTTTTAACAATCCTCAAAAACAGGGGTCCAAAAAATTAATTTTCTCACAAAACCAAGATATCTAAACCTTTATAGATGTATATATTTTGAATCAAGATAAAATTTCCTACAAATGCTGAAAGTTTCATAATTTTATGACTATATGTACTATGTTTCTAAGATCTTTGAAATTGTGGAAAAAAACAAAAATAGACAATTTTTCAACTTTTTTCCATACCTACTCGTGAAACTTGGCAATTTACTTCATGTCACCAATTTTGTTAAAAATGTTGTTATTTACTAACTAAAAGGTGTTGAATAAGAAAATATAGGCCATTGTGGTCCTAGGAGAACAGTAATAGATATAGAGGGCGTTTCAACCATCATCAAAAATAGCTCAAAAACAGGAGTCCAAAAAATTAATTTTCTCACAAAATCACGATATCTAAGCCTTTAATGATGTATATGTTACGGTTGGTTAATCTCGAGAATAACACACAACAAAACAACCAAACACATAACCTAACCCAAACATTAACCGGACATAGGACTTTAACCCTAACATATATATCCTGAATCTACCTAAAATTTACTAAAAATACTGATATTTTTAAAATTTTCCGTTTTACATTTAGTATCTTTTTAAGAGCCGTGAAAAACAAGTTAAAAATGGCTAAGAATTGTTAATTTTTAGACTTTTTTTAATAGTCATGAAAATTGGCGATTTTATATTTTATAGTTAATCATTAATGTTTTTTGTAGCAGTTACACTCCGAATACCGGAGTACTTACCGATGGCATGAATATACGGGGCCACGTCAAGACGTAGTTAGAAGACCTCCAATGACAAATGGAGCGCCATCAGTTGGTATACCAAATGATATCAACGCCAAACCCTCTAATGATGATGATTTTCACACAGAAACAGGTAATTTCTGGTTCTAGCATTTCATTTAATTAAATTAGAAATCTAGGAACTTATATATGATCCCGAGGAAGGTCCTAGGTATATATCTTTTTAATAATAAATATAACAAGAGTTTTTTCAAAATGTTTGCAGTTTTTTATTATTTTATTACTAGTTGATTAGTAAGTCTGCGTCGAAAATGATTCCTTCCGCTATATTAGTCTCGCCATCGAGCCAACTTATTGACCTGTACTAGTTCCTGTTCATATTTTCTTCGGGTAACTTTTTGCTTCTTAATATACCGTATGATCACGCGAAATTAGAATTATGTCTGCCTTGAAATATTTAACATTGATATACAGGGTATCAGGAATTAATTGGAAGACTTTTTTTCTACATAACTTGGGAGATCCGGTATATTTTTCTCATATTCTTTTAATTAATTACATTATCGAATATTTAGAATTTGTTAATTAAAAGGTTTAATTCAAGAAATTTTAGACAATTACAAGTACAAAACAAGAGAACAAAAAAAAATATTTTCTCAAAAAACTAGGGCCGTCCGATTAATAATATTTTTATACTTTTTGAATACAATCAGGAGATTGGAGATTTTATGACAAAACTGCTCTTATTCACCATTTGAATGTTCAACACTAATATACGGGGTGTTACAAATTAATTAGGAGACTTTATTTTTCTATACACTTTCAGAAACCCTGTATATTTTTTGTCGTTTTGCCTGTAAGTTTTTAGTCGGTTTGTCGAATATTTAACATAAAAATACGGGAGGGGTAATAGAGAATTAAATTATAATCTGATTTTGAAGTGCCCAAACAAGAACCAGCGATGCCTCGACGAAAAAAATATCCCGAATTGGCCTATCGCCACCACGAGTTCCTCGTAAGCGACAAATCAACGGAAAATGGCAGCGTGGATAGGGCTAGGGTAAGTAGCAGACGATATCAATTCCCCCCCACGTTATTATATTACGTATTATACACATGCCTAAGTATTATCCTTGAAGGATGAAGCCTACGATATGCGGGATTACCGTTTTATTGTCTGGATACATTCAAATTTCGTATTAACATCCTTGGAAATTTTATTCAGTAGAATATTTTTTATCCCGCGTATCAAAACGTATATTATACAGGGTGGTCCGAACTGTATTCCGGAAACTTCGGCAGCATGTTCTGCAGATAAAAATATGTCTCTTGTAAAAATGTCTCTTTGTATAAATTGTTACGAGCAACCGTTCTCAAGATATTTAGAATTGAAATAGTCAATACATGTCATTATTGACAAAAAAATAAACACGTTGAGTAGACAGTTTTTTGAGCGAAATAATAAATTTAGGAAATTTTTATTTTTCTTTAAATTAGTAGTGGGAACTATCGAATGAATACTATCGAAACATTCGATAGTTGCAATTCGTTCGAATAATTCGATAGTTAGTAAGAAAACATTCGTTGAAAACTATTCGAATAAAAATTATCGAATAGATCCGTCATCTGCCTTGAAATATTGTATTCTAGTAATTCGGCTGCAAAAACCATTTCATTTATAAAATTCATTCATTTATGAAATTCATTCATTCGTCAGGATGGATTATAATAAAATATTAACTGAATTTTAGTTGTCGCCCGGCGACGTAGGTTTCTTTCCGAGAAACCCGACAGCGGCCGGTGGCAATGCTATGAAAGAAGCCGGCATCTTTGATTTTTGCGGAGTCCGATATAGATAAGGACACATTATTTTTTTTATTGAGGTGCTAGTATTTACACAGAAAATACATTATGAAAGGCGCTGTTACCATATTTTGGTATTAGTTGATATTCGCAAAGAATATTATTGTTTGGCTTTAGTTAATTAGGGATAGTATGTCTATATATTCTGCATTTTTTTTATTAATATTCTGTTGTTACACTGCAATAATACTTGTTATTTTGGATGCAGGAAAATTATTTTTAATGTTTTTTAGCAAAGACTGGTTTAATAAATAATAATAACAGTAATAATTTGTTATACCTATTAACAACAAAATTTAAAATCATTTAATATAAATATTTTCTTTTAAGTAGTAGCAAAATATAAACAACGATGTCAAATGTTGATGTTAGATGTCAAAATTATTTATATTAGATCCTATTTAAAAAAATATAGTCTCCAAATTTTTTGGCAACGTTGGTTTATTAAATAATAATAATTACAAAACTAATTTGTTATATTAACAACAAATTTTAAAATCATGAAATATAAGCATTTATTAATTTTCTAAACATGCAGTGTAATGGAAGGAAAATATAAATAAAAAATTAGAAATCAAAATTATTTATATTAGGTGCTTTATATTACTATTTAAAAATTATATTTACTTTTACTGGCATTTACTTTAAAAAATAAATAAAATATTTTTTCTTCGCAAAAAACTACATGTAAGAGAATTAGCATAAACAAAATACAAACATCGTTAACTTTTTTTTAAATTGGCACGTGTAAAACTTTCATTTTAATTTTCTCACCCCATAGTTTGAGTTTGATAACCATTTACTTAAATATGATTATACAACCACATTACTTAAATATGATTATTAACTTCAACTAATTCATATTATTAAAACATCTAAAATACAAATATGTATTTTTAAAATTAATTGTACGTTCATCCCATCTCTCTTAAAAATTGCTACTTCTCAAAATTTCCCATTAAAAAATAGACCATATAAAATTAAATAATTGAAAGATCGGACTACGGAAAACCACACAAATTTTCGGAAAAATTTTGACCACCTCCACATGCACACAATCGTCAATAAATAAAATTAAAAATAACTACTATTTTAGTATTTTAACTATTTTAATAAACGCAAAAATAGCACAGTATTTATACGGCGAAGTTATAAAAATTTGGAAGAACTAATAATGCACTGACGCATACAAAATCAAACGAATACTAAATTTCATTTATCAAAAGCATTCGATAGTCGTGACTCAACGATAACCATTTAGTCGCACGGCGAGGTTGTCACATATGCTTTAGTATACAAATGAATGAATGATTTTATTCGAATAAAACCATTCGATAGTTGAAATCATTCATTCATTAACCATTCGATAGTCTAATTCATTCGATAGTTCCCATCGCTCATTTAGTCGCACGGCGAGGTTGTCACATATGCTTTAGTATACAAATGAATGAATGATTTTATTCGAATAAAACCATTCGATAGTTGAAATCATTCATTTATTAACCATTCGATAGTTCCCATCGCTACTTTAAATTAATCATACATTTTTCTGCGAATAACTGATGATAAAACAGTTTTTGTTGAACTTTTGGCACAAAAGCATTTCTAATAGGTATATGATTTCAGTCTAATAATTATTTACGTAGTCGACATGTTTATGTCATGATGATAGGTATTGATAATTTGGATTCCAAATATCTCGAGAACCATTACTCGTAGCGATTTTTACTAAGAGACCTTTTTTACGTCAAAAACGTCTTAAATGTAAATTTTTTTACTCAGTAATTTTATACAGGTACGGACAAAAAGTTATTACTCTTCAAACCAGTTAAAAAATATGTAGGTGGCGCCCTCTACAAGTAGTAGTCATAATGACATCAAAATCAAATTTATCATGTCAAAAAACTACCAGACACCAATTTTAATCCAAATATTGACGTTATACTTCATAAATTATTTGGAAAAAATTGAAATAAAATTGAAACTTCTACACCCTGTATCTCCGAAACTAGGCATTTTAGGACATACATTTATATGTTTTTTACTTATTTACTTATCTGTAGAATATGCTGCTAAAGTTTCCGGAATACAGTTCGGGCCACCCTGTACATTAACTACGACCAGCTGTAACCACAACAATTTTAGATTTGGTTTGAAAGGCATTTCATCATCATTTTTTTGAAAAATTGAATCGCTGACAATCAGTGGTGACGCTAGAACTTTTTTTTGGGGGGGGGGAGGACAAGCAATTTTCCCAACTTCCTACTTTTTTTTATAGACCATAATACATGTAATAATGTATCGTGATAGGAATAAAAACCCTTGTTTTAAAAAAATTGTTTTATTAATTTAAAATTTAAATTTAACATTATTGAACATTATAAATAATGATTGTTATGACAACTCTAAAATTAAAATAAAATCGTAACTAGTCGTCTGGTCTTCAAAGTGGCCCAAGTTGTTATTATTTTTTGTAAATCGAAGTTGATGGGAATATCCGCTACACATTAGTGCAGCGGCATAATTTTTTTTTATTTTTGACAAATTTGGGATCATCACCCCCCATAGCTTCACCACTGCTTACAATACCAAACCATTTAAATATTATATGTTTATAGTTTTTAAAAGTACACAAAATTAACTGTAAACACTGAAATTTTCAAAATCTTTTGTCTATATGAGGTGTCAAGTTGCAAAACCCGCATAATCCATTTAAAAAAAATAACCTAATGAAATATATTAATAGAGGTGTATAAAATACCCTAAAATCTACATAGGCATAGCCCCAAACTGCAGCAAAAGTCGCCTATTCCTATATAAAATTCATTACAAATTACGTTACGATTTTTTTTTAAGAAACGAAAGTATCTAATCCCGAATATTTAAATATTTTCGAGGAGTACATAAAATTTATTAGAAATTCTGAGATTTTTAATCTCCTTTAAAAATCGGGTAATAAACAGTTTTTTTTTCTATTCCCGTACATAATATAGTCCTGAACATTTTTATTAGACTTATATCAATTGTTCTGTATAGCTATAAACCTATAACCGATATATGAAAACGAAATATATGTAAATACCATGAATCAGCAATGACATACATGTAAATATTCCATTCAATAGCCAAGCTTTCCGGTAAGAGTCAAATATTTATGCAACATTTCTATGAATACCAATCCTTATTTTTCCATTTGTTATATTGCTTTAGTTAAACGACGTGTTAGATGATATATGCGGCGCATAAGTAGATTATAACTTGTTAGGCAGATTGGCTTTAATTAATTTTCTCCAGCAGAAATTGCTGGTTTCGAGGTAATTACTCCCATCAAAATTACTAATGAATTGATTGATCGTCAAATGCCTGGGAAACCAACAAACTTCGTTAAATCCGCTCAAATTGATTTAAATAAATTTACCTTTAACTACTTCGAAATTATTACAGAAAATATATACACATCAAGATTATAATGTATTTTTATGGTTACTTCTGGTTGTTTTTTCTTCACTTTGATAAACAGAATTGGGTAAATTTGAAAATCGAATTAATAATGTACCCAATTTCGTTTATTAAACTAGTTTTAATCATTGTTTTGCTTGCTATTTCATATCACGAATCGCACCTCATATGGCGTTACTATGCTTTCTTTTTGTCTTATTAATTTCGTACGCCACTGTAATCCCCTACACCTGCCCTCCCCACGAAGCAAGTAGCCTTATGTCTACAGTATGTTCAAGATCTTTGATTTAATTATATTTTTCCAGAATGTCCAAATATCTTGAAAAAACTGTTTGTCATTGATTAGTCGGTCATTGTGCCTTTGCACTGGCAATAGGCACTGGTAAGGATTATTGGCGGGCATTATTTTCTTTTGCAATATATCGATTTAAAGTTGAATCTCTCCGGCTTGTCTGCATGTCTTCCAATACGAAACCATGGTTTGAGAACCATTGGGAGACCAAACCTATACCACCGCAGCATAATTTGATTAGAGCCTCTAGCAAAAAATCGTATTTTTATAAGCTAATAGATAGTAATTTTCATTAAGAGCTGTTCTTATTTTTTTCGCCTTAACCTGTATACTTTTCGATTTTTATTTGTAGAAAGAAGCCAAAGTATATTTATAGTTCCTGGAACTTGTAAAAATAAAATTGTTTCGAATCGACGCAACTAGAATTAGATTCAGTTTGGAAACTCCTAAGCAACATAAAATAATTGATGGGTACCGTTTGAACATGAACAGTAACAAAGAAATACGGCATTATTATATTTAAATTTATTATTAGTATCTGGTGGAACAGTATTCTAACTGTCTTTTCCAACGCATGGTTGATTCTTGTTGGTTTTAAATCAGGGCAAGCCAGGAGTATAGAATAATAAATATGAAAAACATCTTTTCCGCGTACTCTTTTATGTATGTACATCATCAGTTAAAAATAGAGCCGTTGTATTGTTGCATCCTGTTAAAAAAATGCAACCAGCAAACCTAGAACGATCAATTCACTCACTGAGACTTATTCCATTTTTTAATTCAGCCTTAGATAAGTATTCCTGAATTAAACTCGACTAAATTATACACTAAATCGCTTGTTTAATAAATAATGCCGTTTTAATTACACGCTAGCATTTTAAGAATTGTTAAAAAGAGATTAATTGTTTATATATTATAAATCTGCATAGAATTACCTACAAATGCTGAAATTTTCATAATTTTATGGCTACGATTACAATGTTTCTAAAGCCTTTGAAAATTTATAAAAAATAGCAAAAATTTTATTTTGGCTATTAAAATAATTAGGCATTTTTTCGATTTTTTTCCATACATATAGTCGTGAAAATTGGCGATTTTCATTATGTCACCGATTTTCTTAAAACTGCTGTTATTTACTAATTAAAAGGCGTAGAATATAGGCCATTGTAATCTTACGAAACCAGTAATAGATGTAGGAGACGTTTTAACCATAATCAAGAATAGCTCAAAACCAAGATATCTAAGCCTTTAAGGGTGTATATATTGGGAATATACATAAAATTTACTAAAAATTCTGAAACTTTCATAATTTTATGGCTATGATTATTATTTTTGTAAGGCCTTTGAAAATGTGTAAAAAATACCCAAAAATTTGGCCATTTTTACGATTTTTTCCATGTCGTGAAAATTGGCCATTTTCGATATGTCTACGATTTTCTTAAAACTGCTGTTATTTACTAATTAAAAGGCGTAGAATAAAAAAATATAGGCCATTTTAGTCTTACGAGACCAATAATGGACGTAGGAGACGTTTTAACCATAATTAAATATAGCTCAAAACAAGTGTCCAAAAATTAATATTCTCACAAAACCATCTACATCTTTAAAGGTGTATATATTCGGGATCTACATAAAATTTCTTACAGATGCTTACATTTTCATAATTTTATGGCTATAATTATTATTTTTCTAAAGCTTTTGAAATTAAAAATAGCTCAAAACTAGTGTCCAAAAATTAATATTCTCACAAAACCAAGACATCGCCTTTAAAGGTGTATATATTCGGAATCTACATAAATTTCCTACAAATGCTGAAATTCTCATAATTTTATGGCTATGATACTTGATGTAGATGACTACAGTACTTGATGTAGATGACATTTAAATCAACGATTATTATCTACATATATTTTTTGTCTGTATTTTCCTGAATCCTCTCTATTTATTTATGAATATAGGTTATAGCACTGGCTCTTTCTTTGCAAGCGAAATGCATGTGCCGGCTGTTATAAAAATGATTTTAAAATGAATACGTTTCCATAGAGCAGAGTCTTTTTAGATGGCGGGTATCTACAGGGTTAAACAAAATCCACTGTTGAATTCTGATCTTTTTCTCCCTTACTGTATATAAAATAAAACGTTTGGGGAGGGTAAGGAATTCCTTTATACAGTTACACAACTTATTTCTAACCCTGTAGATGCGGCTCTTTTCAAATGTCTGAGTAAATACACATTTTATTAAAAATATATGCCGTATTTATAAATAACTCTCTAGGGCGTTTAAATCAAATTTTAGCCTAGCAGATCTAGTGCAAATCTTTTGTTGGTATCCAGACATTGGAAAGAGTACGTTCTGGGGGTCCACTAATAATGAAATTAAATTCAAATGTTCACACTATGTGTCATTAGTGAATTTACTTCATATTTGTGGTTTTAGTACGAGATTCAGTGGCAAAATTTTCCAGGCATGATTTTTGATAAAATATATCTTAGACGAAAGACTATTAACAATTATAAGGAAGCCCGAAAAAGAAACTATCGATATATCGTTCTCATTCCTCCCAACATTTTTTTTCTGTTAATAATCTTTTACTGGAAGCTCTATATTTTATGAAAACTAAGACGGATGTCTAGGGAATTTTACTAACGGAGTCTCTGACTATTAGTACCCGAATGTGTGCATGGTTGAAGTGGAGGAAATATTCGATGGACATGTGATAGAGATGTATTCATTTTAATTTCCAGTCGGAAGAACGATTTGGGCCGAATTGGAGGCCTTCCAGGCGCAGCAAGTCGGAGGGCCCGCGGCGGGCTATCGAACCCGAGTCCGATCCTGGGGAGCGCAGGCGCGAGTCCGACCCTGACGTGGAGAACATGGTAACAGTAGGGACGTCCACTGAGAGAAAAACGATACAGTATCGATTTTTTTGATATTTCAATTTGTCATTTAATATTTCAAGAAAAAAATTGATACGGATCGTATCGATGTTTTTATATGTCGATATTTTGGGACGTCCCTAGGTAAAAAGATAAGGTCATTTTCTGCCTCTCCAGATCTATACATCCCCATAAATTTGCCATCCAGTAAAATAGAGGATTTTTTTTCTATCCTTTACCAGGCACTATCCAGATTCACTGTATATTTTCTTTATGTTATTCGTTTTCGTTCAGTACATATATCACTCAGTAGTTCAAAATAAAACTAAGAAAATTGTAGAAAACCTTCATAACACTTATTATTATCAAAAATATGAATTTATAAAATAGGTACGTTAAAAATGTGGTTTCTTTGTATTTAGGAACAAAACTTATACAGGGTGTTTCAAAAAACATATGCCATCTCTCGTGGGGAGATTCCCCGCGTAAAATTAAGATGTATTTTTCATATCAACATAGGTCCGATTCTGCTTTGTTTCGTAGCTACAGGAAGTCTTAATATTTTTTCGATTTATTATAATTTTCTTCCAAATACTTTTATTATTTCGAATGAGAGGAGGAATTTTAGAGGGTAAAAGTTGCTATAAATTTTAAGAAAAAAAAACTTTTTTTCTCTCGTTAGCGAAATAGTGTAGGCAGTTTAATGCCGATTAAAAGTGGTCTCTTGATATTTTGTCGATTTCGGCCTCCTTGACGCAATTTTATTAATTTGCCATGATCTAAGTCTATGTGCTAATAGCAACCTTTAAAAAAATGTAATATCATTTAATTTGCGAAAGTTTTAAATAAATACTCATTGATTCTTCATCAAAAAATATGAAAAAAAGTTCCTATAAACATGGGTAAGGAAATGCATACTTTTAGAGTTACAGGATGTTAAAACTTTTTAAAATTGAGTTTTTTTTAATAATCCCAAATACCATTATTTTTTTATTTGAAATTGCTGTATGTTGGACTAATAGTAATAATATTTAATAATAAATTAGGTAACATAATTTACTAATTTTATTTTTATTTTAATTAAAAATAAAATTCAAAAAATATTTTTTTCGAAAAATATTCCAGTGATAACCCATCTGCACGTCCCTGATGAATTTATCGACACTTTTTTAGCATTAAAATATGTAGCACTAAATAGTAACTTCCCTCAAAATTTCGTTCGAATGAATAAAAGTACTTGGAAGAAAATTATAATAAATCGAAATATTATTAAGACTTTAATACCCTGTAGCTACGAAACAAAGCAAAATCGGACCTATGTTGACATGAAAAATAAATGTTATTTTTACGCGAGGAATCTCCCCACGAGAGATGGCACATGTTTTAGAAACATCCTGTAGAACTTAGAAAAGCTAGATACGAGCCTGTGTTTTTTTATTGTTTCGTGCGTCCGCATATGGGCGTAAACAATTTTCCTAGTTGCGTTTTGAGCTCGACATACATCACAGACCTCGTTAATCTCTCACTAGCCCGACCAAAAGCATTGCGATAGTTTTGTAAACGATCAGGCACCTTTAATCCATAATATGAATTACCAGGGACGCGAAAACGGCCTGCTTCGCAAAGCCATTTCCAAAATTAGCACCGAATATCGGAGACAGTTTGCGTGGCCCCCGGGGCACGCCTCTCGCAAAGATGAGGTAGATGGGGCACCCAGGAAGTCCCAGTCTATGGGAGCCCTCAAAGCCAACGCCAACGCTATGATACATAAGAAGCGTATTGATACAGACAATAGGGATGGTAAGTAACAATCGACTACCCCAGAGAAATATTTTGCTAGCTAACCAAGTTTTTTAATATGGAAAATACCAAATAATATTTTAAAAAGAGTACTTTGTATGTATACGGAGTACCACCAGTACAAAGATCCTCTTTACGGCTTATAAGCTAATTTTAAGTTTACTTTTTTTCCTAAATTATTCAATTTTTTTCAAACAATTAATAAAAACCAGGTTAGAAAGCTTAAATAAATGTTTGGGTGTATTGTGTAATTTTTCTTAATACTATTTATGAACCAAATAAAGGACACACTAATATTAGTAAGTTTCTAAATATAGAACTTGACAATGGTCATTCTTTGTAGCTAGTGAGTTGGAACCGTTAGTAGACATTCGAACGAACCAAGAACGATCTAAAGAAGAATTTAACAGTGAGTATAAAAAAAAGTTTAGGCCATTTAGTCAATACCAATATATAAATGGACGCTTTTCATCCAAACGAAACGCAGTTGCCGAAATTGAAAATGTACATAAAGATTTTTCTGCAGACTTGGATAACGACTCTTCATGGTACCGCGAAGTTGTCGAGCTTCGCAAAAAAGCCGGCGAATACAAGGTGAGCGCTATAGTATTTTTTGTTTAAATCTAGTAAAATTTTGGTTTAATCTAATGATGGCTAACCTGTTATTTGTAGCATAGAGGCTGGGGATCGGAGCTAGCTCCGGAGCGACTATCCGACATTTACAATAAACAAATTGAGCTATGGGATCAAGTATCTAGAAGAAGTTCCTTGTCAGCTCTGTCGCTAGCTTCCCACATGACTAACAAATCGTACACCAAGGAAGACAAAGACGAAGACAATAATCGAAAAAGCTCTCCTACCAAAGCTTACCGAAATGCCGAAAACAATGCAAGAATGATTAGAGATATAATCCGCCATCACCTAGAAAGAACTACTGGAGGTTCTGGTAAACTAATAACTAATTTTTCCCAAATACATATTGAATGGCTAATGTTAATCTAGATGGGCTCATTTTGTCGCCTACTAGAGAAAAATTAGAGCCCACCATACCTAGGAAAGACGACGATTCGAGAGGATCTCAAAAAAATAGCCCGAAAAAGAGTTCGCCTTTAAAAACTACTGCCAAACGTGGAAGCCAAAAAGGAAAACAGGGTAAGAGCTAGAATCGTGTAGCCTATGTACAAACTCAGATTTGATAAAAAAAAAACATTGTAGCCCGTTCACAATCGGTAGGACCTACTACGGAACATTCTAATAAGGAGAAGCAGTCTCCCAAGAGACAGTCTAGGTCTACAGTAAAAGAAGGAAGGAAGTCGACTTCCAATACTTTCTCAAATAAAAGACCTAGACCCTGTAAGGTCATATATAGCTTGTAGTTTATTTCGATTACTCACCGAGAAAGATCAAATTACTGTTCACTTAATTTTTGAACAATTGAACTGTCAGAAAAAGGAAATAATTTGATGTTTCTTCTCGAGCAATCATCACCAGTGTGTGCCAAGAGTCGCTCCTTTGCTCCTTCACATTTCACGTCATATTTTGTCAACATTATTCCTTCCCACACCTATAAAAGCCTTGTACTGTAGTTTCGTGAATGCGTGTGGCTGATCTATGAGAGCCAGGAATCATTTTCACTGAATTTTCGGCTTCGTTTGTCGCTTTTTGAACTTTGTTTTCACAACTTGCAAATTGGCTTTTTTATTATTAGCACGATTTTTGTACAGGCAGTGTGTGTTTGTTTCTTTTCTCTCAACAAAACCACTCGAAATGGTTCCTGGCCTGCTTTTTGCATTCAGTGGTTATTTCTAGAAGCTCTGAGTAAATGCCATGTGTGATCTGTTGTATTGTAACAAATGTTTCGGGTTTTTTAGCATCCTTGAATACATCCCGATCTAAATCAACTTCGGTAGTAACTAAAAACGAAGATGACCGATTGGCCAAATCGAATAAAAATAAATCATTAAGTACAGTAGACTCATCTAACCAAAACAGAAAAGGAAGTCACGAAGGTAAGATGTCATTGAGGCTCGATACTTGGCACACGCGAGTTTACTGCCTTCCGTTTCTCGCCTTGACTGATAGCTTAGAACACCAACTTTACACTTACAGACCATAAAACGAAATAATTTCCCTTACATAGAGCTTTTTAACCGTCTAGGTTTAAGTATAATAATATAAAAGCGAATAGATCTATACATATTTTATTCAGCTTCTGAGCATCCGAAATCTGATTACGAAGATGCCAAGAAAAATCATGAGAATGAACAGCCAGAAAGTATAGAATACGAACCGGTGGTAAAGTCGCCTCCCGAGCCTACCAGGGTTAAATCGCCGGAACAGATAATCATGAGATCACCTGATCCTGTCAACTGGACAGTGCCTTTGGATACCGGCAAAACTTTTACAGTTACTCAAAACGTTAGAGATGGTAATTAAAATCAGAATATTCTATATATCCACACAGCACAACAACCCCTATTAAAAATAATGAAGTATTCGATGATTTTAAGGAGTTATTATTTCCCAAGAAGTCTTGTGCTGTGTGGTTGAAGGGGACTTCCTGAAAGAGTTAATTTTCTAGGTGATACAAGCAGTCGTCCTCAGAGTGAAGTGAAGGCTTGGACACCTCCTGACGTTCCTCCGCCAGTAGCCCAGTCAGCTCCCCCTACTTTAACTGAGGGACAGGCCAGCCTTTCGTAGGCCTTAGCGAATCCCGACTTATGCTTAACCCATATTCGATTTGATTATGTTGCTTTAGGTATGGATCTAGTCGGAAAGCATGATCTCGGGTCAAGGCAGGGCCATCAATGCACAGGTACTTGTAATATTAATTCTCCTTTGGATTAGCGATGAGAACTATCGAATGAATTAGACTATCGAATGGTTCCTGAATGAATGATTTCAACTATCGAATAGTTTTATTCGAATAAAATCATTCATTCATTTGTATACTAAAGCATATGTGACAACCTCGCCGTGCGACTAAATGGTTATCGTTGCGCCACGAGCCACGACTATCGAATGCTTTTGATAAATGAAATTTAGTATTCGTTTGATTTTTGTGTGCGTCAGTGCATTATTAGTTTTTCCAAATTTTTGTAACTTCGCCTTGTAAATATTATGCTATTTTTGCGTTTATTAAAATATTTAAAATACTAAAATAGTAGTTTTTTTTTAATTGACGATTGTGTGCGAAGTGGTCAAAATTTTTCCGAAAATTTGTGTGATTTTCCGTAGCCCGATCTTTCAATTATTTAATTTTATATGGTATATTATGGTTAGGTTAGATTGCATTTTTTTTATGGGAAATTTTGAGAAGTAGCAGTTTTTAAGAGAGATGAGATGAACTTACAATTAATTTTAAAATACATATTTGTATTTTAGATGTTTTAATAATATGAATTAGTTGAACTTAATAATCATATTTAAGTAATGTGGTTAAGTAAAAGAGGTTATCGAACTCAAATTTTGGGGTGATAAAATTAAATTGAAAGTTTTACACGTGCCAATTTTAAAAAAAAGTTAACAATGTTTGTATTTTGTTTATTCTAATTCACTTACATGTAGTTTTTTGCGAAGAAATATTTCATTTATTTTTTAAAGTAAATGCCAGTAAAAGTAAATATTATTTTTAAATAGTAATTTAAAGTAATAAAAAGGTAGTATAAATAATTTTGATTTCTAATTTTTTATTTATATTTTCCTTCCATTACACTGCATGCTTAGAAAATTAATAAATGTTTATATTTCATGATTTTAAAATTTGTTGTTAATATAACAAATTATTTCTGTAATTATTATTATTTAATAAACCAACGTTGCCATTTAGAGACTATATTATTTTTAAATAGGATCTACTATAAATACTTTTGACTTCTATTTGTTGTTTATATTTTGCTACTACTTAAAAAAATGTTTATTTTATTAAATGATTTTAAATTTTGTTGTTAATAGGTATAACAAATTTTAACTGTTATTATTATTTATAAAACCAGTCTTTGCTTAAAAACATTAAAAATCATTTTTCTACATCCAAAATAAAAAGTATTATTGCAGTGTAACAACAGAATATTAATAAAAAAATGCAAAACATATATAGACATACTATCCCTAACTAACTAATGCTAAAGAATAATATTCTTTGCTAATACCAACTAATACGAATATATGGCAACAGCGCCCTTCATAATGTATTTTCTGTGTAAATACTAGCACCTCAATAAAAAAAATAATGTGTCCTTATCTTTATTTGACTCCGCAAAAAATCAAAGATGTCGGCTTCTTTCATAGCATGGCCACCGACCGCTGTCGGGTTTCTAGGAAAGAAACCTACGTCGCCGGACGACAACTAAAATCCAGTTTATATTTTATTAAAATCGATCCTGACCAATAAATGAATTTGATAAATGAATGGTTTTTGCTGCCGAATTACTAGAATACAATATTTCAAGGCAGATGACGCATCTATTCGATAATTTTTATTCGAATAGTTTTCGACGAATGTTTTCTTACTAGCTATCGAATTATTCGAATGAATTGCAACTATCGAATGTTTCGGTAGTATTCATTCGATAGTTCCCACTACTACTTTGGATACCCATGTAACTTGTTTTGTGCTTTTAAATGTTTCAGTATAAGACTTCAATCACCATACAAAAAGCCATTACCAATATCACCACGACCGAACTCCGTATGGGGAAAAATTGAGGAGGCTAAGAAGTGATGGAAATGAGTAATTACATGGGTACTGTGCCATTCTCAACAGGGTAGTAGCCAAAAACTTAAAACAGTTTATGTGAGCGGGGTACATTTAGATATTTAGCTGTCCTTATTTAAGCCATATTTAAGCCTTTATATACATAACAGCTTAGGTATATGTTTCATGCTGTCCATATCTGTACCGAGTCCGTCAAAAAATCACAGCAGGAAATATTTCCTTTCTCGATAAGTTTAGCCAAAAGTAACATATGTAATCCTACGTCCCATTTTTTACAAAAATTTTGAAACTTGTGATCTCTTATCAGTGCACTCGTGTTTCTGCCACAAGAGGTTATACAAACAAACTATGGTTAAAATAATATTCATATATATTTTGTGTAGATGCGTTTGCTTGCATATTTTCTTGTTAATTTAGTGTACATCGAACGCACTTATTTATTGATATAAAAACGGTAAAGAGTTATATAAAATTTCTGTTAAAGTGTGGGTTTTATTTATTTTCCCTCCAACGCCCTCTCCAGAATATCCTTTCACTGATCCAGATTATATTTTTACAAGCAATATTTAAACTACTCAAAACAAACACTTGAGGCTAGTAAATGACTAATTTAAGTATAATAATGGATAAGCATGTCTCACAAAGGTGACTTAGATTAATTCCAAATTTAGATAATTTATAGTTAAGTCCTATGACACATAAAACTGTAATCCAAAAACAACGTATCATAAGACAACTTTATAAATCAATAATTAAACCAATTAAAATAAGAATCTTATTTGGATTTTTATTTAGATAATGATATACCATACAATAATCTTACAGTATGCATATGTATAGCTCGGCAAACTTAAGTAAAAATAGTTCAATATATTTTGTTATTAAAAGAATAAAAATAATAGTGAAAGACCTTAAGTACAAGAGTATAAATTGGCCCAAACATTAGAAGAAACCGAATAATTCGTATTTTTAGTAAATTAACGATTTAGTCAAATAAAAAACTTAACATAAACAACAACAGATCATATGGCCTCGAAAAAGGAACAGTTTATTAAGAACCTCATAGATTTTAAAAGCACAAATCTATATATAGAAATTGAGGAAATATTCTGATTAGAGCTATTTTTTTATAAATTCCAGTAAAGATATTATTTACAGAAGATTATAAACTTACTGCTTCAAAGGCGAGACTTAATTCTATGCTTAGTACCTCCTTACAACTTAAAAGTATTGTTATGAAACAGGCACTGTTTGAATGATTTACATTGATTTTAGAATTTATTTTTAGCAGAGGCAAACTTAACATATAATTGTTTTTTTTTACTCAAAGAACTAAATAATCATTAGCATAAGACATCACAGCCAGGTAAGAAAGTTGTAAACTAACTCAAACTATAAGAAAAATACATTTTCCTAATGCCATAGACAAACAGCAAGATTATAAATTAGTAAAATACTAAAGAAAAAAATACAAAAACTACAAGAATTTTATTAATATGAACTTTCTAGCATGGAGGGATAATTTGTAAATGACAGCAGATTATTGTATGAATTATATTATTTTCCTTGAATTATATACTCCATACTGTTTTTATAATTTTACTATTAATAAAAAAAAATAGAACGAAAGAGCTCCAATATTGTTTGAATAACTTTTTCAAAACCATATGATATTTTTTTTACATAGCCACAGATAACGCAGTAAATATTTACTACTTATTATATACAACCTAAAATCGATGTCTGGATGTACATATAGCACATACCTAGCCTACTATGATCTCACGACTCATCACATTTAACTGTCATATAACCTAGGCGGCCGTGTTGTCAGTACTGCCTCAAAAATATTTAATATTTATTTCTGTACTGCAGGCCAAATCTGAGTACCTACAAATTGTTATCTTTAAATTAATTCTGAGACAATTTTCACAAGACCGAAGATCGAGTAAAGTGATCTTACTACAACTCTAGAAATGAACATTAAAATTATAAAGCATCAATTTTAATAAATTTCAGAAGATTTTTAGTTAACTTTTTGTTTAAAATAATAAAGAATTACGAAAATAATGAATACTGAATGTGAATAGTTTATAAATATTAGGCTATAAATTATTTAATATCTGTTGTTAGTAGTAGTGTTATTTTGGGAAAATTGTGATTGAACTGCAGCAGCTGCGACGTTACTTGCAGCACTTCTAACATGTTGGTTACGTAGTACAACATCTGTAAATTCTTGTTGGGCTTTGGAAAAGCTTGCTCCAGTACTGCGATACATTCTGTGAATCTGAGAAAAAATTCTTGATTATATCTTGTATAAAACAATTACAAAACCCTTACTTTAGAAATCATAAAAATATCTGCTACTGCAGCGAACATAAATCCAAAGGCTATTATCAAAGCAATTATTCCACAGAATATAGTCCATGAAGTGCCTTTAAATGTAGAAATGGCCATGATAATTCCTCTAAAACAAATTATTTATGTTGTTCAAGAAATATAATTTAACCGACATGAAATACTTACATTGTACCAGAGCCAGGTATACCTACAGCATGTATAGTAGTTACAACAAATTGGAAAAAGAAAATAAAGAAGAATACCATAAAATTAAAAGATGAATCAGAACGGAATGCTTTGTAAGCAGGTCTAAACCAGCATAAATATGAAAATGGTGTAAATAACAAGGTATACAAGATCCCTACACCAATAACTGTGAAATTCTGTGTCAAGATTCCTCCAAGGATATTAGCTAGCATAACAATTCCATGAACTAAAAACCTTAACGTTTATATAATTTACTCGGTATATTAAAATACTCACAAATCCATAGATAATACAAGTGTCTGACAATTTTTTGAAACTCTAAAGGTATGTCAACTTGTATATCTTGATAAAAACATGGCTGGAAACAGCACTGCTCAGGCAAAGGTGGCCAATTATTGCGTCTTACATTATAGGAGGACTGTCTCATTTCTTCTTCTCTCCTGGCAAGTTCTTGTTCTTTACGTTCCAATTCTTCTTGCCTTCTCTACAGACAGAGTTGTTATAAAACTATTTAAAATTAAGGCACATAAAATACCTGTAATTCTTCTGTATTTAAGGCTGGCTTTGGTGTTTGAATTTGTTGCCCACTTCTTGTATATGCAGGAGGCTCCTCAGTGGGCTGCATAATTGCAGGCCCATTATTTGGTTGAGCATACTAAAATATGTGTATATCAAACATAAATAAGCAATTCCAAATCAAGTTCATCATAAAACTTACGGTTTTTTGAGTTGGTGCTGCTTCATTATCAAAAGGATTGTAATCATCAACTCTAATCTGTGCATTGGCATTTCTTGCAACTTGCTGAACAGAAGGATCCTACAAATTGTACATCACGACATTATAAGTTGAGTTACGTTTTTAATAATAATATAGGAAACATATAGGCATAAAAACTATCAAACAGTTAATTTTATATTCCTTCCAACTGGAAAGTACAGTCTAGGAAATGCATTGAACTAAAATGCGACTTACTGCGAAAGGATTATCTATCGTAGGTTCTCCAAATGGATTATCGTCAAAGCCGGACATTTTTGGTCTTCAGAACTTCCAAATACACGAAAAAAGTAATCTTATCAGTTATATTTTCATTATCACATACGACAGGAAACCATTCTATTGAGTTGACATTTGCGAACGACGTTTACAAACAAATTAAAATTATTATATTATCCAAGTTTTACTAAATTGATTTAACTGGAATATTTCATACACACTAGAGAAACATAAATCAATTTTTTACAGTTATTAATTTTATCTAGAAAATAACTCAAGCAGACAAAAACAGACTGGAACAGCAAACTGACACTGACATCTGCATCTGACAGGTATAGACACTTTAAAGTATTGTAAAGGTAGACAACCAAAATAACACTTCTGACCATAGAGCTATACCATAGAGCCAGTGTCTATGGTAGGTTCTATTTGGGTTTTGTGTTTCATCTTCTATCTGTTCTATGGTCTAGTTTTAGTCTAGTTGTCAAAGGTGTGTCAAAGTATAAAGTATAGTCAATTGTGATTGTGATTGTGATAAAGTATAGTCAATTGTGATTGTGATTGTGATAGTCAAAGTCTCGAACTCGAACCTCGAACCATGACTTAGCCTCACAATTTTGAGGTATTTATTTGGTATTTTTCTCATAAAAATGACCAAATAACACGTCAGTTTTAAATAAAATGTTTAAAAAATGGAAGCAGAAATAATGTGTATTCTTTAAAATAACCGTGAGTTAATAACAAAATGAATGTATTTGTGATAATAATATCAATTCTTGTATCTGTGATATGTGTCTTGCTAGCTTTAGTTCAACATTATTATTTTATTACTAAGTTTTATAAGAAACCATCAATCAAGTATAACTCTCCTGAATTTGAAGATCTGATTCCTTCACATGACAAAAAGGTCTTTGAATTAGGGTATCCTATAAATGTGGAAACCTATGAAGACACAGTATTAAATGATTTGACATCAGCTTTAAACTCTCAACCAAAGGAACATAGTGATACTGTTAAGATTATGGATAGAAGTAAAAGAAAAATGGGAACAGATTCAGAAGTATATAATACTATTCAAGCAGCTTTAGCTTTTAAAATGGTTGGTAAAAATAACAAAGCTATGAAACTATTTGAGCATGCTAGTGCTATGGCTCCAGATAACGCTGATGTCTTAAACTGGTATGGAGAATTCTTGGAACAACAACACCATGATGTTGTAACTGCTGATGAATTATATTTTAAAGTAAATGTTTAAGAAGTACCATATTCAAATAATAATCCATGTTATATTTATATTCTACTATATAACATTTTTAATATCCAGGCATTAACATATTCCCCAGATCACAAAGCTGCTTTGTCAAATAGAAAACGCACAGCTCCTGTTGTTGATAGACTTGACTATAAGCTTTTCAAAGAAATTGATAATTTAAAAAACGTTCTCAAGGATCGTATGAAATTAGATAACTTTGATAGTGTAAAAAAACAAGCGTATTATCTACATATTTATCATACTGTAAGAAACAACATGGTTGAGACACTGTATTTTTAATAAGCCTTATATTTTTTAGGTGGGAATTGAGGGTAATACTATGACAGTTGAACAGTTAAGGTATGTTCTAGAAACAGGTCATGTAGTAAGCGGCAAAAGTTTGCTTGAACATAATGAAATATTGGGACTAGAAAAAGCAATGCAGTATGTGAAATTATTAACAAGAACTGACTATATTGGTATTAAGGAAATTTTAGGAATACATAGAAGAGTAATGGGACATGTAGATCCTATAAAATCAGGTGTCTTCAGGGATGAAAAGGTTAACATAATTCTTAAAAATTATATGTGCCTATTATATCCACATCTTGCATTACGATAGGTTTTCATTGGTAGTCATATTCCTCCTCCTCATGGAGAAATTCCAGTATTAATGGAAAATTATATAGATTGGCTTAATTCTGAGGAAGCTCACAGCATGCATCCTGTTAGATATGCAGCCTTAGCTCATTATAAACTGGTTGATATTCATCCCTTTGTTGATGGAAACGGACGCACAAGTAGACTTATAATGAATCTAATTCTTCTTAAAGCTGGATATCCACCAGTTATGATTTTAAAGGAACAAAGGTAATACTGAGATATGAACAGAAAACACATGTTTCATTTCATTATTTAAGGGAAAAATATTATGATGCCCTGAAGACTGCCAACATGGGAGATGTAAAACCATTTGTCAGATTTGTGGCCCAATGTACTTTACAAATTCTAGATATGTATCTTTATGGAACAAGAGCATTGTCCATTGATGGGCCTGAACATCAGCTCATGGAGTTTTAATATTTTTAATCATTAATTTTCCCTCCGAAAGCCAAATTTTATTTAATGGGCATTTAAAAGTTTCCAATGTAAATTAATTTTTCAATATATCTAAATCTAGTTACAGGTTTATTAAAAATATCTCTGATTAAAATTTTATTTTGTTCTTAAAGTATTTATTTTTGTTATAATATATTAAATTAGTATATGTTAATGATATTTTTGTAAAACTGAAGTTAATAAAAAATCTTTAATAAAAGATTCAATACTTTATTATCTAAATATAAAATTTAATAGTCTGATTAAACAAATGTAACAAAACATATCACAAAGATTCATAATAAGTCAATCAGGTACTGCTCAGTACTAGTTGTAACTAGTAATTTATAACACCTGCTGAGGTATTTTAAACAAGAGGCACTTGTGGTCAAACTCAAAAAACTTAAATTATTATTGAAAAACATCACACTAGAATTTCTTCTTGGCTTTATCAAATGCTGCTACTATTGCATCTCTGAAACACAAATTAATTTAATATGTAATATAATGAACAGATCTCTCTCTTACCTAAAAATATTTCTGTACCAAATATAAGCACCAACATGACCACAATTAAGATATTTTACAGTAGCGCCTGGCCAAATTTCATCCAATCTAGAAACGCCTTTTCTAGGCACATATCCATCAGTTTGAGCAGTTATAGATATTATTAGGGAAGTATCTACAGGGACAGAGAAATTTTTCAAATGTGTACATTCATCCATCATACCCCTCATAAACCATAAAGCTTCAGTTGCTGAAAAAATTGCTTTTATAAGTGACTACATGGACCAACAGATTGCAATTTACCTCTTCTTTTCATTTGTACTACTTTAGGGCTTGGTTTAAATATTGTAATTTTTTTAATAGAGTCCATAGTCGGCTTAAAACTAGATTTCTCATTAGTAGACTTGTAGTCCATAGCTTTGCAATCAGACTGCGATACAGTTATTTTTAAATTATTGAGTATTTCATGTGGAGTTGCATAGCTAGACTTGAGATCTTCGATAATATCCTGTTCATACTGTATAGCATAGTCATCTACAAATTAAAATACTAGTTGACCACAATTTGTACCTATAGTAACACACCTGTAATGTTTTTTGTAAGACTACAAGCAAAAGGATCATCAACTACTTTACAACTTTTAGATAATTCTTCACAATATAATTTTTCATTAAAATATTGATTTTGCAACATGTCCCAATCAATAGATTCACTCATTACTCCCTATAAATATTTTAAAATAAAATAAATTAATGAAATATCTAATGAACAGGCTGTTGTACCTCTGTAAAAACTGATGATGCTGTGGACCAACTTAGACAAGGAACTAGTACCAAAGGTTTTGGCCAATTACTGGCTGCTAAGGAGGCCATCTAAAAGAAGAAATTATTGTAAAGTGACCACTTTCAAATAACAAATAAATGCTTACATGTCCACCCATTGATATTCCAGTAATTCCTAGAGGTCCAAAACCTTGACTTTCACACCAATTTAATAATGTTACGCACTCCAGTATTAAACAACCTCCCATGACAAAAATGTCTGATACATAGTGTACACTTGATCTTACTTGTGCTGGAGGTTTTCTGAATCCATAATAAGGATTTTCTAATATTATTGCTCCTATACCTTTTTCTATGAGAGGCTTCACCATCAAATACTTCCTTCGCCAAAAGAACTTGAAATAATCTTATAAGAAACTATTAATAAATAAAAATATATACATACATGATCGCCAGTACCTGCTAGATGGATACAAACGGGCTTAAACTTATCATCGGGCCATTTTAATGGTATGATCATTTGAAAGACGGCATCATGTACTTCAGAAGGTGTAATACCTGGTAAATGTTTAGCAAAAGGACTACGAAACCTTCCTTCTATTACTCGACAATTTGCGTGTACATGTGACTGCAAGTAGTGTACTATTAAGGTGGTACGCTATTTAAATTACTTTAAAATTACTTACATTTGTAATTTTGATAGGATAATCTTTAGGCACTAAATTATAGCATGTTGAACGGTTTGAAATAATCTTTCTAAAATTAAAAAGCCTAAAAAGGGAAAAAAACTCGATTTGCTATTACTTTAACGTAATAAGTCGTTTACTGTCGGCGAAAACATTAGTGACCTCAGTGTTTTCTTTACCTCCGTAGATCATCAGGGTTACCCCAACCTCTGGTAAAAAATTTTGTCAGCAATATTTTTCTATAAACTACATCTAAGTAGCTTACAGGCATTATTTATAACAACTCTATCAGATATTTTATTACAAAATAAGATATTCTTTGCCGTATGGACCTATGAATACATATTCTAACCTCTCAAATGTCACCTGTTTATGACATTTCTAACCAAAACAAATACCTCTAGTGACATCTATATCAGAATCCTTAAAAACAAGGAAATCGAGCGTAGAAGTTCCTCTACCCTCCATCCTTCATACAGGGAACTGATTAAATTCCAGACAAAATCTATATAGGAAAATGAGTTTGAAATATTAAAAATTTACTAATTAGTGGAATTAAAACCTTCATTCAAAACAATACACCAGGTAACACATATAAATATTATCCTACAAGGATATTATGAACTCAATTTGTCATTACTTTGTTTTTATTTTACATAGCCTATGTAAAATGAAATAACTTTGTCAACATTGTAATCACATATATTTTACCCTTATTTTACATAGAAAATTCATTCAAATTTACAGTATCTATATATACCTACAGGAAAAATCAGTTAAGAGTTGAGTTTAAAAGCCAAAAAAAATTGTATGAAATAAAATTGTATTTTAGCAGGTTATTATTAAATTCAAACAGTTCTTCCAGTTAAACTACTGCTTGCACCTAAAATATATATATTTAAAGGTTACTCAGTTTTATCTCAAATGACTACTTTGACTGTTGGTTCCTGACTGATCCTCTGGTATAGCCGAATCATCATTGTCATCACTGCTACTTTCTTCTTCCCCTTCTATACCATTTTCTTCTTCCTGTCCATCTGCCACTAAATAATATTGCAAAGGGTTAAGCCACAAGTCGTCCTGAAATCAGTTGATTTAAAGAAATTATTATAGTCAATTTAAAGACAAACTTTAAATTCCTCAGCAAAATCATCAGTATAAGGATCAATATTATCATTAAACCAATTAAAGAAGCTTGTTTTTAAACAATCCACGCGTCTCTTTCGACTATTTTTGTTTGTAGTTTCTTGGGTATTTTGTCCCAGTTGATAGCCTTCTTTCCAAATAATCTGAGAACTTTTTGAAGTGGGTGGATCTAGAATATGGACCTATATCAAGAACAGTACAGGAAATTTTTTTATATTACCATTTCCTAAATGATATTCCTTTGTTAAGACAGCATTTTCAAAGTATGGGTTTTCATCAAAGTAGAATTTTATGTAATACCCAGACATAATATCCTCAAAATCCTCAATTTCTATTTTAGTTAAATGATGTAAACAGTCCTCTTCCTCTTGTCCGCTAAAAAGATTGCTCAAGTCCGGATGGTTCATCATCTTATTATAATTAAGGTCGTTATTGATGTAACGAAGTCAAAATACTTAACTAAAAAGGATACTGCAGTAACCCAAAAATTTGGAATACTGTTGATGAGTTGGTTTCGTTTCTCAAAATGAGGTTTTCTAATACGATTGTATTTTCTTTCAATTTGTAGAATCTCTTCAGAGGCCTTTTCGTTAATAGTGTCCAATTCATTTTGAATGGCATCAATTTCTTCTAGAGTCTTCTGAGTTGCATGGTCGTATTCTGATATTCTGTCAGATTCAGAAATCCTCTTAAGCTTCTTGTTCATTGTATCAGTCATATCTTAGCAATTACCACTTTATTATTAAAAAAAACACATTATTTGTATGTTCATGTTATAAGGATCTATTTAATTTAACCAAAAAATACTAGGGGTGTACAGTGTGACTTTTCCCTTACTTTTCCTGTAGATTCCGTATTTAGTTATTCTCACTTTTACCTACAAAATCTAGGATTTATTACAGTTCGGCATAGCAGACGATTTTAAGTTTTTCATATAATTAAGGGAACCAAACCGCCAAGTAATAAATATAAATAAACCCCTAAATTTAGACAACCCGACATACTTGAGTTACTTCAGTTTGCTTCAGTGTTGCCACAAGTTTAAGAGTGCATCCGGTGCATTTGCACCAACTTGCACTTAAAAATATTAATGATTCATTAACGAAATTAATGAACCCAGGACCCATGCCAGTGTTGCCAAACTTACACGATTTCCTTCCATAAAGAACGTTTTGTTTTGACCATGTTTGGTTTGGTGGTTTTCACTCAAATTTTGTCTTTTGGTTTGCTGTTTTTTACTTAATAGAAGAGATCGATTGCAAAAGAAGTATAATTAAAGAACATAAAAAATTTAAATATGTATACTACATAAATAATTCTTACAGAACTCTATAATTAATTAATTTTTAATTAGTTATATTATTTTAATAATGAAAACTTCCATATAAAAATCCCATTTCTATCGTAGTCCTTTATATTTTGTGACATAATTATCTGTTATGGAATTCTTTTACACGACATCCGGCCTCTCTCTTTTTGTAGGCCTTAGCTCAAACAGGCTCAAGTCAAATTCAACCATTTTTAATGAATGCATTCTTATCCAATTCTCAATTACCTTATTAATAAGATAACTGATAATGAAACTTTTATAGCAATGAAATAATTATCATTTCTATGACTAATATCTGATCATAATACACCTAGACAAAGTTAACATTAAATTTATTAACCTTTTGCATATTTTCCTAATTCTGATATCCTAATATTAATATTCTTTTGTCATTGGTGATGGTTTGTATTATAAAAATATTATAAATCATAATAAGGCAAACAGAACTTGATTTTAAAATAAACGTAAATAAAACCACACCCAGCTGTTAATCTTGGCAACTTGGTGATTATTTTTTATTCAAACTGTTAATTTATTACAATATTTGGTATAAAGGTGAAGTACATTGGGATGAAATTGGAGCTGGAAGTATAATTTTGTTTTATAAATTTAAACATTAATAATATACAGTAAAGGAGAAAAATAAAACAGCAGAATATATAATATAGAATTTTATTGTTATTTTAATTAATGCTTACTCATAAAATGTACAATAAAACGAATAACAGATGGATAGAAACAAATTAATGAGCAATAGTGAAACCTCCGTCATAAAAAGGACAAAGCAAGTCCAACACTTAAAGATTAAAATGTCCTACTTTTTTTCTAGTTTATGGCAAATATACAAATCCAGCACAGCGTTAAGTATCGAGCAAACTGCGCACGCGCGACTGCATTAACTGCACTTGCGTCTCTTTGTACACAACATTAATATACAATAATCAATCTCACGTTCTCATTATTGCCGATTACTTGATAGCACTGTTTATCTATTACAACTTATTCTGTGTATTTATATAAAGAGCTACTGCGGCCGATCGGTGTATTTCAACTAGGAAAAATAGTTGAAATGGGTCAAAAAATAATTTAATTTATAATGTAAGTAGAGGCAATATGCAACTCTCAAATAGCAGAAATGAAGCAGAATCTGAAAGAAATATAATAAATTAATTTTTATTTATAAGTTTTATTATGTTTAGCTCCAAACGTTAACTGCAATGAGAATTCCACTATTTAGACCCTAGTCTCAGATATGTTTCTGCGTTGAAATATAACAATAAACAAGTAGCGTACCTTCACATACATACGCCGAATGACTTGTAATAGATAGACAACTGTAATATCAAAAATAAGAAATTCTCTCTTGCAACCCTAAATAGCAGCACCAAATACCGCTATTTAGGGTTGAAATAAGGAGGTTGCTGCATATGCGGCGGTCCAGGTCCGGGTCCCATACTCTGCGCAACGCCGCCCATCTGGCTACGCGTGTTGGTCGCGTACAGCTGCTGCTGGAAGTTATGGTACTGCTGGGCGTAGTTGGGGTCTGAAGTACTAGGTCCTACAAATGGCGCTCCTTTAAATCCGCCGCCTTGGCCCATCGACGGTGGTAGCGGCTGCGAGGCATCAGGCGCCATGCCCATAGGACTACCCTTGGGTCCTGCTACGAACATCTGGGGGTTCCCTGGTCCGGGACCCATCGGTGCGCCCGGACCGCCAGGAAACATCCCCTCTGCGCCTGGTCCTCCAGGGCCAAAGCTCATTTGAGGGACTCGCATAGGCCTCAATCCTGCAGGCCCGCCACGCATCATCGACATCATTCCAGCTGGCCCAGGACCGCCAGGACCCATCACCATACCTCCAGGTCCACCCATCATGGGCCCTCCAGTGCCGTTGCCCATATGGCCTCCCATAGGTCCCATCATTGGTGCCTCTTGTCCCATTCCTGGCCCGCCATCTAAATGCCCTAGGTGACCCATAGGACTGCCCTGCATAGGTCCAGGTCCCCCTCCAGGACCGCAGCCTTGAAAGTACTGACCAGAGCCAGGTTGCATTTTACCGTCCATCATATTCATGGGGGACGCGAGCCGCGTTAAGAATTCCAAGCTAGGGGGTCCACGAGGTCCCGCAGGGCCAGCGCCGCCTTGTCCTTTTGCTGGCAGGTACTGAATAGTATTTGGAGCATTCGGCTTCACTTGAACATTAGCCCCATTGAAAGGATTCGGACCAGGACCAGGTGCCCTGCCCATCATTCTAGGCATTGGCATGTGGTTGGGAAAAGCATTAGTTAGCTTGGGTGATAAGGAACGCATGTGGCCCATGGATGGACCAGGATGAAATCCGTGTGGAGGACCTTGCATGGGACCTACTCCCATCATGCCACCGCCTTCCATATCACTCATTCCGCCATGACAACTTCCCATCTCCATCATGTGCATTGAGGGTGAGCCAAAGCTCATCATGGGTGGACCTTGTCCAGATTGGCCATTTAGGCTGCTAGCCACACTGTTCGTTAATTGTTGGCTCATCTGCGCTAGCGATGAAATGGGATCGAAATGAGATTGTTTCGGATTGCCGCCCATGGAACTAGTACAATTAGGATTAAGCGGAACATTATCGTTTCTTCCACCACCACAGCTATACCCAGGTAAATCTAACGGGCTAGGCTTTCCTTGAGGTGACACATTCACTCCAAAATTACTTCCCAATTTTGTTTGAGAACCAGGGGAAGCATTAGGACCAGGAAACCTTGGCATGTCCATTGTATGTGGAAGATCAGGAGTGCCGGAAGATCCACCATCCAAACTGGTAGGGAGCACCCTGTAAGTAGCATTAAAAAATAATTTTAGTAAAAAGCAAGCTACAGTAGTTGAAAAACTTACGGAGGCGAGATAATGTTGCCCTCTTTTAAACTAGTATTTGGCTGTTTCTGAATAATTAGTTCTTGACCTTCAAATGTATTGAGATATTGGATTTGCTGGGGTGATGGTACTGGCATAAGATTTGGTTCCTTACCTATGCCTGTTGCTGAGAGAGTGGGACAGGAAGATGTTGTGGATGTACTCATTTGCTGCTTCTGCTGTGCCATAGATTGAAGCGTTCTGCCAAACATTCCATCCACTAAAATAAATTATTGTAATTAAAATCTTGAACAATGCAACTAAATACTTGAAATAAAATATTTACCTGTGGACTGATGAGTTGATGAAGGCTCTGTACTACTGCTTGTGACACTAGGAGATAGATGTGATGAAAGGGGAGTACTAGGCTTGCTTTGATTCAGTCGAGGTGCCGATGGAGAATCTTGTGATGTTGGACTCTGTCCAGTGCTCATATGCCTTGAAAGACTTCCAAAAGGCCTGTTTGGATCAGCTGGGGAATTTAGAGCTGACGATGCTCTGGGTGAAGGCAAAGACAAATTTGATGTGGGATTATTAGGAGATGTTGGATTAGGACTTTGAAGAGCTATAGGAACACTAGCTGAACGTGTTTGGTGATATGGTGGAGGGGGACCCTGTAGACGAGGACCAGGTGGTTGGGTGGGCGGCGCAACATTAGAGACTGGACCCCCCAATGGTGTTGCACCTCCAGGAGGGATGGCTGATAGTCCATCAGGAGGACCTCCAGTGGTCTCATTACTCTGACTTTCGGGAAACAGCAACTGATGCATTTTTCTAATAGACGCCAAACGCTCTTCTCTGTGCTGCCTTTGCTGAGGAGTTAAGTTTTCATCAGGCACTTGAACACCCTGTAATTTGGGCTGAACATTTAATAAAGAAGGACTACATGAGTCCATATCTGGGCCCATGTCAGGTAAACCGTTAGTTACAGCCCCCTCCAGTCCTTCTAAATGATGATTATTTTTCTGGTCCCAAGGTGCATCACTGTCACCCAAACCAACCATATCTTCTAATCCTTCTGGATCTAAGAAATTATCTATACTGGGAGGGGGCTTAGAACCTAATCCGGGACTCCTTGTACAACCCTTATTTTTCATCATGGCTAAATTATTAAGCCACTGAGCTGGATGCTGCCGATTAAACTGTGTTACCTTCAAAGGGTTTTTCTCCAAATATTTTTTAGTACCAGGTTGTGCACAATGATAAGCAATGATTGATGGGTAATGTCCCTGAAGAACTTCATCGGCTCCAGAATTCGCTAACACTGTTGAAAAAACAAATATTTGGCTTTGTTGTTGCATATACTGCACTTCCATAGAACTGGACTGTTTGTTTATAACATTGCTACCCAATGGCTGCACACTTTCTGGTTGAGATTGAGTTGGATGTCCTGTGTTTCCAGTCCCAGGACCTGTTGGACCTAAGCCCAAACCAAAGGGGTCAGATAAGGCATCAGTTTCTTCTTCTTGTTTTAATAGAGGCAATGTGGTAGATTCAGACACTGCTTTAGAATCATCATTAGGAGCTTCTGACTTGAGATCAGGTGTAGATTGCAGAGAGCCTGTATTAGTTGACCCCACAAGGCCTCCATTCTTAGTAATAGATCCAGTTGTGGGTTCCTTCTTAATCACATCATCCTCCTTTTTTATTCGAACTTCGCTATTATTACTCTCTTTATCTGCGCTGACCGAATCATCCTTAGCGCTATCCGAGCCCTTTTCGTGCTTTTCTTTAATCATCTCGGAGTTACAGATCTTTTCTAGTATATCCTACATCCATAAGTACTGCACTGAACTAGCACTTTACACTAACCATGTCTTTTACCACTTTCAACCTTGCAACAGGTCAACACAGTGTCCCTAAACTCATTCTTTTTATTACGATAGCGCTAATTTACGTTTCACATCACATATGTTCTAATGTTTTTATTTGCATTCCAACATTTTTTATTTTCATCTCTTAACCAAATTTGAAGAGACGCTGGGATGCTTTCCTGAGATTTCCATACATTACAAATGAAGCTTCAATAATAATTCCTTTCTTCCCGATACAATACGTAGACAGCATTAATGTTTTTTTGTAATTTTCATAATTACGACCATAATATAAACTTTTATGAAAAATCTCACATCACAAAATGCCAAACTGTCCACACGCGTTGCTACCAACTGTTCAAAACACAGAAGATAAATAGTTCAAAACATTATAATGTCAAATACCGGCGCCAAATTCAAATAAATTCATCAGGAGCCACTGATACTGACAGCTGTACTTAAAGTATTTAAGCATGTTTATTTTATCTAAATATTACCATATACTATTTATATAAAAATATATAAATCCTATAATTATCATTGATATAATTATTGAAGAATTATCTTTTTGAAGAATGGAATTTTTAGTATGAATGCTGTGAGACTGGATGTATTCTCTATTTTTAAAGACATTTTAGTTTTATTAATTTTAAATTAGAGGGGCAAAATTCAGATATATTTTCCTGATTAGTTTATATAATACTTGAAATTGAAAAAATAAATATTATTACAGAGTGTATTTTATATAGTGGCAACATTGGAGCTATAGTAAGCTCTGGTTGTAAGTTTGTAATCTCTGGCTTGTATTCATTCCCAGACAAGAGATATACTATTCGTTCCTTTTTTCTTTTCATTTTTTCTCTACAGGATCACAAGGTCGTTAAAAATAACTAATATATTTTTATTTCATTTATACAGATTATAAATTTTTATTTATTAGATTTCGTAAATTTTCACAAAATTCTTAAATTCGACTCACTCCAAAATACACTGAACTATTTTTTCACTTTAGACTAGGGATAATAAAAATATGGATTTTCTGTATGCGAGGCTATATTCCCAGAGTTTATTTTTAAATCTAGGAATAATAAAACAAATATTTTTTCTATTTCAAATACTTTATTGAAATTTACAGAACAATATGGAATATTTATAAGAAAAATAAGTTAAAATAAATTACCCTAAATCAAATTTTAACATCAAGGAAAATATATCATAAAAGAAATAAATTAGCTATTTCTATAACCAAAGTTTAACAATTTTATTTATATCAGGGGGTGCTACAACGGGGATTCCCACAGGATTCTCAGTTAAAATTGTTCCTGAAACGCCATTTTCATTAAAATTCTTTAATTTGCAAAAAGGAACAGAACTAGGGCTAGGTAATTCTAATTTCCCATCTTTGGGAACTACAAAAATTGTACTATTTGTAGCCTGTAACAGTGCTTCATCTGCTTTGATGGCCTCCCCAGTGGCTAGAAGTAATGCGAATGTTTCTACTCCAAATAGTCTTAATATCTCACTTCTAAATTTACTTAAATTAAGTACATTTTTTGCAACCTCTAACAGAACCATTCCCTTGGATGAACCGTTGCAATAGCGCGACTTAAGACCAACTAGTTGGACATTAACCCATCTAACACAAGGTAATTCGACATTACTTATTTTCGTCAAGGCAATGTATAAAGTGAATTCCTTCAGTTCCTGAGTCTTCTCAATGATAAGCTGATCAGAGGATTTTCTTTGATCAACTGTTTTTAAGCTGGCTTTAATGGTACTTTCGATAAAACTTTTATACTCTTCCGCGACGCGTTTTAAATCTCCATCTGTTCTGTAGAAAACGGTAATCTCATCTGTCGGTACTAAATGAGCTATTTTTCTCAGCTTTTGGATCCTGTTAATTATTTCTCTGGCAGTACCTTCATCTTGCATAGACGAATCTGGTGTTATATCCATTAGAATAAGTACGTCATTATCGCTGTTTACTTCATACTGATCTGTGTTTAAACTTTCTGATTTGAAAATTAATCGGACTTCGTCTATCGCTATTTTTTGTCCGCTGATAGTCCTGAACCCTTCAGATACCATTTCATTGATCTCACTGTCAGTTAGAGCTTTTATTCCTTGTGTGACTGCTTTAAATTCTTGTTTTAATCTTAGCCCAAGAACTTTATGGTCCGGCTCTGCTCGCAAAGTGATACCAAACTTGCTTTTGTCTGTTGTAGTACTGATGGTTCTCACATTCAATTCAGAAAGGATGTATTCTCTAAGCGACAAAATATCATCAATATACTGTGGATTTTGATGAATTACAATGACTTCCGGTAAGGGGTATTTAATTGGAATTGTTTTTCTGTCCCTGATAACTCTTCCCAGTTCAATGACACTTTGCATTCTTGAAACAGCCCGTTCAATGTTCACATCAATTAACGAGGTTTCTGGAGCAGGCAGCATTAAATAGTGAACACTTTCTGCAGTGCAATTTGTCAGATTTTTCATATACTGATACATAGTTTCTGAAATAAATGGGGCAAACGGTGCCATCATTCTAATAATGTTAAACAAAATGTTATATAGAGTTGTGAGTGCAGTTTTGCAGTCTGGTTCTCCACTCTCGCCTTTCAATCTCTTCCTGTTCATTCTGACATACCAGTTTGTCAAATAATCAATGAACTTTGTCAGCCTGGGAATAACGTTATACAAATGATACAGCTTCATTTCCTTCCTAACATATTCAAGTAAAGATTGAGTAAATGAGAGTATCCAGCGGTCCATAATGTTATTGCTGTTTACATTCTTACTATCGTAGATAAAAGGTTTTTGATTTTCTTCAACGTAGATTTCTATGTTTTGCATCAAAAATCTGAAAGCATTGTACCAAGGCAAAAATACATCTTTGACAATATCTCTAACACCTTCTTCTTTAAAACGCAGATTTTCTGCTCGCACAACTGGACTACTAATCAAATATAGTCTCAAAGCATCAGCTCCATACTTGTGGACAACTTCCATTGGATCAGGATAGTTCTTTTTTCTTTTAGACATCTTTTGGCCATCTCCAGCTAAAACTAGACCATTAACCACAAGATTTTTATAAGGCGCTTTTCCAAATAATGCCGTTGATATAACAGTTAAAGTATAAAACCATCCGCGGGTCTGATCAATTCCCTCAGCAATGAAATCGGCAGGAAAATTTTCTTCAAACTCTTTGGAGTTCTCGAAAGGATAATGCTGTTGGGCATACGGCATGGAGCCTGTAAATAAAATCCAAATTATAATATTTAGTAATTAAACACTAAAATTGCATACCAGATTCGAACCAACAATCAAATACTTCAGGAACGCGTCTTAATGGAGGGTTACCAGGTACAACACTTGGGATTTCTAATTGATCAACACTCTCCCGGTGCAAATCTGTTACTTTCTCTCCACATAATTCCTCTAACTCTGCAATACTGCCAATACAACGTATTTCGTCTCCACTAGGAGACATATAGAGTGGTATTGGGGTGCCCCAATATCTGTTTCTGCTGATAGCCCAGTCACGAGCTTCTTTTAACCAGTTTCCAAATCTTTTTTCTTTGATGAACTCTGGTACCCAGTAAGTTGCCGCAGTTGCATCGAGAAGTTCCTGCTGCATGTGTTCTACACGTACAAACCATGATGGTACTGCCTTATAAATTAGGGGAGTGTCTGATCTCCAACAAAAAGGATAGCTGTGCTTGATCTAAGAAAAGAATCAATACATAAAAATTATTTTTATAAGTATTTTGTCGCTTACCTGTGATTGATGCACAAGTCTTTTGTTATTTTTTAGATGAGAGATAATATTTTTGTCAGCATCCTTAACATATTGACCCTTAAAATCAGACACCGGATCAACAAATCTTCCTATAGAGTCTAAGGGGCAAACAGGTTCCATATCTTTAGTGATTATTCCTGCTGCTAGACATACTCTGTGATCATCTTCTCCAAAATATGGTGCTTGGTGTACTACACCAGTACCTGATTCAGCTGTGACATATTCATCTACCAATACGGTAAAAGCTCCTAAAATAATATTTTTATTATTTAGTTTCTTATAATAGCTTGTACTATAATCAAAGAGTGTTCTTATTAAAATTATGTACTGACCTCTCTCTGCCATATTACTGAAATATGGAAAAACTGGTTCATATCTTAATCCTTTCAATTCTCTTCCCAAAAATTTCTTCAATACTTCATAGTCATCGGCTTGGAAAATTGTTTCGATTCTACCCTCCATCATGATATAAACATTGCCAGTTGAAAGCTGTTTCAGTCTCACATACTCCATGCCAGGATTTACACATGCAGCTAAATTACTTGGCAATGTCCAAGGAGTAGTTGTCCAAACTAATAATGCAGCATTGTCGCTATCATTTAATACTGGTAGACTTACCGTTACGGCAGGATCAACAACATCTTTGTAGTTTTGGCCAGACTCAAAATTTGAGAGTGGTGTGCTACACGCAGTGGAATAAGGCATCACTTTGTTCCCTTTATAAACCAAACCTTTTTGATATAGTTGCTTAAATATCCACCAAACTGACTCCATAAACCATGGATATAATGTCTTGTAGTCATTTTTAAAATCTATAGCAGATAAATTCATATAGATTATAATAACACACTTATTGATATGACAACATACCGATCCATCTTCCAAGCCTTCCTACAATGTTTTCCCAGTCTGCACTGTAACGCATTACTATTTTTCGACATTCTGCATTATACTTATCGATTCCTAACTTCATGACATCTTCAGGACCTTTAATTCCTAGGTTTTTATCAATTTCAAATTCTACAGGTAATCCATGTGTATCCCATCCAAAACGTCTCTCCACATGAAAGCCTTGTTGATGTGCATACCTCGTTACTACATCCTTTATTGTTCCAGCTAGTATATGTCCATAATGGGGAAGGCCCGTAGCAAAAGGTGGACCATCATAAAAGGTGTACCTGAATAAAAAGTAAATCAAAATTTGTACTATATAGAGCTTATGCACATTATATATATTTTAATCGTACCTCGGTTTTCCTTTGGACTGTTTTAAACATGTTTCAAAAGCTTTGATATCTTTCCAATATTTGAGGACTTTCTCCTCTTCAGCAGAAAAGTTAACAGATTCTGGTACTCTGGGTACATCCTGTAAACTTTTACTGACTGACATTTTGGCACTCTAAAAGTTTTCCCAGTTAATATTTATTTTTCCTCACAGGTAAATTAAACAACGTGGAAATTTCTTCATATCCATTCACACATCATATTATTTAGACCACTCATACAAAGCAAAATTATTCATAATATCAATACATAGTTTATTAACGTAGTTTTCATGTAGTTAATAAACGGGAAAAGACGTAGTTTTTGAAGAAAAACTACACGTAGTTAATCAGGTAAATTACGTCTTAATTAACTACTTCCGAACCCTGGATGACGTTTAAAAAATAGATACGTTTCGCCATTTAATCCACAGATTGAATGTTAATGTAGACCTCGTAAAAATTAATTAACACAATATTATTTGTAATAAATATATTAGTCCTTATTAAAGGTTGATAAAATATAAAAGAAAACAAATTTTATCATAGAGGCACTTTAATTATGCATTTTTCTCAAAGCAATCAGTCTATTAATTTAACATAATAATTTGCAATTAATTTACATTATAAATATTCATAACTATAAATGTTACACATCGGTTGGTATAATACTGATATTTAAAATAATATCATCAACGCATCCTAATGATTTAATGGTCTCTGAGTTTAAGAAAATGCCTTTATTAAACTCTTTAATATCATAAAATGATGTGGAATGCAATGAGGAAATTGGACTTCTAACTCTAAAAAATGGCATTTTGAGACTAGTTGTTTTTAGTTCTACTTCTAGTTCAAAGCTTTTAGCTCCGATTTTTGTTCCTAAGTACCAGCACCAAAGGAATATATCACTTGTACTCGAATCTCTGAAAAAAAAATTTTTATGGGAGAGTGTCTAATATAATTTTGTTTTTTAAAGACTTACCCAAGTGTTACTTCAGAATTTGCGTAAGTCTTAACAAAGTAGGTACATCCAGCGTTATTTATCATAAAGCAGTTTTCATTATCAAGTTTTCTTATGGAGATTTGAATGGTTTTACCGAAGTATTGCACCAGTGGGCCCTCATGGTTGGTTTCGAAATGCTGCATTATTTCATTTTCTGCAATTCCAAATAATAACAGAGTGTAAAAAGTTATTTAGAATTACCTTAGAACCTTTAATAAGTGAAGTGCATTTTGACTGAAAAGGGCAGTGAAAGGTGAGCTGGTTTTTGCATAGTTCCTCATTGGTATCGGATCTTTCCGATAAATGATTATCTAAAAACTCAACAGAACCGTGAAATGAAGCTGGCCTGTCTTCAAAATCGCTTATATTGGTTAAAGAGTCGTCCATAGTGGTGGTATTGTTATCTTTTCTTCGGCTCAGTTTTAAAATGGAACCGGCCCTCGAGACAGTCGGAGTTTCCGCCTGAAATATTTCGTTGGACGATAAACTTTTTATCTTCATCGTTTCAGAGTCGTTAGGGGACAAGAATTTAAAATTCGACGATAAATTATCTACAGATGAGGATTTTCCCATCAACTTTGAAAGGAAATTGTTCGTATGGCACTGGGTCACTTTAATATTTGGTATGATTTTGTTCTTCGGTTTAGGTTTGAAGATTTGCTGTATTTTCTGAGCCGTGTTATCTTTATTTTCCTCTTTTAAGTCAAATGCTTCTACAACCGAATTATATACCTGCAATAACAGAAATACATATTATTCATTTTTGTGATACCTACGACTATGGAAGAACTATTAATGTAATGTTACAGAATACACATTTACTATTAGAAAAAAATATTTAATTAACATTAAATTAGCTTAGCAATTACTAATAATTAGGTCGACAATCAGTAGAGTTGGTCAATTACAAAAAACTCACGACGCTATGTTCTGATTCTAAAAGACTTGCCTAGGGATGTCTTGAAGATGACTTTTTTTGTCCCATCTGGATATCCCATAAATATCCTCCTCTAATTTTTGGATATCCCTAAGATATTTACTATATCCTTGGTGGATATCCTCAAGATATCTATAGGATGGTGTTGTGTTATATGGGTAGGATATATTTCAGGAAAATATTTTAACTTCTATACGGTGCCTCAAAAAAGAAGATGAGTAAATATATTTCATTATTTTTAGATATATTCATAAATAAATAAATAATATATATATTTCCACCGTTTCTTAAAAATAATTATTAAAATTACAATAACGCTGAAATACATCCTAGAACATACTTTAGGTTTACACTTAAAAAAATCCCAAGTTTTTCTCACTATTGCCGGACCCTGTATCTATTTTTTTATTCAAATTTTTACCCAAGCTGTCTACGAACATTTTATTTATGTAATATATTATTCAAAAAGTTCAAAGAACTCAAAATACAGCCTTATATAAAACGTATTTAAATAAATTATGATTTCTAAAACCTACGCGTAAATAATTTTCCAGTTAAAAGACAAAGCCAGCTTACTACTAAAAGTTTTATTAGAATATTAATATTAACACATATTGCTGATAAAAAATACAGGATAAATTGATTAAATTTTAACCTTTTGGCCCTTGAAGAGGAAGCAGACCTTAACATTTTTCAAGGGCAATTTTTAAATCAATGATCGTTTGACCTACAAAATTTTAAAGCATTTTCTTTTATATCCTTAAATTGTAATAATACAAACGGTTATTTTTCTGAGTTATGAAATTTACCTGAATAGTTAATATTAATGTATACCTGGTCTGAAATAAGTGACCTTCCCCTGTTAAAGCGCAGTCTGCAGACAGGGCATCTCTCGGATTTAGCCCTGCACCGTATGCAGATCAAGTGACCATTGTCACACTGGTATGTGGGCGGAAAGATCGTTTCAAGACAAACAGGGCATTCTAAAAAGGCTAAAATGGTCGACATACACGCTGACAGACGTGTTAAATTGTTTGGGATAGGGCCGCAACACAAAGCCTGAAACAAAATCTCCTTTTAGTTGTCCTATATCCGTTTTTGTCCTTAAACCTCACTGACTTTGAACCAAAAAATGTTTTTTCCATACATAAAAAAAAACTTTTTTCCATACATACAGTCATGAAAATTGACAATTTTCGTCATATTACCGATTTTGATAAAACTTCTGTTATTTACTAACTAGAAGGTGTAGAATAAGAAAATATAGACTACTGTAGTTTCACGAGAACAATAATGGACTTTTAGAACAATAATAGGAGACGTTTTAACCTTTATCAAAAACAGCTAAAAGAAAAAGGGCCCAAAAAATTAATTTTCTCTCAAAGCCAAGGGACTTAAGCCTTCAAAGGTGTATATATTCTGAATCTACATAAAATTTCCTACAAATGCTCATATTCTCATAATTTTATGACTATGTTTACTATTCTTCCAAAACCTTTGAAAATGTACCAAAAAAGGGAATTTTTCGATCATAAAAGCTGTCAATTTTGGCTAAGTAACGGATTTCAGTGCCTGTTAGATCCGCCTCGAGGTTTACCGGGCTACTAATAATATTAAAACATAATAAAAGTGATTGGTGCTCCTAGCTTACTGAAATATGACGCAAAGTTGCTTTGGTTTTGTTGACAATCGCGGCATTGGTTTTCCTGATTAATATTTCCATAAGAGGCAAAATATTTGCACAATTAACTGTGTAAACAAAGCTATAGGCTATTCTATTTTCCTCTTTGCTGTAGGCACTTGAATTTTCCTAAACGTGATAGGCAAACTTTTGTGGCCAAACAAACCTGTTTGCTTTTTTTTTGCCAATCTTGTTTGAGTGGCGAGAAAAAAAAATAGATTTATTCAGAAATGAGCCGTGTAAAATAATCATGTTTTAAGGATTTTTTAACGATTTAACTCTGTTTATGTAGGAAAAAAATAGAAAAGGCTTCCCTGGTTGTGTTATATAACACTAGGCGCATACGTATTGTTTCCCACGCATATCTAACAAATATATCCGGTTTTTGTTTTTTGTTTGCCATTCGCAGTAATCCTATAATTATTAAATAATAATATTTTTTTCAATGTAAAAATTGAAATTATCATTCTATTATATTCGATTGACCTAATTTTGTTAATGCAATTTTGAAAATGATTTGCACAGTTCTACTAATATAATTTAATTAAAAAATTAAAAGAATGAACACAACTATACACAGCTCGGGATCTTTATTACCAAAAATCAACAGGAAGAATAGGAACAGAAATTAGCATGGAATACTTACAGAAGAAACTCAATATTCAAATCTCGAATGTCACTGGTCATGACTGGTAGTAGAAATTGGTCGAATGTTTTCTTCTTTAAATACTACATTACTTTTTTTTTATTTGCCCCCCCCCCCTTAAAATAAATTCCTGTATCCGCCACTGGCGTGATGCATGCGAAACCTGGACATTTAGAACGGTCATTATGGAAACTGCAGGTCGCACAACGCTCAATGGAACTAAATATGCTGGGAATAACCAAGAGACCGTAAAAGAATAGAGTGGATATGGCAAGAGACCCAGGTAATAGAAGCCATCCACAGAATCAAATCCCTCAAGTGGCAATATGCAGGACACCTGGCAAGAAAGGCGAGCAATTGATGGACCACAAAAATTACTGCATGGTATCCACGAGGAATTTAAGAGACCTAGAAGACGAAACTTGAGATAGGACCATGATATTAGGAAATTAGCAGATAATAGACCGAGAGCTGGCTACATAAAAACCTTATCATCGTTACATGGCTAATTTTTTGTGTGAAGTATCCTTTTGTGTAGCCATTGTGAAATAGCCATTGTCTGCCAGCGCGATCCCGGCGGCCAATCGAAAGGGTCTCATCACAAACCAAACCAAACCTACACGAGTTATAATTGCCAAATAGCTTTTATTTATTATTAGGAAACGTGTAAAATTGTTGCCAGACATTTTTCTCGTGGCTGAAATGCCGGCAGACAACGCGAAAGAGGCATAGAATTTTGACAAAAGAAAATAATCGCATACATGCATGTCGGTTGGTGGAATGTCATGTTTATTGTTAATTAATTTAAAAAGCTGTATCCAAAAGGGCAGACAAAAAATCGTTATTGAAATAATAAAAAAATATACTATATAAATATTACTAGTATAAGTGATACTACCCCTAAAATTTGTTTTATTTTAAAAAATTGTTGATTTTGTGGAAAAATGGTTGAACGCGTATTTTCTATCGCTTTTCACCAAAATCAATAGTTTTTGTAAATAAAAAATATTTAAGGGGTTGTTCATCCGTTAAAATTTGGGTTTCGAAATATCCCTACTTATTGAACCTCTACACCTAACAATCTATACGTAAGCCAAAATTCAGCTTTGGTTTACTACTACTCCCATTGGTTTCAGCTTGATGAAAAGGGGGTTGTATTCACCCCCTTATGGGACAATCGTTGTGGAAAAAAATATCTTCGTATGTCAAAAATAAAATAAAAAATACGTGTTCAAGTATTTTGTCGCGAAACCAGTGGTTTCTTAAATAAAAAATATTCCAATATTGAAAGGGTGGTTACAACCCCTTTAAATTCAAGTTTTATAAAATTCTTTCTTATTATTGCTCGCCTACTTTGTATAAGAAACCTTTGTGCAAAATTTCGAGTCTCTAGACCCAGAGGTTTAAGCTGTGCATTGATATGTACCTATATCCGTCACTTTTTCACACACATTTTTTTAAGTGTCCATTAACTAAAGGACAATTAAATTTAAAGGTGCCATTTATTTGTCGTGGCGTACAGGTCATCAATCAGTGTTAAAATGGTACTTAAAAGACCCTTAACCTATCGGTCCCTTAAAAAAATGTTGATGCAAGTTGCTGGTAGTGAGACAGTTTATTCTATTATATAAGTAGATTTCACATTACGTTTCGGCCAAAAATCTGTTATTTTGAACAGATTAGCAAAAACTAGCAGTCAGTTTTAATACAGTTAATAAGATTAACCATTGAGATAAATAAGAGAGTGAAAAGCATTGAGCTTAATACGCATTAATAGGGTACCAAATGCTTAATCGAATGAACGCTTAATTTTTTCTTTTTTCATTTTGAACAATAGAAAACAAAACCAATAAAAGTTTATATATGCATTTTTAAAATACTACTAAGTAAAATATCATATTATTCTAAATACCTGAAGGTACACAATCCATGTTTCACTTTTCGCAAAGAAATATTGGAAACACAATAAAATCAAACGTCATTAGTAACGAAAATTTAAGTAATGACAGCCAGCATAACATTTTGTCTTGCCAAGGCCAACTTTGGATCAACGTAACTAGAGAATACGGTGAAAATTTATAATAATTTTTTTTAGCTTATAGATAGATATGTTACCTTTCATTTCAAATATTAATTATGAGAATATTGCTCATTTCAGAATTTTAAATTTTGGCCACGAATTTGGAAAAAAAATCCCCTCTGTGCGGCTTTTAAAATAAATAAATATGACATTTCACCAATCGGCATGCAAATATGCCATAATTTTTTTCATTCTTCAAATTTCATTTTTAATAATTTTTAAAATTTCAGGCCTCTTTCGCGTTGTCTGTCGGCATTTTAGCGACTAGAAAAATGTCTGCCAACAATTTTCCACGTTTCTTAATAATAAATAAAAGCTATTTTTGCAATTATAACTCATGTATCTTATAATATTTTCAGTGTCAAAATTTCACCCTTTCGTCACACAAAAAATTAGCCATGTAACGATGATAAGGTTTTTTATGTAGCCAGCTCTTAGACTATAACTTATACAATAGACAACAATTGTAAATGGTTGAATAAGCTGAGAATGATGATTATGAATATAATTTAATTAAAATTAAAAGAATGAACACTCGAATCAACAATGCAGAAAAGGTTTCAAGTTTAATTATTAAAATTCTTGTTTTAAAAGTTGAAAGTGACATTTTTTTGTTGATAAATTCACTAATTTCTCTTTCATTACACCTATAGAATCTAATTTGTTTTATTTATATGGACGGTGTCACTTAATATTTGCGTTTTTTCTGATTGTTTATATTTTACGTGACTCTCATCATAATATACTCATTTATAAAATACACAGTGTCCCTAGAAAAATATTAACAGAACTTTTCATCATCGTTTTATCATAGTATATTTTTTATTAATGTTTTCTTTTATTTAAAGACGCAGTAAATATTTATCTTTTAATGGCGTTCAATAAATAGAACGCTGTAGTTAGTCTTTTAAGATGATTTGAAATCTATTCAGATAATGTTTTCCTAAAAAAAATAAAGCCTTCGGTTTCAGTAAGAATTTTAATGCACTTAATAGAATCTCCCATCAGACAGATGGTCATTTCAGTAAAAAATATTACAGAAGAGAAATTACGTTAAAATTCTTGGAACTTATTTGTAGGCAATCGTCTTCACAGAGCTGTCTTTCGTTTAAAGTACGTATGTAATTGATGTAAGCCATTTAAGAAGCATATATAACCATGAGAGATTATGCTTACAAAGAAACTCTTCGGAAAAAAATTAATGTTAATATTATTTAAATCCTTTAAATCATGGACCGATGGAGCAAGTCAAAAAGACAGAGTGCAGCGGCTCAAATATAATTTCCAGGATGTAATTTCTTAAAAAACTTAAAAAGGACCACAACAGATTTAAAAATATTTTTTAAATATATAAGTTATTTATTTTGCGAAATACGAATTTAGGAAAATTTATATTTTATTGCAAATAAAACATAAACTAAATTAAAATTTTCTTCTCAAAAGTGGTTAAAATTTCATTATAGCTTTTCTAAATTGTGACAATCAAAATCGGTGACTTGACCAAAATCGCCGATTTTCATTGACTTAATTAATAAATTAACTTACGTACAGTATTATGCATAAAGCATTAAAAATACAAATTTTTAGTGTAGTCACAGCTTAAATAAAAAATTATTCTGTAAGCTGTGGTCTAGTTCCAATGCAAACCGTGCTTAATAAATTAAAAATCGTCTATATGCAGCATTGGCTCAGCTTCTACATTTTTGCTCTGTGGTGTCGATGTCAGGATGACAGATATGCCAAAATGGCTTCCTATTTATTCAATTTTCGTTGAATTTCCAGGATTTTACGGCTTTTTTCTTGGAAAAAAAGGTAGTGAAGTATTTTTTCTGTATGTATTTTGCAGAGGAACCTTTTCTGAATCTTAAGCTTGTAAGTACATTTGTATAATTTTTATTTAGACATTTTTATCTGCAGTAAAATATTTTTTAGTCCATTTAATAATTTTTAAGAAGTTTTAAAGTGCTTAGAAAAGTAGTAAACATAGTGATAAAATTATGAATTATTCAGAATTTTTAGTAAATGTTATGTACTTTTGGAATATGTAATGTATTAATAATTTAAGTGGCTCTGATTTTGTGAGAAAATGGATTTTTTGAACCTTTGTTTCTAAACAATTTTTGATGATGTTATAAGTTAGCCTACATCTAGTATCGTATTTTTAAGGCTAAAAAAGAATATATCTTTTTTATTGTACTACCCTTTTTTATTGGTTCATAAGAGCAATTTCATCAAAATCGCTTAACCTTAAATGTCCAAAATCGCCAATTTTATGACTATATAATATGTTGTATGGAAAAACGAGTAGTATGATTTTTTCGAGTTGCTTAGAATAATAGAAAAGAACATTTATAACAGTTTCCGAATCTGCAGGAAATTCTATGTAGATTCAAAATATATACACCTTTGACCCTTGTTTTTCCCCCCCCATTTTCAAAGAACTGAGAAAGATAATAATCATAAATGTAAAATTATGAAAGTTTCAGTTCAGGATTTGTATAGTATATTTTATGTAGATTCAGAATATGGTAAGCATTTAATGGTTTACATGCTCTGGTTTTATGAGTTAATTTTTGAGACCCTTGTTTCTGAACGATTTTTCATGATGGCTAAAATTTTACGTATAGCTCATACTGCATTAATTAGTAAATAGCAGTAATTTTATCAAAATCAGCAACTTGATCAGCGTTGTCAATTTTTAGAATAATATGAAATTTTCAAACATTTCTGTATGAAGTAGTATATTGTTTGGGAAATTAAATTAATATCTGAACAAATTTTAAGTTTAAAATAGCAAGATTATCCGAGTGATTAGCTAATATTCAAATTTAATAGAATAAATTAAGTACGGAATTTTTCGGAGAAAGTTGAAAAAATTTGGGGTCAAGCGTTATAGTAGATAAGGAAATGTTATATACTCACTTCTGGGGAGCAATGGGGGTCGACGCCGGCGTTCCATACCAAGAGCGATACTTTTCCCGTTTTGTTCTTAACTAGTTCAGCTATTTCACATATCTTCTTGCCCACTATATCTTCGTCGTTAACTTCCAAAAGACAATCGCCGGGTTTGAGGCCAGCTAGATTTGAAACAGAGTCGTCGTCCACTTGACTGACCCACGGATAAGGGTCCCACTTGCCTCTGGTTAAGTGGAATCCACAGTTGGGCCCTTTCTTCTCAAATTCCACGATTCGAACCGACGGCTGATGAAGCGAATCGTCCGTTTCAGCGAACATGTCGAGATACAGTGTTGTTCCGTTGACTTTGAAACTTTCATTATTTATTTTCACCTTAATGTTAATTTTTTTCAAGGTCCGATAGCCTGTAGATCACAAGTTGTTCGCCTTCAGTGGCTCCAAATCGTTTTTCAGCGCGTTCGTTTGTCGTTTTGATTAAAAGATGCTTAATTAGAGCTGAGGGAAGGCTGAAGTCGTGATACAGATGGGCAAATGCCTTCATTTTCCTGTATTTTCCATCATCGCGTGAACAGATATTCCAATTTTTTTTTTCATTTACAATTGGGTGGTCCGAACTGTATTCAGGAAACTTCGGTAGCATATTCTGCAGATAAAAATAAGTAAAAATGTTCGTATAAATGTATGTCCTAAAATGCTTGGTTTCGGAAATACAGGGTGTAGAAGTTTCATTTTTATTTCGATTTTTTCGAAATAATTTTTGAAGTCACGTCCGTATTTGGATGAAAATTGGTGTCTGGGAGTTTTTTGGCATGAGAAATTTGATTTTGATGTCAATGTGACTTCTACTTGTACTTGTTGAGGACGCCACCTACATATTTTTTAATTGGTTTAAAAAGTAATAACTTTTCGTCCGTACCTGAATAACACTATACTGGGTAAAAAATATACATTTATGTCGTTTTTTACATAAAAAAGATATCTTCGTAAAGATCGCTACAAGTAATGGTTCTCCAGATATTTGATATCGAAATTATCAATATCTGTCATCACTGACATAAATTAAACATGTTTACTAAATATAGTTATTAGACTGAAATCATAAATTTGAACTGTTTTTAGGCCAAAAGTGTGCAGAAACTGTTTTATTACCATTTTTTCGAAATAAAATTCACGATTAATTTAAAAAAAAAATTCAACCAAAATAGTATTATTAAAATAGTAAATAGTAATAAACTTGGGCATGAGTAGTTTGAACAAAATCGGTGACATGACCAAAATAGCCAATTTTGACGACTATATGTATGGAAAATAGTCGAAAAATTTCTGTTTGTGGCTGTTTCTACTCAGTTTCAAAGGTTGCAGAGATAGTAAATATAGTCCTAAAATTATGAAACTGTCAGGATCTCTAGGAAAATTTAAATGCTTTTAGAATATATACACCTTTATAAAATTAGATAAATCTTTAAAGGCTTAGATATCTTGATTTTGTGAGAAAATTAATTTTTTGGACCCTTGAAAATTAATCTTTTGGACATACCTAAGGCTACTGAGTTAAAGGTCTATGTAAACAAGTATCCAGTTGCTTTTAATTTACATTTATTCTTTTTTTCTACGCCCTTGAATCGTATAAAAAATAAAACTAGTATTTTATAGTAAAATGCTTCATACCCGATTGCCATTTAACTATGTAGTTAATTATTAATAAACAAATATGACTACTTGGAAAACTATTTTTTTTACAGCTCTGAAACAGGTAATTGTAAATTATATAGGAAACACCTGATATAACACTGTACTAGTAAAATACAAGAACTTGACGAGTTGTATTTATTAATGAAATTTTATTCAGGAAATGTCGTGGGTATGTGGCATGGTTTTAATTTGTGTTATCTACCGTGATAAAATTCATAGCCATTTTATTCTGTCTGGAGCTAAAAATGTACATACCCATGGCTGATTATTACCACAAAATTGCGGGAATGTTTTATATAACGTGAAATAAGGCAGACTGCAAGTGATGGTAATATGTACATACATGTTATTTTTGTTCAAATACTTCCGGTTAATACCATTTTATATTAATATTTTTCTAAATGTACGTGACTATGTATTTTATTATTTTATTTATTTTAATAATATACAGTGGTGGCCAAAAGTATGGAAACTTTTTTAATTTGTCATTTTATGCTGAGAAATTAAAATATGAAATAAAACGACTTATATAATCGTGACCTACAAATAATTTCCTACAAAACCTAATACATTTAAATAAAAAATTACAGCGATCAAAAAATATATAAAAAATTATGAATATTTTCTTGGTCAAAAGTAAGGAAACTTAAGAAGAATGTTTATTAAAATTGAAGATAATATAAAAATTACTAATATTTAGTGGAATATCCCTTTGAATTAATTACTTCTCTACATCTTCGTGGCATCGAATCGATTAATCTCGTAGAATCTTTACTGGAAATGGCCGCCCATTCAGTTTTTAGCACTTCCCATAATTCATTTTTATTTGAAATAGAATAGCTTCGAATTTTGCTATCCAAATGGTCCCATAAATTTTCTATGGGGTTAAGATCCGGAGACTGTGAGGGCCAATCCATTAGTGGAACATTATGTTCATTTAACCAATTTTGAACAAACCGAGATTTGTGCTTGGGATCATTGTCTTGCTGGAACAACCATCTGAGTGGCATTTCTTCATCAGCATGAGGCAGCATATTATTCTCCAATATGTCTTTGTACAAAAAACGGTCCATTATCCCATCAATTTTAACAAGAGGACCAACACCTGAGCGAGAAAAACACTCCCATACCATTATACTCCCACCACATGTTTTATTGTGGGCATCTGGTACTTATGGCTGTACCGTGTACCTTTTGGTCTTCGGACATAACGTCTCCCGTCACTACCAAACAGTTGAAACTTGCTTTCGTCGTTAAACAGTACAGTATTCCATTTCTGATAAGACCAGGTGAGATGATCTTGAGCAAATTTAAAGCGGGTCATCCTATTTTTCTTTGATATTAGTGGTTTCTTCACCGCAACTCTTCCAAAAAGTCCCATGTCATCCAACCTTCTTCTCACCGTGCGTGCAGACACCGATATTCCCCTTTCACCCATTTCTCGAGAAATGTCTGTGGATGTTTTTCTTGGATCTCCCATTGATATTCTCTTCATTACTTTCATTGTCCTGGTTGCACAACTTTCTTGGTCTTCCTGACTTAAAAGCTGTTGAAACGTTCCCTGTTTTATTAAATTTACGAATTATTTTCGAAACGGTGCCTTTTAAAATGTTTAAATTTTTACTTATTTGAATTTGTTTATAACCGCTCTTGTATAATTCAACTATTTTATTTTTTAAATCCGTAGAGAAATATTTAGACTTGGGCATGATGTTTATATTTATCTGAAGCAAATCGTACCGTTTATCAGTTTAAACTAAATAATTTTAATGTATTTATTTATGGTTTCCATACTTTTGGCCACAAGAAATCTATTGTTCTCCTACAAAAACTGCTAAACAGATTTTTTTCGCTGTGTAATTTTTGGAATACTTTTATTTGCTGATAAGCTGTTCATTTATATTCCTGAGAGTTTAAGCATAGCAATATTTTCTGTGATATTTTAAAAAGTAAAAAGTTTCCATACTTTTGGCCACCACTGTACATACATTTTATTCATATTTACTCTGTATTTTTCGGTATTTTCAACCATCCAAGTGCAAATGATATTAACCTATATTGTACTGTAATAATGACTTGGATAATGACAATACATTATGCCATAAATAGAACATCCATGTGCTAAAAAAATGTCTTATTCACAATCCATATGGTTACTTTATACATACTTTTTTTGTATTGAAATTACATTGAATTGAAGCTTGCAAAGGTCAGGATTAATCTAGAATCATTAGTAACAAACATCAAGGAGAACCAAGCAAATAATTTTATATAAACTCAGAAGGTATCTTACGTATGTTTTTTTTTATTGTTTATTGTTAAATATAAAGCTCCGCAAAATTTGGTATGGAGCGTCAAGGTGATAAATTTAAACATATTATTGGCTAAAAAAATGTGTAGGGGAGAATAGTGAAAATCGGTCATTTTACTCAGTATTCCCCTACAATAAATCATGTATTTATCTACTTCCTGGTAGAAGATTTCATTTCGCCTATCAACAGGCAGAAATGTTGTTTTTAAATGTTTATAAGTTTGCATGTGTTAGAGTGTAAAGCAATTATTTTTAGTACGTGCATACTAAATCAAATGACTAATTTGTATTAGACATTAAAGAAAAACTGCTATTAAATATGCAGTCCGTCTATTGTTAAAATTTTTATACCAGGATAAAATAATACAAGTTTTAATTCAACGAATATTTATTAACTCGTTATTATCCCAGAATCAGTTATTGCGAGATTTATATATAGCAGAAGAATTAAGTTTTCGACAAGTTTGAGAAATAAAATTAAATTGATTTGATCATAATATGTTAGTTACTGTTACAACAAAGAAAGTGGAAAGTGAAGAATAGAATTCGATATGCAACAAGAGTTTGACGTAACAGAGAAAAAAACTTTATTTTTATTTTGTTGAGGAAATCACGGTTAACTATAGAAAAATGGCATGTGCTAGATGATGCGATAAATACACAGAGAAATTTTACTTCACTTCCTCTTCAAATTCCATTTAAAGTACCTAATAGCTCAGAGTGAAAACTGATAGATATAGTTTTCTATTTTTTTAACTATTGCAAAATAGAGGAATTAGGAAGACATATTTGGCTTCTTTATCGGGATGAAATAATACATCGGGGAATTTTTATAAGTTGGTTTATTAAATAACAGATTACTTTTTACAAAAATTAAGTACGATTTTAATATACAACAGTGCAGGACTAGGCCTCGAAGACTAACATAATTAAATAATGTTTAAAAAATAAATATCTTCGCCTTAAATTTCGTTAAACTATATGGGAGAATCTATATAATACTAGACCACAATATTTTCCTTAAATAGCACATAAAGCAACTTTAGTCGTTAATTTGTTAATGGATTTGACATTTTTTACGCGAAAAACTATTTCAACTTTAAAAATAAATCGGTTATATCATACACGTCCTAAAACCTGATAAAACGAAAACCTGATTTTAATACCTAAACGTAAATAATATCAAAGTTTATGGATTTCCCACTAGTTAAACTATAAACCCGACTCAGCATGTGGGTGCATCGAGGAAAAAACTCGAAAAATTTGCATATTACCACAAAAAAGATTAAATTCGAGAAATGTTCAGTATATTTTGACATTCGATGACTACACTAGCGCGTAATAAATTCAAATCGTTGGTCCCCCTTGATTTCATGTGCTATTTAAAATGTACAAGGTCATCATGGTAGTTTGTTTATTGTTAAAAATTCAGAAACTCAGGTATTTTGGCCTAAGGTTACTTCTGTAATAGGTATTTAGGTATTAAGTATCATGGAATGACATTGAGGGCTACTCTACGTAGTCCAATAGAAATATACTATATACAGTGAGAGCCAGAACTATTCGAACTTTATTATTAAAAAAATATTTAAATCTTCCTACGATATTTAATTCTTCATTGGTGACATCATGTTAATCTTTGTATAGAAAGGAAGAGTGATCTGAGATGATCTCTAAGTTTATTTAAGTAAATTATATAAATTTAGGAGTCTGATAAATAACAGGCAAAATAATTATTATTACTGATAAAATAAATTAAATTTGTAAATAGTTAGAGCTTGGAAATAGTTTTTTTCTTAGGTTTTTTAATGATGCAATAATTCTGGCTACGAGTATTGGCAAAAATCTTCCTTCGTGTAACAAAACAAGTTGACAAACAAAGGCTTAAATTCTAAATTGGGCCTTAGTAAGGCTGTACAACTGTGCATAATTAAACGGTGAAATATTCAGCCACTCCTTTGAACTACAATAAGAAATAAAAAAAACAAATTCTTCAGGTGTGTGTTAAGTTACTGGTTGGTCCTCAGGATCTTCACACTATTACACAGATCGATAGTTATTTTTGTAGCCGCGAAAATTCATAGTTTTTGCACGATATCGAACTTCTGTTTGAAATCCATCGCCTCTTTCTTCGGATCGAACTTCTTCTTGGCGGCTAGCTTCGCTCGAAGTTCAGCCGCGGTCATGCTCAAGTTCAAAGTGCCATTTTCTTCTTTTTTCCCCGTTGGCGTGTGGTGGTTCGTGTGGTTGTTCTCTTGTTTACCATTCGATACGTTTTTCGACGTTTCGTTGTTCGTTGGGATGATGGACTCGTCTTCGGGATCGACCACAAGCAGCTTGGTCTCGTTCGCGTGCTGCTTGATCAGCTCAACCACCTGCTTGTGGGGCTTGTTCAGGATACTCTCCCCGTTTACCTCAAGTATGCGGTCGCCCTGCCTGAGCCCTGCGCTTTCCGCCGGCGACCCTTCGTCAACTTTGCCGATGTACTGGCCGGGCTTGCCCTTTTCCGCGTGCAGGTTGAACCCGTACCCGTCGAAGTCGTCGACTTTTTTGATGTGACACAACCGGGTCTTCGCCTGATTGCCGTTCAGTTTTTCGCTCGACATGATCGATCCTGAGTGATTTTTTTACTGTTCACTGTACGGACACTGGCTAAGGTCAAACGTCAAACCGTCGAAAAAAAGGACATCGCGCGGCCACGGCCCGCTCTTCAAACAGGTAGAACAAGTAGTGTCGTCGACGAACTCGGTGGATTTAAATGGTAGTTCCGATGCCAACTGGCAACAAGCGCTGATTCCGGCTGTCTGCGTACTGCGCTCGGTCGTTCCAAAGACTTCCAATCTGGTTTTTGTTGGTACGATGGGAGTGGTAAGGTGACTGCTAGCGTGCTTAGGTACGGGTTGCGATCCCCGGTCCCCTCTTTACATCGGTACCAACAGCTCTTCACCAGCGACGTACCGTACGCGAGGCACCATCACATTTTTTCACTTAGTATTTTTTTAAATCATTATTGGATTACGTCAACCAAGTCGTTGATTAATAATGTTCATGGACGATTTATATGAACTTTACTTCGAAACGATAGTTATATTAAAGAAACATTCGGGTCAAGTTTCGTTTAGCCGAAATCTGTTAAAAAAGAAAAAAACTTTTTTTTGCCATTTAGGTACCTCAGGGAGTATATTACTGAAAAAATTTTGCCGCGGAAATGCGTCACCATTTTTTGAATGCGGTTTAAAAGTAACGAAATGACATACATGAAAAATTAATATTATTTCATATTTTAGACGTCTTTGTAAATATTAATACGAAAATAAAATTCCGCGGAAATGCTCTGTTGCCATTTTTTGAATACGGTTTAGAAGTAACGAAATGAGATAAATAAAAAATTATATTATTTTATATTGTAGACTTATTTTTAAGCACCGATACAAAAATGAAAATCCGCGGAAATGCCTTGTTTCACCACTATGCAGTGTTCTTCTTCCCGACCTTTGACACAGATCAATGAATAATATCTATTCTTATCAACTTAATATCGCTATGGTCAATAAATGCGAAAATAAAAAAAAAATTGTCAATAAAGCATAAAAACGACAACTAAACCAAACCAAACCCTAAAAAAACAACCAAATCAAACCAAAACAAATAAACCCACTACAACAAAACCAACTACAACCAAACGAAACCAAACCGAAAGTATGCAAAAAAGTTGAGAATACTATGAAAAACTTCATGAGAATACTATAGAATACTATGGAAAATATTGAAGATTTTCTATTACACCGCCCTTATGATAAATTTCCGCGGAAATAGTTATATAGAAAAGTTATAGCAAATTATTAATCAAACAAAAATATGTAATTTTTATCTTCCTATCACATTTAGGCACTTCTAAACCCGGAAAAATCAATGAAAATTATTGTGATAAAAATATATTTTCGAAAAAAATTAGTTCACGTCTTTATATTAAATGTTTTTACGTCATTCTATAATGAAAAAAAACTATTAAAAGCACCGTAAAATTTTAAATTTTAGTTAATAATAGAAAAATAAAAAATTCGAGTTTTCTCAAAAACAAAGAATTTCCGCGGCAAAAATCAAATTATGTAGTGCTAGTTTTCTTGTATAGAATCATCCTATAAACCGATATTCTATGTTACTGATTTCGGCTAAACGAAACTTGAGCCAAACATTCTTTAATTACTTTATGTTAGTTAATATAAATAAACTTTCTTTTGATTTTTTTTTCTTTCTCATAAATGTGTCTTTCTATATTTTTTAATATTCGTGGACGGTGAATTTGGCTCTACCCCAAACTGTTATTTAATTTTTTAAAGGTATTTATTTTGAAAAAAAAAACATTAATTTTTATTCTAAAATTCCTGTACTTTATATTAATTGATATAATTTTTTTGTTTCCTATCTTTTAAAACAGAAACTTTTAGAATATAATTGATTTTCTAGTTTATAGATAAAAAAGCATGGATTCAAAATGTACCTATTCTTAAATTTTGGGGGTTTATATGGAGTTTACTCTTTTTTATTTAATGAGATTTTTATTTAATATTTGTATAAAGATTATTTCCAAAAAAGTAACACATTAGGTTATTTGAAAAAATGATAGATCAGCTTTTTTTTAGTGCACATGTGACCCAAATATGAGTAATTATGAGAAAGTCAACTTTGCGCAATGCTTAATACAAATCTACTTCCCTTACTGTAGGGTCTGTCACAATAAGCTTATTTTGTAAAACTCAGATTGTTTCTGTAACTTATTATGATTGTAGATCTAATTTATCGAAACATTAATTTTTCATGTTAATCTACAATCCAAACAAAAATGTTTAATGCGAAATCTTCTAGAGTTATAATTGAAATGTATACAAGATTGTTATATGCAGATTTTAATTCAGAAGTTATATATTTTCAGAGTTTATAAATAAATATACTTATATATATCAGTAGAATGCAGAAGTCGCAGTTCATATGAAATAGCTTGCATCAAATTAAAATGTTTGTTATTGGTTTTTCCATTTTGTAATAAATTATTGTATAATTTAAACAACTTTTTTCTATATTTTAAATTTAAATACCACCCAGAAAGCATTAATATATTATCCATTCATTTTATTATAATGTGTAACTAAGATATATTTTTTTCTACAAGTTATGATATGTTTTATACTTTTTATTTTAAGCGTGTTTGAGAATAAAATTTTATAAACAGTTATGAACAATAATTATGCTAAATTTTAAACACAACAAACGTCAAGGACATTTAAAGATTTGTTTGGATTTGCAATTAAATCAATTTAGGTTTCGAAAAATAATATACCTTTTGGTTATTCACATAGAATAAGCTACTAAACTTTTAAATTTACATCGTTGAAATAATGTGTGAATAAAGCCACGATACTAGGTACAAAACTTAACGTATTGAAGCAACTATATACCTCTCAGTGAATCAATAAAAACCAGTGAATCATTATATCAATTAATTTTTCCATGGTATGGCGGAAAAAAAATCACTAACTAGTCATTTAGATGATGATGGGATACCTAGAATTAATTAAGATGTGAAGGTCTCAGATTGTTCTAAACGACCTTGGGACTATAAGAAAGTTCCTACCGGTTATCATAGAATCTATAATTATTGTCAAAGCGAATTTGATTCCACAAATCAAATAATAAATAAAATGCAATTGTTACTAGATATTAAGGCTGTAGTTATTATATAATTTTGAAAAATTAAGAAAAAATCTCATTTATACAATTAACACTCGATTGGTATTGTAAAACTAGTCTTTAAAGAGTCCTTGATCATCCCAATGACCTTGACAAATACAAACGGCCCTCGAAAACAGCAAACAGAGCGGTATGCCCTTTTAGTTGCCGTTCCATTCAGGAATTCCCTAAAATAATCTATATCTTATTTTTTCACGCTATTTTTCTCTGGTATTGTACCGAAAAATATATTTATTCTAGAAATTTTTTATTCTGTTTGGTCTCATTTGAACGAATAAGCATTCAGTACAATTTTTTATTAGTTAAACAAATTTTGGGAAAAGAAAATGTTTACAATCCGGCAATGCCGGATAGTATGGATCTTGTTCCTGTTGCATTCGAAAGTCGAATGCGACGTTGTCACTTTTAACTGTCAGGATAATAATAAAAGTTTATTTTTCTCTCTCAAAACTATTAAACAAATAATTAAAAAGTTGTAAATAGCAGAATTATTAACTAATGATTCGTTGTTAGCAAATGATTATTAGAAGTTCCATTAATGCAAAAAAGTCGAAATAATTCTGTTTCCTGGTTCACACTTGTGATTTATATTAAATATATTATTGTAAATTCGGAAAGTTATTACTAGTCGTAATACAACATAATATGTATTAGTTTATTTTCAAGGAGTTTTTCTTAATATCCTTAATAACTAGGAATGGAAGTATATACGACCAGATATACCAATGCGTAGTGCTAGATGATTACTAATGATTGATTTGTGTCTGTTAAATTAGCGTGGGGTACTCGAATAAAAAGTTATGAAGATAAATATGTTTAAGTAAATCGGATATTTTTAAAAATACGGTTAAGCACTGGCAACACGAAATTTTACGCCAACTTTTCAATCGTATTATCGGGTTAAGCCGGCTTCTGATTGGCTGGCGTGTCAATAGCCCCATTGCGCATGGGGCTTTGCCTATGACAATTGATATTGCCAGAGAAAAAGTGTCGGGAGCTGATATCGCGATATTGAATCAGCTCATCATCGTTTTGTTTATTCGCGTAGTACTTGTCTTATAATGGTTATAAGCGTTTTATTATCTTAAACTAATCCTACAAAGAGGTTTCTAATTATCCCTGATACATTCCCGGTTTGTCCTAGATTGTTCCAGAGGTAGATATTAAAATTCAAAGCATGTTTTCTGGACTCACCAACCAAGTCAGCTCTTGGATGGGCAGCGTTAAAGGGGACACTGAAGAAAAGGTACCGACCCCTACTGAAGACAGCAACACACTTCTTGGACAAGAAACTAAAGAGGGAATGTAAGTATTTTGACCTATTTCCACCCTCTAGAACGCGCCGATTATCTAAGCTAGTTTTTTTTTTTAAATTAATTGCGCATATATTTGTAAACAAATAGTTATTTAACGACCAGAAAAATATGTTCATTTTTGGAAGTGTCTGGCTGACTTGAAACGCGCTAATTAAAAATCATTAAAATGATTTGAGTTGCGTTATGTTGGGCATAAAAAATTCAAATTCCGCGTTTGCTAAAACCACCGCTGTCTCTTTTGGGCAATATAACTTCGACATTATTCCAAAAGCCCATCCAAAGCTTTTACAGGGTTCTTTAAAGGGCAACATTTAATTAACTTGTCTGGAAATTGTGTACAGTAGACATAATATCAATTTAAGATAATCTGATTTTTTTTATCAAATCAGCTATTTCAACATAATCATTTATGTAGATTATTTAGTATTCTTTTTCAGGTATTAGTATATAAGTTATATATGGATATATTTAAAAATTAGTATATTTATTTTGATTGGAATTGATGTGGACTCTAATGAAAAATACCCGTTACAGTAGCCCCACGAAAAATACGGGGGGCGGTCGTTTGGAGATGTTTTCAAACGTCAAAAATCAGATCGAGGGTATAGGAGGCTGGTTAGGGTCTAGCATACCGAAACTGCGTAAAGGTGAGCACGGAGAAGGTGGTAACCCAGATGCCGTGGGTCACGAGAACCCAGCTGCTGATACGGGATCACCTACCAACGTCGATCCCGTCAAAGAACCTCGAGATGACGATGACAATTCGAGGTAACTTTGGGTTCATCCTTGTCAAAATCATGAAATCGAAAATTCGAAATGTTTCATGAATTTGTTTGATGTAAATGGTTGAAAAATCTACGAAAGGAATGAAATTTGAGCTTTTTTGTTTCGGATTTTCGAGTTTCGTGAGTTTAACTTGTGGAAATAGTGTCCAAAAAAACCTAATGTAGGAATTTTAGTGCTACCGGAGGAGCCGACTCTGGACCTCAGTCTCTGGCTGAGTCCCTCACTGAGGAAAATAAAGAAGGTCAATTCGGAAATGGTAGGTTAACTGTTGATGTTGTATGCATCTGTAGGCAACTCTTTCTGTCTGCTATTTCCTCGAACTAGAGAACTACTTCTTATAAACGTAAAATCTTATAGATCAAATAGGTGGTTGGCTCTATTTTATTGTGCTTAGTAACAGTGCTCTATCTGTGTTCATGTCTTAATGATAATTTCGAGTAAATCTGAATTGTTTCTGCATTACAGTACAAAGTAAAGCGCTAGCCGGCGCAAAATCTTTTGGGAATTTTTTGTATTCCGCTGTTAACAAAGCTGGAAAAACTGTCACAGAGGCTGGCTCCAAAATCCACGTTATCAATGTAAGTATAACGTTCAATTCGATTATGGATTAAAACAATAGGTTGTTTGCCAGAATATCTTAGGGGAATTTAGTAAAGAGCAGGAAGCGTTTGTGAAGAACAAAGCCAATGCGAGTTCCACAGCTGTGCCGCCGTGGGTAGGATGTGCGAATGAAGAGAACCTCAAAGAAGAGTGTTTGAGTCTCTCTACTGACAGGAGGTAAATAGAAAAACTAACTGGAGAGACACCAAAACAACCATTCTCTTCGAAATTTTTCAGGAATTTTGTCAGAGCTCCTCCCGCGGGTGTCGACTTTCAATTCGACTATGAAGTTTCTTATCCTGTAGCAATGGCTATAATGGAGCAAGACCCTAATCTGGAGAAGATGCGTTATGAACTCGTGCCTAAAATGTTTGTATCTATCAATTTTATCGAAAAATCGGACTTACTGAATTTTTTTAGCATTCCAGAGGAAGATTTTTGGAAAAATTACTTCTATCGAGTTAGTCTAATTTGTCAAGCCTATGAACTCTCATTTATGTCTAGAGAAGGCGATAGCAATGCTGCTACAAACACTTCTTCAGTGCAACCTATAGGTAACGTTTGTAATAATAACTCTAAATATATTAGTTTTAAAAGCCGATGTATATATTTAATCGAATTTTATTTGGTTTTGCACTACCACCCTTTCATTGTAGGTAGATTTTTATTTGTTTTTGTTTTTCTTTATTAAGTAGATAAGACTGAAAAAGAGCATGAATTTGTATCTGATACGCTAATAGCAAATAAAGAAGATATTGACGAAGTACAAGAAGGCATGAAAAAACTTGCTTTAGGATCGAAACCCTTGAATGGTAAGTTACCCTGTGCTCTTCCTTCTTTCTTGATTTAAACGTTATATAACAGCTGTCAAAATAGTATTTGCTATTTCTAATAAAAAGTCATGATCATAAAAGAAACTCTTATATTTTTCATGGCTTTCTTAATGAGTACCTATTTATTATTCTTTGGTTTTCTTAGCATCACTTCATTGGCTTCTTCTTTTTGGTTATTTGCTTCGATTAGTTTATGACAAAAAAGAGATAAAATGATGTGTTAGTTTCCTGTTTAATTTTTTTCTCAGCCTAAAAGAAGATCAACGTTACATTTGCTTCCCCCACTAGCCCTCTAAATAAAACCTATTATTTTTAATTTATTTTTAAGAGTTATTTTTCGTTTCGAGTCCTTATCCCGGAGATTTTATATATATTTTCCTCTTTTTTCTTAATTTTTGTATTCTAAACCCTTACTCTATTTTGCTTTATCCAAAGTATTAATATAAATGTAATATAATTGTATTAATTAATAAGATATGATAATGCTGAAAAAATAATTTACTAGTTTTCTAATATGTGTTAGGCAAGAAAATAAATAGCTTGCAGTTATACTTGTGCAAATATTTTAGACATATCTTAAAATATAATAAGACATCAACATTAGTGGCGTAGCTAGGTCAGCCTGGATTGCATAAATTTAAATGGCATCATAGTATATTATTTGTTTCAGATATAGAACTTCTCTCTTTTTTGAGGCACAATATTCCCCTACTATTAGCTACGCCAATCATTAAATTTTAGAAAAAAATAACTCGATTTTTTCTTAAATATATTTCATTTATTTGCACAAGTTAGATTTCCTAATACGAGTTACAGAGCCTTTTCTTTATAGTAAGACAATACAGAGAAAAAAAAATGAATTAAATAAGATGCATGTTATTATTTTGAAACTTGCAGTGCTACTTTTTGTGTGGACCTTTTAAATGCTTTTTATGTCTCTTTTATTTTCAACTGGATGACTAAATACGACGTCAATAAAAAACACCATTTTATATATGTACGATGTGTTTGAGGAATTTTGCCCTTTACTAACATATATTACCAGGCGCTCAGACATGTCTTGGAGCAGGAAACTATCACCCTGAGCATCTGGATAATATTTACTGCAAAGAAAGAAATCCGAATGGTTAACTTAAAATTTCATTCATTTTTGGACGATTTTTGTTTGTTTCTTTTTTTATTTCTTTATTTTTGTGTTTATCCTTCCCTTTCTGTCGCATAGAAGAAGACTGGGAAAAAGAACTAGAAGCCGAACTTCAGGATTATGAATTGGTGAGTGACGCAAAGGACAACAATATAGACAAGGAAATTGAGGATATGCTGAATGAAGAGACGGATTTGAAGTAATGTAATTTTTTCAGGCTATAAGCATTCTTTTTTGACTGATTACCATAAGATTTGTTTACTCTAGTCATCTAGGTTTGGTTAAATCTACACTATCTTTATTTTTGTATTAATTAATAAGATGTTTTGTTTTTGTTGACTATGGCCTAGAGGAAGATGAAAATATTTATTTTTAAAAATAAAAGACACTGGAAGTGTGTAAGTCTTAAGCACCGTTTTAAAAATGATACTAATAAAATAAGCTGTATCATTATTATCTTCTCCAACAGTACTTTTTATTCTTCAAGTATTTTTTTTATTTTTCTCTAAACGTCACGTTTGCACAAGACTTACTTTATTAACATTCCGGTAAAAATAATTCTGTAAACAGTAAGTATTCTATTACAGCCATCTAGTGTTTTCAATGTGATAAAAACGGCACTTTAAAGGTCTACAAATTAATATAAAGAAATATATTGGATTGTGAGCTATTTTCTCGATATATTTTGCAAATAAAAAACTTAGGTACAAGAGAGGAATAGTATTATAAAATAATTATAATATATGTCGTGATTATTCTATAAAAAATGTAAAATATATTCTAAATGTAAATCTGTTGTCAGACTTATATAATTATAAGTAAATACCCACTAGTTATTTATTAAATTTTATTCTGCATGTAAAACTGAGAAATCGGCAAGTCTGTACTCAGTTTAATCTATGTAAATTGAACACGAAATAGAAAAAGCGTATTGGAACTTCTGTGTGTAAAAGACACAAAGAAGTGTATATTAAAGTTTTTTCTAATATATCCTAGTTCTCGACCGCTTAAATGTGTGCTGTATTTAATTTTAATTTCTATATTTGTAATATGATTTTTATATTTTGTGTTCCGTTTTCCTCTGTTTAATTATTACTCAAAAATGTAAAATATTATAAAAAGATTTAACTACATTTGGTTCATATAACCATTTAATGAGGTTAAATAGCGGACATTTTGATTGATTCCTTAATCATTTCAATGTTTGCATTATTAGAATTTAGAGATTGTAGCTTTTCAATGTTTAAAGCATGTTTCCTTCTCTATTTACGTAATTGTTATAAAGTAAATACTTTAAATTGTTAAAATAAATGTAGTTGTGCCCATCACACTGGTGTTTTATTTATTCATCTTAGGAATCGCCAAAGTTAAACAAAATCTTATTTTACTATAGGAATTACACGAATAACAGAAATTGGTACGCCTTTGGTAGAAATTAATCGAAACAATTAAAGATGAAGTGAATTGACACGCCTCTGGAATATTCGCGTTTATCTCCCTCTACTGGAAGTATAGGAGGTACTACTTTATCGACATTGTCGGCTTTTCAAATTTATAGGTATATATCTCACATATTTTCTCGAGTAAAAAATTCTAGTTTTGAATCACATCTGAATTAAAATATTTTTAACAGTTTATGTTTTTTACACGTACATTTCATATATCCAAAACATTAATATGGGCTTTGGATTTTAAATGTAATATAAATATATATGGTGTTCTAATTTCTTTGTGCGTAAATGTGGCAACAGGGCTATATGACTTCCAATTCAATTCAAACATGATTTATCTCCCTCTACTGGAAGTATAGGAGGTACTACTTTATCGACATTGTCGGCTTTTCAAATTTATAGGTATATATCTCACATATTTTCTCGAGTAAAAAATTCTAGTTTTGAATCACATCTGAATTAAAATATTGGTAAAGGTGTGGATCCGGTGGCTGACCTTGAAGCCCATATTTGCTGAATTTGATCATCGATACTACGCAAGCGCACATCGTCGAGGTTGCCAAATTGCAGTTTATTTTCGAATTATTTGAAGTTGAAAATTTTTTTTTGAGTGTTAATCAATAATAATACAAATTCTATAATTAATTTTATAATTTCAGATTTATCTTGATATCTAAAATTAAGGAATGATATATAAAATTGAATATATAAAATTGTAATAATAATAAAACATTTATTTATATATTTACATTAGAATTAAAAATTATCATTTACTGATTTTTTCTTAATGCTTTTAAACTTATTAGAATTATTTTATTTCTTTCAAGTTATTTAATTTCTAGTTATTTACAGGCAACAATAGTTTTGATTATATATATTGATGTATTGAAGTACTACCATGACGAGTCTTATAGAACAATACACGTCAATGGGAGATAGAGGTAACATTTTACCTATAATGTTACTAATATAATATACTTTGATTATAATGTTGGTATCATAATTTCTTAAAAATATCAAGTTGGTGGATTAATAGCAATTTTAGACATATATTTTATCGAAGAGTTGTGGTGATAAGACTAAAATAAGCTTTATGTTTTATCTTTTTCTCTTTAGAAGGGTTTGTGTCGTAGACTCTACAATATTTAATATCGTATACTTTGATATTCTTTTCTTAATTTACTGTAATTTCTTGTTTCCTATAATGCCAAATCTTGACAATATGGTGAAGGTTGAGTTTTGATCTTATTAGTTTTATACCTGTGTTTATACAAGGCCAAATTAAGACTTAGTTTGTGATTTATATTAAGATCTTTCTTATATTTGTTATGTCTTAATCTTAATACTATATTATGCTTTGTCTGGAAAATAAATGTTAAAATATCTTAATTTTGCATATCCTATTCCTTCCTTCCATTAGGAAAAAAATGGTTTATAAATCATATATGCTAAGAAAATCACATAAATTAGGTGTAAGAATAGAGAAATCTTAAGGTAGCAGAAAAATTAATGCAATATATGTATAAGCAGATTAAACAAGGTAACTGTTAATGTTGCTGAAGCTGATTCTACCATTTTAATTACGGAGGCTAAAAGGCCTTTTAAATTAAGGCCTCCGTAGTTTTGATGGAATGTTAAAAAAAACTATTATGAACATGATATGGAGCAAAAAAGAAAAAACTTGGACACATCCTTTTTAAACGTAGCATAATAATCTAGAGCAATTAGATTAATTATAGGAATCTAGAGTTTTATTTCTATTTAATTTTATTGACTATGAAAATACATAATAAGCGTTCACGTGTTGTGCGAAATATTAAAATAATAACATAAATAATATACCGCGTACTATGATTGAAAAAAAATAGCGTCAGTGATGACTATGAAATGAAGATCGCTGTAATTTTATATGAGAAATGTCCTTTATCGTCATTTCCCAGCCAACTGGACGCCGTTTTTTCGATCATACGGTATATATTGACAAAAAAACACTGAAAAGCACATATTTGTTTTCTACTGAAAATAATTCCAAAATAACTCACAATCTGGCAACATCGAAGATGTGCGCATGCGTAGTGTCTGTGACTATATGCAGCAAAAACTCGTTTCAAGGTCAGCCACCGGATCCACACCATTACCAAAATATTTTTAACAGTTTATGTTTTTTACACGTACATTTCGTATATCCAAAACATTAATATGGGCTTTGGATTTTAAATGTAATATAAATATATATGGTGTTCGAATTTCTTTGTGCGTAAATGTGGCAACAGGGCTATATGACTTTCAATTCAATTCAAACTTCAATCATTTCAAATCGAGTGAAGGGAAGAAACCGTTGATTTGTCTGCTCCATACTCCATAGTTCTTGCATTTTTTGCTAGTTTTGTTTTGTACATTTAAAAAGTAAGTTAATAAATACACGTGTGAAGCTCTTTAAGTATTTTATCTCATTTTGTTTGTAGCATGACTTCTACTAACATTCACATTGGAATTAACGAGAGAAAGTCCAGCAGAGTTCTAAGGGCTCCTGGCGGAGGTCATACGGATATATTTGGGACAAGGGACAACGGAAATGAAATTTTAACACCAAACAAGCGAAAGAACCACCCTTCTTCATCCATTGGATCTTGTTTTAATATGAGTGAGGAGACAAAAGGAACAAAGACTGAACAAGTAACAAACGGTGAAACAGACAATCCAACAGAATCAAATCAACAGCCAGAGAATCAACAACTTAAGGTAGATGAGACTGATGAAAACAAAGCACCAATTGAAACTAAAGAAAAAGAACAAGAACAAAAGGAAATTGAAAAAGCCATTCCACAAACAAAACGTGTTCGCGTCCCTCCTGGCGGTTTCTCATCTGGATTTTGGTAATTAATATACAAAACAATCTTAAGTCTTAATCATACTCTTCTATCTTCAATGATTTTCTAAATATTTTTTGAATTATATAGATGTATTTGTTTAAACACAAATGCTCCATCTAATTTAAAACACCTAGGCTGCATCAAACCAAAAATATTTATTATTTTAACGAAAAACCAAGTAAAGTAGTGTGAGCAATGTGATGTGTGATTTTATCATTTATAACTTTTTTTCATTCCATGTAATTCTGTTTATTGTAAGAAGATTAATTTACCAGGTAGTGTGAATTATATTGTTTCATTGAAACGAGAAAATTAATTATACAAGACCAATAACTTTAATTCTTGTTGATTGTAATTTTTAATAAACTTTTTATAATAATCCTATGAGACTTTTATTTATTTCTTTTGTCTATTATTAGAATATATAATCCTTGCATGCATCCTGTTTGATAATGTAGTAATTCCAACAAAATGAGTCACAGAGAACTGAAACAATGTAATCTTATCACCATTAAATAAAAAAAGTCAATGCTTCCTTTAAATGACAATTATAGTAAGTTTATTGACTTGTTTATGGTATGAATAGATATTGCATATTAATAATGAATTATTTGATAAAAACTGACGTCTATTTCTGAATAATTGTATATATCCTTCGTTAATTCTGGGATTAAAAAGAAATTTATCATAATTAAAAAAATAATTTTTGTTTCCATAATATTACAAAGAATTACCAGTCATTAATACTTAGAAAAATAAGTAGGTTCAGAAAATAAATAAAAAACAACATAATATGTGTTAATGTTTATTGATTTCAAATTCAAATGAGGCAAATACATCTCGATATACAATATTATAGGAGTGAAAACTGAATATATTGAATGAGAGTCCCTAAAGTAATTTTAAATTCATTAACAGAACAATAAAATCCCAAACAAATAAACAACTATAAATTGTTAGAAAAGGCCCCAGAAAAATGAAATCAATCTACAATGAAGTAAAAATGAAAATCAGCAGATCAGAATTGCCACGATATTTTTCATAGCATCTAAAACCACCTAAGAAAAGTCCTTTGACAGCTTAAGGGCTAATATGTTATATTACAATTCTATGTCTTTAAAGTTAATACAAAAGCTCCACTTAGTTAAATACAAACAACATAAAGCCATAGAAGGAATATTAAAATGTAGCAAGGACTGTAGCATTCACTTTAGTGTTGCAATGTGTATATTATTACTGGTTTTGAATTACTTTTAATACATGCAGTGTTTAATATAAACTTCTTTGTCAGACAACACTATGATGAATGTCCTGTCAAAAGACAAAACTACAACTAGCAGGGAGGAAAATGATTATAGTGAAAGACACTTCCATGTTTGGAAAATCAATTCTGAACTACTGTGCCAATTTCGTTTTAGGTTGGTCCTGAACTTAAACGAAATTCGGTGGGCACTTAGTACAAAGTGCCAAAGCAATAACCAGGAATTATGTATATATGAAATCATTTCATACATCTTAATATGTTAAATGACATCACATAGATAAAGGATTACATAATAATTCTAAGTTATTCACATAATACTATGTAATCATGACATATTCTCTTATTTTGTTTTGACATGGCCACATGGAACTCCTAGCAGTCAAATAAATCTGTACCAATGAAAGAAAGACATAAAAACTAACAAATATGTACACATATATTAACTCTGATATAACTGGAAACGCTTTATAATAAATAAGTCCAACTCTATTCATCAAAATCTTATAAGATTCATTGGTATAGTCTACATTGACATAATAAATGGCTTGTTATACCTTAAATATTTCAGAAAAGCATTTTTAGGTCTAACCAGTCACAATAACAAAAATAAACTTCTATTTCTATTAGTTTAATAATTTTTACTGATCCTTGTGGTATTATAGATTTTGAAAATTGAACCCCCTTACTATGATTTACAAAATCCGGCGTTTATAGAGAAAAAAATATATTCTGGAATTCTAAATAAACCACGCGATTTAAAACCAAATAAGGTATCGTAGGGTAACTGGAACTCGGGGTATCTGGGACATACAACATTATTGTATGTTGTTTAATCGTTCTTGAAACAGTTTATATTCTCTTTTCGTAACGCTATCTATCTATAGCAAGTTGAAACGTTTATTTAAATTCCTCAATATAGCGATGGTACCGCATGGTGTGTAAATGATGTTTTGTTTCTGTTCTCAAAAAAATCGGCGCTCACTGAAATTTAGGCAAAAACATTTTTGGAACTTGGTAAAATTTGATTCTATGCGATGTTAAATAAACAATAAATCTCTTCACTTTTAAGTTTGTTTTTGGCCTATTTATAAGAACGATATTTAGAGTTTAGTCCCAGTTTCCCCAAAGATCTGTGAAATAAGGGGCATCTGGGATTTTTGCCTCGGGGCAACTGGGAGCTTATAATCCCAGTAACTAGAAAAACTAAAAAAAAAATTGTCTTTCAAACGCATAAATTTGAAAACATGAAAAATAAATAGAAAAAATAATTATTAAAAATAATATTTATAATAATATATTATATTTTATAATTATTAATAATAATTATTAATTTTGGGGATACAATTAATAAAAATATATAATAAATATATGACTAGAACCGACCCAGTATACCTATATATATGCTGTAACAAACCGGTCGTAATCAGGGTTCGGAAAACTACATGTTACTTTTAAAAACTACATAAACTACAATACATGTAGTTAATGTTGTTTATGTAGAGGGTGTAGTTTATGTAACCTATGTATGTAACTTTCAAATATTAAAGGTTTGAGGTGAAGTTATAATAAGTTGAAGCTTTAAAAACACATAATGTATTTAAGAAAACAGAAGAAATATGGCTTTAAATATAATATTTACATCATATTATCTCTATTACACCTCATTCAAATGAAAATTATTCATAATATCAATACATAGTTTATTAACGTAGTTTTCATGTAGTTAATGAACGGGAAAGGACGTAGTTTTTGAAGAAAAACTACACGTAGTTAATCAGGTAAATTATGTCTTAATTAACTACTTCCGAACCCTGGTCGTAATATAGACAGGATGCGCCCCCACCTTGCGGGGAACTGGGACACTATGTATCAACATTTATAAAAAAATAAACACAACCCTTTAACTGAATGCAAGTAAACCCGTTACTACAAAGATAAAAGTTGTAAAATATGATCCCTGTTACCCTACCTTACCTTAAAATCTTTTGTTAAAAAGCTTTTCTGAGATATGTAAACATTCCATTTAAAATCTGTAGAGTTCATATTTAGAGGAAAATAAAAAGTATGACAAAACGCTAAAAATTTTAGGAGCAACTTGTTACATATTCTCAGGATATTTACATAGTGCTTTTTGTTACTTAATCTCAAATTTAACTAGATTTATTTGCGAGATGTCGGAATTTTAAAAACTGCATCAGAGTCAAGAATACTAACAGCGAATACATTTATTTTTAGACACATTTTTAAAAATACATCGACATTAATACTTTGTCGAAAAAATGGGATTAAGTGACATCTGCACTATCGGCACGCAAAAAATACTAAAATAACACGCGAAAAAAAGACGATATATCCTGAGAATAGGGAACAAGTTTGAAAAAAGTAACCACCGCATCGTTTAATCGTTATTTTGCGAGTTGGCGTCTTTATTTGGGGCTATGTCGAGGCCCAATTCAGACAAAACTTTGAGAGCTTCCAGAGCAGCCTTCTCGTGGGAGTTTTCAATGCTTGGACCTTCACCGTGACACACCTGAGGCGGATTGGTTGTTAAGGACACCAGTGTTAAATACATCTCGTGATTAGCCTTAGGGAAATCAGAAAAATGAACCTGAAACAAAGATATAGCAATATTAAGTTGACTAACCCTGAAATGAACGCAACATATTTTTTTCAAATGATGACTACCTGAATATTCATCAACTGTGCTAAATATAAGAGCTGATCCTTTGACCGAACGCCAGAAGGCGGGTTCTTTAGCTGAGTGGGCTGGACAGGCTTTGGGGGCTCCATGTTGTCGATCTTTGGCTTGCTGAAACCGGCGTTCTGTTCAGTGACAAGAAGAACTCCCGGTACGAGCTGGCGCCCTCCGCTCCCACCTATGTTCTGAGCCGGTTGAGGATCGTGTTTCTCTTCGACAAAGGTCACTTTCCTGTTCTTATCACTCTGGTTCAAGCCTTGTTCATCTTTGTTTTTCGCTTGTAATGGTTTCGTATTGTTGTAACCGAGCTCTGCAAGAAGTGCATCAGCTGCATTACGTTTGGCCACCTATATTAAAGGAAAAAAAAATTACTTTATATAGAACAGCGGGAATAATAAAGTACCTTTTTATTTGGACCGACTCCGGAGCAAGAATGACCATTCACAGAAGCTTCTATGACGAACTCCCTACGACGAGGTGCTCCACGTTCCTCTAAAACTGTATAAACTGGCTCTCTTTCTTTATTTGCTTGTTGGATCTGGATTAACCGCGATATCGGATTTATTTCATCCGTCGTTTCGGAGGGCTTGTCCATATTAACCTGCTTATATAAAGGTAATGATATGACTTAATTTTAAAATAGGTTTCAGTGTCATTCGCCTAAGATTTTTTGGCAAAATTATTACTTATATGTAAGACGAATGGATCTGACAAATTGGTAAAAAAAAACAAGTATTCTTTGAATTTTGAAACTACCAAAAATAAGTCATACTTTGATGAGATTTCTGGTTTTCTTCTTGTTTGTGATGCGTTTGCGCTTTATTTGTGTGAGGCTATTCATGTTAGGCAATGGTGGCAGCTTGGATAGTTCCTCCAGCATTCTTTCAGCAGCTTTCTTCTTCGAAATCTTCTTTCCATTTCCTTCACCATCAGCCACGAAGTTCCCCACTCTGCACTGCGTGGCAAACACTTTCATATGAGGCGGACCCTAGGAAATGTAATAAGCATAATTTTATTCGGATTTTCAGAGACTGGTATGCTTTAGTGTCATACTTTTTCGCTGAGAACTTCGAAGATGACGTTCAAATTGCGTTTCAAGGCAATTTCGTACACCAATGAAATGGGCGATTTTAATTCCGAGTTGAGGTCATTGGGTAAACTGCTTGCTGTTTGGTCACTTATTTGCCCATTCTCATTGGTGCTGTCAGTACCATCCACCCCACCCAATTGCTTGATGTGGTCGATGGCTTTTGAAGCAGCGTCGTGCCTAGCAGCTTGAACTGTAGCGCCGTGCCCTGTAAAATAGTACCATTACTTCGACTAGGACCAAACATTCCAGCTCTTTAATAGCTTTAAATCATTGTTAAGTTTCAGACCACGCAATATCGATAAAGAAACAAAGGCGAAAAGTGTGGGAAACATGAACAGAAAAGGTAAATTACCAAATTGAGTACCTGGGTACTCTCGCTCGCCTACACGCAACCGCACGGTGTAAGGATCTCCCTGGCTGTGGTGAGGAACCCCCGGTCTATACTGACCATAGTAGCGGTTGTCATATGAGTAGCCTCTGATGTTTCGCCGCGTATCATAGCCATACCTCGGTTGGGCCTGTGGATAATTCAAACTGTGTCTTGGAAAATAGCCTGGCTGATTCAGATAACCCTAAAATAAAACTTTTGATTCCAGGCCAGAAACAAAAATATAACAAAAAAAATGTTTAAACAAAATCTTGAAAATTCCCTCCCTCAAATAGGAACTAAAATTGGCAAACCTGATGTGATGGAGCTCCGCTCTCTACAACATACACTGCTCTTTCACCTCTCTTCATGGCCAGGGCATTTAGTTCCACAGTAGGAGTGACTACACCAGGGTTAGACTGTCGATTGCCAGATCTATTAATGATTGTTTTGGCTGGTGGATGCTTCAGTTCAGTCTTGGTCAATGCTTTAGCAGCGGCTGAGTGTTGAGCTTTTTTGATGCTGGGCCCTTCTGCTTCATATTCTTCCTTTCCAAGTTTTAAGGTTACTGTGAAAGTCTTTTTGTGTGCTGGGCCCTGTTCTCCAGTCAGACGATACTGATGTTGAATTTTATTGAACCTTGCTGAACAAAAGAATCTTATATTAACCATATTAAGAAATCAGAAAAATGCATTTTATTATTTTTAAATAAGGCTAAATTATTTTGTTTATTATGACTTAAACCTACCTAATTCATTTACCAAGCACATGGGCGTTTTTTCTTTTATGTTTGCCAAAGGGGGATTAGGTGCAGAAGAAGTATTAGTGTTTGGACTATTGTGGGTCATTTGGGGTTGATCTTGAGTATTTGGGTGTTGTTGCTGTTGAGGGTGTTGCTGATGATCTGCATCTTAAAATAGAAATGAACTATTTAATATGTACATTACTACTAACAAATGCGCACACATACATTAAAAAATAAATTCGTGTATAATTTAGATTCAGTTAAGACAAAAAGTTCATTTAAATGACGACTCACCGCTTTGTTGTGTATGTTGTGGTGGTTGTGTAGGGGCAGCTTCATAATGGTAAACTTGGGGCTGTTGCTGCATTGGCTTTGGTTGAGATTGTAGCTGCTGTGGAATTGAAGTAGTTGTTATCAAGGCCGGTCCAGGACCAGGAGGCATCGATACAAGTACCCCTAAGTTAAAATAACATTATGACAAACCATAAATTGGAAATAGCAAATGTTAATGTCTAATTAATTATTATAAAACATAGGACATGAACTGTCAACTTTTCTAATACATAATTGAACAGTAGATTAACATTACCAAATATATAAACATATACATACCGGGAGCCATAATCATGGGAGTTCTTTGATTAGGGGGTGGTCCCATTTGCTGCATCCCCATCCTTGAAAAAATATCAGAGGCCATTATAATTAATTGAAAAAGGAAATGAGAAATATCAGTGTATCATTCAAGTACCTTGGATTCCTTTGCATACCGTTTTGATTCATGTGATGTTCCTGAAGCATGATATGTTAAATAAAAAAATTAAAAGAATAGAATATTCTAATTTGTTCAAATATCACTTTGGGAGTACACCTTAAAAACCGGTGTCAACTGAATGTAAGATAGAAATTGAAAAAGGACTTAGTAGTGTTTTTAATATTTTCTAACAGCAGTTGATATTTTTTAACCAAACACCACTACTAAATCTTTTACGTTCGTTGGCAAACAATAAAGAAAATTCAGTAACTAACATGCGGCCATGTTAGAATAGAAACGACGACGGCGGATTTTAATATCAAACAGAGATGACAAATCAACATATATAATATAGCTCTCTCTTTTCCACGTGTAGGGATACATAGGGACATTTGAACTACACCTTTCATTTTAGCTGGGATGTATTTAGAACATGCGCACCATGAAAAATTAATATTCCCTGAAAAAAACTTTCATGAAAGCGCTTGCGCCATTTTATTTGCATAAAAACGCACACCATTATTACCCCAGTAAGTTAATTACTTCTAAATCATAATATATCTTCAGACTCTAGGATAATCTACAAATGTCTTTTTATTTGCACTTTAAGCTTTATTCAACGTATACTACAAAGCAGTAATGTTCAAATAAAAATTTGGTTCTAAAATTAATACATAATTATCGCCATATTGTGACGTCATAAATCTAGGCTAAATTTTATTTCCACACTCTGTATTTTGTGATAATTTTTTTAAAATATATCGTCTTTAAGCAAGTTTACATTTTTTAAGGGTTTGGAAATGGTGCTGTTGAATGTTAACAAGAAGAAAAACCAAAATAATTTTTTAAAATTAAAATAATTTTAGTGAAACTGTAGGGACAAAATGGCAATAGCATTATTAAGTTGGCAACTTGTTAGTAACTTTCCACCATTATGTTGGCTTGGTATTAAAACGACAAGTTTTTGTATATTTTGGCATGTAAAAGTAGTTTTAAATCGTTTTGAATCAGTGTTTTTGCAAATAAAATTATAGAACACTAACAAATGATTAAAGTGGGATGTGTAGTGCATGTGAATTGCTTTGAAACGCCAAGTGTCCGATTTGAAGTTTAACCAAACACCAAAAAAGCCGGGATATTCAAGAACAAGAACAAAGTTTATAGGTTTTGTTTAGAACATTATTTGGTTTCAAAACATTACGTTCATAATATGTGTGTTAAACCCTTCAAGCGGAGTTGTACATGAAGGGAAAAACTATCATTAATGAAAATACCCAGTTAAAGAATGATTATTCATTTGTTGTAAATTTCCTTAGTACACCACTGGTATCATGGAGGTAGATAGTATAGACAGTACCATGGATAATTCTGCTTCCATTCCTAATAATGCAGTAGCAAATGAACCTGTTAATTTAAACGTGGGAGACACTGGGGAAAATAAAGATTTTGATTCTTACCCTGATATGGTTAGTAGTATGGACACAGAAGAATTAAAACATTCAGATGTTACACCTTCTAATGGAGAATCTGAATCATTAGATCGGATACCATCTGATTTAGCTCAAGCTATAGAACCAATGCAAAACTCTACTACCGAGACTCATTTGGAGTCAAACTTAAATATTATAGAAAATCAGAATAATGAAAATCTTGAACGAGATAATGAATTGATGGAAGCTGAAAGTATAGAACAGCCAACTCCACCAAGTAATAATTTAATGGAACCAGATATGACAAATCAACCATTAGATAGTACGCCAAATAATAATGAGGATGACAAAACTAAAAATAATTGTATTGATGTATCAATTAATGTATCAAAACCTGATACATCAAGTCAGCTTTTGGATGGAGCTAATTCAGAAAGTAAAGGACATAATTCTATACAAGAGCCATTAGTTGAAAACACTACAGAGGAAGGTATGGCTTGTACAAGTAATGCTATACTAGAACCATTAGCTGAAATCACTACAGGAGAAGATTTAGAGTGTACAGGAAATGCTCTAGAAGAACCATTAGTTAAAAACTCTACAGAGGATGGTATAGATGGTACAAGCAATGCTATAAAGACGCCATTAGCTGAAAACACTACAGAGGAAGGTATAGATTGTACAAGTAATGCTATACAAGAACCATTAGCTGAAAACAATACAAAGGAAGGTATAGATTGTATAAGTAATGCTATACAAGAGCCATTAGCTGAAAACATTACAGAGGAAGGTATAGATTGTACAAGTAATGCTACACAAGAGCCATTAGCTGAAAACATTACTGAGGAAGGTATAGATTGTACAAGTAATGCTAAGCCATTAGCTGAAGACACTACAAAGGAAGGTGTGGATTGTACAAATAATGTAAATGATGGCAATGGTGGCACTAAAGAGAATATAGAAGGAAATATACATCCTATTGATGCAGAGAATACTGAAAAACTACCTTCTACAGAATTAGTTAATGAAGAAGCAACGAGTGAGAAAATTTCTGATGCAGAAATTAATGAAAAAGAGGTGGATGTAAAAACTGCTGAACAGGAAATAGAAAAACCTTCAGAAGAGGAGAAAGTAAATGATAATGATGCAAACATTTCCAAGCCTGCTTGTAGCGATAAAGATGTATCTGTTGATCGGGTACCTCAAGCAGAGGAGGTTTTGGAGAATTGTGAAGATAAAAGTGTTTCTGCTGAAAGCTCGAAGCATACTGAACAGGCTACTAAACCCTCTGAACCTTCTGAAAAAGAAACACCAAAATCTAATGATACTAGTTCAAAACTTAATAACTCTCTAAATGAGGACCTAAGCGTCTGTGATCAAATAGAGTTTGCACAAGTTAATTTTGATTCTAACATACAAGAAACTGAAAAGGTGATTGAAAAAGGAATTAGTAAAGGTATATGGTAACTACTTTAAATAGTTCAGTTAATGTTTATTCTTTTTTTATACATGCAGGAAATGAACTTGATCCTATTGCTTCAACATCAGATGTGCTTGCTACTTTAGAAAGTAGTCAAGGAGCTGATGAAGAAATAACCATTATTCCAGATAGTGAGAGAGAAATTACAGAGGTAAAGTTACAAGTTGGTAAGTTTTATGTGCTTGTGTGTGTATTAATTTTCTATTAATTTTTAGGCTGAAAAACAAGCTGCATCATCGCTACCAACATTAAAAGATATTTCAGATAAAAGTAAGCAGCCAGATGCGACAGATGAAAATACGGAATTTACAGAAAGTGAATTAAAAATTTACAAATATGAAAAAGAAGATCTGAAAAATTGTTGTGAATGTCATTTGGTAAGTTTTTTCTTTATAATAATAAAAAAAATCAAATTAAAAATAAAATCTGTATTTCTAAATTGGTACCTACTTACATAGTTTTACAGCTTTTTTATAAAATACAATTGAAAGAAAAATAAAAAAAATAAAAGAATTTCTTAGAAAACATAAACCATTGGAATTTTGCAGTCACTGCAGTCTTATTCAGTTGTAGGACAATATAAATAATATAATTAAATACAGAGTGGTCCAAGTTGTATTTGTAAAAATTCGGCAGCATATTCTGCAGATGAAAATAAGTAAAAAAGTTTGTGTAAATTTAAAACGCTTCGTTTCAGAGATGCAGGGTGTAGAAGTTTTATTTGTATTTCAGTTTTTTCTAAATAATTTCTGAACTAACGCCGATATTTGGATGAAAATTGGTGTCTGGGTGTTTTTTGTATATGCTGCCGAAATTTTCCGAATACAGTAATGACCACCCTGTATATATACAGGGTGAGTCTTAAATAGTAAGTGCAAATATTTTTAGGGTTAGTATGTTTCGGCCCCAGAAACACGTCTATGAGGTTTTTTTCGCGAAAAAAAAATTGGAAATTTTGAATTTATTTGTTTTTGGATTTTTTTTTCATTTTTAGTTAAAAAACATAATTTTTATAATATGGCGACATAGGTAGTATATTAAATTTACAAGAAAGAAAACCCTGAAAAGATCCAGTGGTTTTCAAGTTAAGCGAATTTTTTTTTTTATATTCAAAGTAAAATATCTGTTATTTTGGACTTATTTGAAAAATGGTAAAGAGAAAGTTTGTTTCTTTTATCGAGGTCTATCAGCCCTGAAAATATTTGTACTTATTTAAGACTCACCCGGTATAATACATTATACAGGGTGATTTTATATGTATACACCGTTTTCATTTAAATAATCATTTAAATGAAAACGGTGTATTTTTTTACCTTTTACAATTTTTTGTTTTAAATAACATTATATTTATATTTCTGATTTTTAACTACTATTATATTTATACCATATATTAAATATAAATAAATGGAGCATAGGGCTTCAATAAATGCTCTCCAGCAGGTTCGGTCGTTTGCAATTGAATTGACATCTCCCCATGATCAGTTTACTGATTCAATCTTCTTTTTAATTCCTTTGCCATAGTGTATCTTGATAATCAGTTCTTCTAGTACCTTGTGGGTATCACTCAATAGTCAGCGTTGTTGTTGCTGCTTCACCATGTGTGACCATTCCACCTCCATTTTCTCAGTTTGATCCCATGATACACCTGCCTCTGGTTGGTTAAGCTCCATAAATCCTCATTCCTGGTTTTATTTGGTCAAAATATTCCTACAATTTTTCGCAGACAGCGGTTTATGAATACTTGGAGTTTGTTAGAGTGTCATTTTCTATTGAATAAAGTAGAAAAAATACCGAGGCTGAATACTCCAATCCTAATCATCATATAGGTACTAACATACCAAATCTCGTTTTTTATCGGGAAAAACAAAAAAACGAGGTTACTTTTAATAATAATAATAATAATTTTGAGAAACACCCTGTATAATAATAGATTAGACGCAAAAATGTCTACTATCACTGAACTACATTTCATTTGACACTACTACTGTCAAATGAAATGTCACACTAATCTCTAAAATAAAGAAAAAATAAAAAATCTTTCTCGAAATAAATAAATAAATAAAAAAAATAAAAATAATATTTTAATATCTGTAGTCTTTATTATCAGAACGAATCTTATGTTAATATACCAACCAATTTACCATACCTTTATTTACTGGTAATTTTCTTCAATTAAATATTTGAATATGTTGCAGGAAAAGACAGCAAAGTACCATTTCTCAAATCAAGAGCAACAAGTTACATATATTTGTGATGATAAATGCTTAAATGCTTTTAAAGGGCATATTAATAAAAAAGTTACCATGGTCACAGATGAGGGAGGAGGATTAAGAGTAAAAAATTTCATGGAGGGACCGCCTGAAGAACCACTCTCTTTAGCATTTGTAAGAAAATGCGCCTCGTGCAGTAGAATTACAGATGATATTGAGACAAATTTAACATGGGAAATTATGGATTTCTGCAACGAATTATGTCTCTCAAAATACCAGAAGATGATTGGTTCCAAATGTGCAAGTTGTGTAGGAGATGTAAAATCTACATCTCTCGGAAAGTATTGTGTGCGTTTTGGGAATGACATCCGCCAGTTTTGTACTAGTTCTTGTTTGGAGCAATATAAGAAGGGTCTTAAGGTCTGTTCTTATTGTCAACAAGACATGTCTAATGGACCAGATGGTTTTTTGGCTCCTGTAGGTGAAAAGGGCCAATTTAAAGATTTCTGTTCAAAGAGTTGCATGGAAAAGTATGATATCATGACAAATGACAGACCTCCTAATGTCCCATCTGGTACTATTTGTTCAGTGTGTAAAACAGAAAAAAATATTACCATTGAATTTGAACACGAGGGCTCTCCAAATTACTTTTGTGGTGAGCCATGTTTTGTTGCTTTTGCATTTGTAAATAAAACTAGCCCTGGTAAATGTGCTATGTGTCGTAGACATTTTAACAAATCAATTTTGGAGAAACATACTATGTATTACGATAATGTGCAGTACAGCTTTTGTTCCAATAGTTGTGAAAATATTTACATAATAGCACACAGGAAAATTGTACCATGTAGTTGGTGTAAAGTGAAGAAATATAATTTTGATATGATTAAAAAATATTCAAAGACAGCCCCAGTCATAAACATGTGTAGTATTAACTGTCTTAGTTTATACCAAGTGTCCCTGAATGCAGTTAGTGCAAAGCCCACTCAATGTCATTACTGTCAGAACTCAGCTCATCCAGCATATCACTTAACAATGTCAGATGCAACAATGAGAAATTTTTGCTCATATGCTTGTGTTATGAATTTCCAGAATCAGTACCCTAAGCAAATTACTCTTAATAATTTAACAGACCCTATTCCAGCTGGAGTACCTCAAAAGACGAAAAAGAATTCAGTGACTGTTGAAAATGGTAAATACACATTTTTTAATTAATGTTTACAGAGATAATATTACACTGTTCAATTTTTAGTAGTGTCCACAGTAAATGAAAGTATTCCTCAGCTTCCAGTAATATCAAGTGTTCACAGTTTAGCCAGCACTAATGGAACATCGACTCCACCTCTTCTACCTCCAGGATTAACACCTATTCCTTCCACTAGATTAACTCGATCAAAAACCACAACAGGTTGCACAATTCAACAACCAGCAGTCCAAACTGTACAAAATATTGAGTTGCCTGTCCAGGTACAAATTAAGCAGCATTACATAGTGAAAGAGAAGCCCAGTGTTGATCAAAGAAACGTAGCTATCATGTGTGCTCCTAGGAGAGTTGTTAGAGGTAAAAATCTTTTTTTGTTTGAAATTAAAAATTTATATGAAATTTTTGTATAGGAACACAGGCAACGCCAACGATGGTGGATGTTGGAATTCAAACAGAAAAAGAGGAAATCAAGAAAATTCTAATTCCAGTGCCTGTACCTATTTATGTACCATCGCCGTGTCATATGTTCGCAGCTCCTGTACCATTTCCAGTACCATTTCCACTGCCAATTCCTATCCCCATATTCATACCTACCACTAGAAATAGTGCAGCTGGTATAATGAAAGAAATAAAGGTATTGTTACTGACCTTCTCTTAACCCATTTCTCGTGAACATATATTTTTTATTTTACAGAAAATTCAAGTTAAAATACCCACTGATCCATATGAAGCTGAATTACTTATGATGGCTGAAATGGTAGCTGAGGAAAAGAAAGAAGAAAATACAGATTCAGAGAGTGATATTGATGATACAACAGCAGATGACGGAGGAAACTATAGCCCAGAACCAGTTGATGCTACAAATACTTTTGGCGATGATATGTTACAAATGGCACTCAAAATGGCTACAGGTAAAATTCACAGATATTTTATAATATTTTTTAACTTATTTTTATAAATTACTTGGCATTTTCAGAATTAGATGAGCCAGCTGTCGATCTTGAAGGAGCCCTAACTGCCAATACAATAACAGCTCCTCAGGGTGGTCATCCAGATGGTCACCCCACCGAAGAAAGCGTGGACGATCCCCAACCCATGCATCCCCACCATAATATGATGGAGAGATCCCCAATGAGGGGAAGAAAGAGGGGCATGCGCGGAACCCCACGAGGGGGACAGTCAAAAAGAGGCCGAAGGATGTCGCATCAGCAGGTTGACATGCCCATGATGCAGCCTGTTCAAGCGGCAGCACCTCCAGAGCCTCAAGAAAAACCAGACGCCAATATGTGTTTGAAGGTATAATTTTTAAAACTAACTTTACCAACATAGGCATATATTTTTTATTTTTAGTATACTTTTGGTGTGAACGCTTGGAAGCAGTGGGTGACGACCAAAAACGCAGAACTCGAAAAGTCTTCGCGCCTAGTCAAACTTTTCAAGACGGAAATACTTCAGCTAACATCGGACGAACTGAATTACTCCCTCTGCCTGTTTGTTAAAGAAGTGCGGAAACCGAACGGCCAGGAATATGCCCCTGACACAATATATTATCTGTGCCTGGGCATACAGCAGTATCTGTTCGAGAACGGCAGGATAGATAACATATTTTGCGACGTTTACTATGAAAAATTCACGGATTGTTTGGACGAAGTGGCTAAGAAATTCTCGGTTTTGTATAACGATTCTCAGTATATTGTTACAAGAGTTGAAGAGGAACATCTTTGGGAGAGCAAACAGTTGGGAGCTCATTCGCCGCATGTACTCTTGAGCACTCTTATGTTCTTCAATACAAAACATTTCAATTTAACGGTATAATTTGATTAAATATTTTTTATTACGACTAGTAAAATTATTTCCTTTTTAAGAGCGTGGACGAGCATATGCAGCTATCTTTCTCTCACATAATGAAACACTGGAAAAGAAACCCTAACCAGCCAGGTGCAAGCAAAGTTCCAGGTTCTAGGAACGTGTTATTAAGGTTCTATCCTCCTCAATCGGCCATCCGTAAGTTATTGCCCCGAAGATCGAGAAATGTTCTAATATTATCAATTTGTTTAAATTTTAGAGAATAATCAGAGGAAAAAGAAAGTATATGAGCAGCAAGAAAATGAGGAGAACCCTCTGAGATGCCCCGTCAAGCTGTACGAGTTTTATTTGTCAAAATGGTAAGATATATTATTTATTTAGATATTTAAATAGAACAAATATTGTTTTTTAGTCCTGAGAGCGTAAAAACAAGGAACGATGTTTTCTATCTTCAGCCCGAAAGATCTTGTGTACCGGACAGCCCTGTATGGTATTCCACCATGCCATTACCAAAAGAAGCGCTCGAGAAAATGTTACATCGAGTAAAGATGGTAAAAGAGATAAATGTTGCTCTACTTACTAGTTAAATACTTCTTATCTTAACGATTTCTTTTATTAATGTTAAGCCATCACCCCTGGTTTTGTATAAATGTACTAAAATAGTAGATATTTGTTAAGGAACTTTATCCTTTTTCTTGTATTTTAATTAAGATTAAATGTACTAGAATAAATTGATGATCGTATTTTTGTTTAGGATAGTATTTAAAAACTGTATATTTCCTTTGATTATTTATACAGGGTGTGTCAAAAAACGTGCCATCTCTCGTGGGGAGGTTCCTCACGTAAAAAAGATTTATTTTTCATAGAAACATATGTAGGTCTGATTAAGCTTTATTTCGTAGCTACAGGAAGTTAGTCTTAATTTCTTTTTCGATTTATTATAATTTTCTTCCAAGCTCTTAGCGATTCTAATGATATTTCGCAAAAAAAACATGTGCGCCACTGACTTTTTTCATTTGTTAGTAAAATTGTATTTAATGCCGATTAAAAGTTGTGTCTTGATATTTTGTGGATTTCTATCTACTGGATGAGATAAATGGAATTTTATTAATCACAATTAATAAAATTAACAAATTATTTATTTAATCTATTTTATTTTTAAGTTTTATCAAAATTTATAAAACTGATGTTCGGTGCTATCTACAGCATATTCATTCATGTTTACAGAAACATTTTTTCATATTTTTTGATGAGGAATCAATGAGTACTTATTTAACATTCTGGCAAGTTATAACATTAAAAAAAATTTAAGGTTGTTATTAGAATTTTATTAAGGCAAATTAATTAAATTGTATTTATCTCATCAAGGAGACTGAAATCGACAAAATATCAAAACAATTTTTAATCGGCAGGAAACGGAAAATCAGTGGCGCACATTTTGAGTTTTTTTTTAGAAAAATATTCCAGTGATAACCCATACGTACGTCCATAGTGAATATGTCACACATTTTCAGCATTAAAATGTGTTGCACTTAAAATAACTTTTACTCTCAAAATTTCATTCGCATCTCTAAAAGCATTTGGAAGAAAATAATCATAATAAATCGAAAAAAAATTAGACTTTTACCCCCTGCAGCTACGAAACAAGACAGAGTCGGATCTATAAAAGAAATTAATCTTATTTTTACGTGAGGAATTTCCCCACGAGAGATGGTATATGTTTTTTGAAACACCCTGTATTTGTGTACAATTTATGTATTTGCATTTTTTTAAACACAAGAAATTATTGTTATCGATTCCAATATTTAAAGATTTGGGCACAAAATTGCCATTTTCAAGATGTTCTTTCTTTCATGTTTTTATTTGAACTAGGTACAGAACAAAAATAGGGTCTAGGGTTACAAGGGAAACAACTTTTAGATACAAAATATTTAAAAATGTATTATTGGACACTTTCCAACATATTAAATACGTTATCTATTATAAAAAGAGCAATTACCACAATAAAAATAATGAAATAAACTTTGGAAAAAAATAACAAGTCATTAAAAAATGGTAACTACTAAATAAAATTATATATAAGTATAAAAATCTAAAAATAGTATTTTCAAAACTCATTGTAAAAAAAGATATATATACATATATGGTTAATTATTGTTTATGGGTTTTATGAGACAAATTAAATTTAACCAACAACCAGAGGAATTTTCAGGGGTAGTTTCAAAAAAAATGTACTGAAAAATGCATTTCAAGGAATGTAAAAGCATTCATTAAAATATGAGCACATTACCTTTGGTTGTTGACTGGGTGTACTTTTCAATGTTTGACTAGTAAATCATGTATAATCATAAACTTTAAAAAGCGTCATTTCAAGTGTTTAATATTCGTATTGCTTTCATTAATTGATACTAATTTGTTATTTAAGCAAAATACCGTGGTAAATTATATATAAGGTAATTTGTACGGCATAAGTTTCGAAATTGTTTTTATATAAAAATTGATATCTATAAATTTGATATATACATGTTTAATACACAGTGCGAAACATTTTCTTTGAAGTTATACCAGACGTACAAATAAATAGTGGTTAGAAATTCGGCTATAATCCCTCAAAATCTCTGCGAATCTTAAATATTTAATAAGTATTGCTTAAAGATATGGTTTCGGATTTTATTAATATATTATTTGCCAGTAAAGGGGGTTATTCAAACATTTTGTGAGGTTATTGCCTTGTTTTGGAATTTCGTACACCTTGGCGCTTTTATGATTTGAATATTGAATGATTTAGCATGAACAGTTTTAAATTGAAGTGTAAATCAATAAATATTAAAAGAGTTGTAAATAAATATTAAGCTCGAAAACGAAGAAATATAATGTGCCTAAATCACTTCAATTTAGAATATTCTCTTTGTTAAAAATATTGACTAACTTCCAACTGCCTCTATCCTTCGATATTTCTTTCTTTTATTTGAAACAGAATCTTTAAAAAGCACTGGATCAAGCCTTAAATTTGATCTAAGGAGAGGCATATAGCCAAAGACAGCGGCAAATGTATTTAAACAGGTTTGTCTTTGGATAAAATGGTCTGGGTCATTCCACGGTGACCAACTACCAGCGCTTGGTTGTTCTTTGTATTGTTTTCTTTGAGTCACTTTAAGAGGAGGACGACGCGTGACGTGGCTTACTAAAAAATTCATCAAAATATCCTCGCAGTTCCCACTTTGCTCTACAGTTTTATGTAGCAGCGGACTTAACCATTCCGTGTATAAATAGTTGTAATAATGATGATAAAAAGCAGCTCCGGTTAAGACAATGGAGTAATCGTTAGTCCACTTCGATGTATAACCCCATGTAGATTTTGAATCATCCCAATAGTGTGATCTACCAGGATAACCTACAATTCTATCAGGAAACTCCTTCCACACGATGAAGGCAAAATCAATTTCCTCAGTTGTCAATACTGTGTCTTCATCCAGCGATAGTACAGTATCCGTAGTAATTTCTTTGTGAGGATAGAACCTTTGAGAGATGCTTGATTTTGATTCCATCCCACTACCAGTTTCAATGATATGTAATGGAATATGTATTGGTAAGTTTGGCCATCTTGATTTATTTGGCGGCCTTTTTTCATTGGACCAAACGATAAGAATTTTGGAAACATATTTACTTTTTCCTAAATAATTAACCAGTTTAAATAATGTGGAAGTTGTAGATAATGGTATACCTAGAAAAAAATTCCAAAGTTAAAAAGTAAATGGTGATAATGATTCAATGTTTACCTAATTCACAGTAAATAACTGCAGTAAATTCATCTTTACCTGATTTTACATGAAAAGGAAAATCTTGCAAAGAATCTGAAAATGTAGGTAAAGTAACTAAAGCTCCTGGAAAGGAGTTCCATATCACGCCATCTCGTTTTTGTTTCTTAGGTAACTTGTCCCTTATAATTTCTAAGGTAGTATACACGATTTTTTCAATAGAAGAAAAATATCTGTCCCATAAGACTTGGGTTTGCTGGCGTAATTGTAAAATCTTGCTAAGCGATATTGAACGTATTATATGAGGCACCTAGATACAGAATAGTATGTAATTATTTTCAAAAACAAATCAAGAGCAGTACAACCTGTAATAGTAACCGTTCATCTGCCCAAACAACAGCTTTATTCCAGTCTATAACTTCAGAAAATGGTAACACCCATCCATTGGATAGCAAAACAGGAATGCAGCCTGCTTGTAGAGCTTCTAAAAACCTAAAAGATCCTAATCTTCTACCTCTAGGAACCAAGCAAAAAGTTGAATTTTTTAGCAAAGTTTCATATTCATATCTAGGAAGAAGTAAGAAATACTTAAATTTTAATTAAATATATTTACGTTATGTTACCTATCATATTCTTTGTTATCTTCATCACATCTCTCATCTTTTCTATCTTTCCAACTTTTACCATGGCGGCATGTGGTCACCATAATCATATCTTTGTGATTATGCAAATGATATAAGGAATTTCTTGTGTCGGATCCTATACCATAAACGTATCTTTTACCTTTAAAAGCTAATAAATACGTTTTTTCTAGTGGATAACTGTTTGCTGATAGGGATCCAGGATCTCCACCTTTAATACAAATATATTAATAATAGTTATTTGGTTTAGATTATGTTACCTTTCTCTGGATGAATCTTATGGAACAAAGGAATACTGATATCAAATCCTGGTCTCATATGATCTTCAGACATGCTAGCCTTTGCTAGAATAGCTTTTCCATAATCAAAATCTAAATTATTTTCTGTATAATTTGGCCATGTCCCCGAGTATAAGTTAAAAATTATATGATTTGTTCCATCATTCCAATAGGGAAGTCTTTGAATCTTAGTCTGCATATTTCTGATATAATCATTGCTTAACCGATCTCGGTCCAGTGTGTCGATGCTTAAGACAAAGAGGCATGCTTTCTTGGGGTCTTGTGTATAATATCTCGATTCCAATAACACGTTAAGTAGTTTCTGATAGGACGGACTGGGCACATTACTTTCTTCTAAAGGATACACATAAACTTTAAAGTCTGTTTCACATTTACTGAAGTCAAAGCAGGTTTCCATTCGACAATGAATTTTAGCATCATTTTGTATTGCACGTCTATCTCTCCCTATTGTATAGCCAGTTTCTACACTATCTAAATTGACATAGCTTGGTAGCTGTTCAATGTTGAAAGGGGCAATAGGTTTATGCCTTAGCTCATATCCCCCAAAGTACCAAATTGTTAGGAAAGCTACGAAAAATACTAGAAGGTATCTCCTTTTAGCTTGCATTACTGATATCATGTACGCTATGAGAGTTTGCTGAAGTTCATCCTCTTAGGTTGGGAGGTTTCAAATCCATTATATCAAAATCACTGTTTATAACACTCATAGTAAATTTATTCTTAAACCTGGGTATTTCTAGCTACCCATATAAAGTTGTAATGTTCTACAAATATATAAAAATGATTTTTATATTTGTATTGTCAGATTAAAGAGAAAAAAACACCCGTCGTCAACTAAACATGACAGATTTCAGAGGGTCTTTGACATTTTTCCCTTGTAAACATCAAAATAGGGTTAGAATTTGTGGGTGGAGATTTTTTCCGGCGACCACAGAACGTGGACACAGTAATCTTTGACATGGATATGGAGTATTTTCATATACTACACTCAAAACAACTTCCATTGAAAATGTCGGTTTTCATAAAAATTCACAATTTGAAATTAATCTCACATTACTGCGGTATCTTCAAATTTTATTATTATACCTAATAAATTTTATGTTGACTTTCCATTACTCTTTTCTTTCTCTATTATTCATTTCACTTTAATAAGCGTTTAATTTTAATAACGAATTAAGTTTGAGGAAAGCAATGATAATGCCTTGACAGTTTTAAAGGAGTTAATTAATAAATAACAATAATCATAAATACATTCTACATCATTTATTAGAATATAATAGTATATAGGGGTATTATTTTGACCTACTTTTTAGTAATTTGGCCTACTGGTTAAATTTAAAATAACATTATTGTTAACAAAGAGGGCTGTGATTTGTGCTATATGAAAATACTTCCTTCTTATTGGTCAACCCACAAATGTCATGATGACTTCCGGAAATTGGCGTCACTCATGTTGATTTTGAATGCCGTAGATCCGCATCTCTTCTTCGCCGGTACTTAAAATGTGATTTTTCTAATAAAAAGTGAGTTTTGTGTACACTACTTCTTCGTAAATTATTGCTTGTGCGTCACTCAGCGTCTCCAAAAAGTGAGTACTTGAAATTTTTTCTATATTTCATCATATCTCGATTAACATTTTTTACAATCTGGTGACCGTCATGGCGTTTTTGCTTTTTTTCTAAATAATATTTTTAATTCTTTGTTTTCGATTTGTTTTAAGATCATAAATATTAATATATACTAACAGAATTTTAAATATTGTCCGTTTTGTGAAAATTTTAATCCTGTTTAAAATTCTATAAGTTTTTTTTATTCGTTCTATTATGTAATGGGTAAAAAATATTTCTTATATCTCCATTTTAAATTTTTTTGGGACCATTCGGTTTTCGTGGCAAGTAATATTTTTAATTCTTGGTTTTCGATTTGTTTCCAGGTATTTTATTTACTAGCAAAGCTATAAATATTGTACATTTTACGGAAACGTTAATGCTGTTTAAAATTCTGTAAGTTTTTATTTTATTTTTTATTCTCGAATTGTGTTATGGAGTTTTATTAATTAATATGTGGCGATAGGTAGTTTTTTTATATGAAATATGTTATTTATTTTTGTTAATAACTTTTACTAAATACTGTTTTTTACTTAGTATGTTCTTCAGTGATATCATGTTCGATTTAAATACCGTATGATCGAATAAATACGGCGTCAGCGATGGCTATGAAATGAAGATCGCTGTCATTTCATATGTAAATTTATATGGGAAATGTCATCGATCGTTATTTCCAAGCCAACTGGACGCCGCTTTTATTCGATCATACGGTACTTTTTATCTAAGTTTTTTTTGTACAATATAAATAAAATAATGCCTTAAAAATAAATTATAAAATTAACATTTTTTCTGGAAATTGTAACTGTGATATGAGTACAGTGATACATATGTACCTTTTGTCAATTTTATTTCATTTATTAATAATATACCCAGCTGGAGACTCACTTAGCTTCAACTTGTCTTGGGTGATATCCATTCTTTTATTTTTCCTTCTGTATCGATTTCCCTTTGATATTTCATTTTCTTTCGGTCTTTTTCTCTTTTTATTTTCACAATGGGTCTATATAGTGTGCTTATTTTTCTTTCTAGGAGCAACTCGATAACAGTTAATGAAATTTACTTAAGTAAATTTTGCCAGTGGTGTCCTGACCTAAGGTCCCGACTAATTGGATCAAAGAGTGACGCTCCAGAGCGCGACGCTACCTTCTTCCGTGGAGGAAACCTGCATCGTCTCCTGTTTTGCCTTACGATGACCTATGTAGCATGCGTAGGTACCCAAGGGAGTCACAAGCCTCTTGTTTACAAGCTAGCAGGTGTTCTAATGGTAGAGGCACGGTAGAGGCTTCAGCCGGATACGACCTGACCAAACTACGAAACTTTTTCGTGCACGTATTGCGGGGCACCTCGAGGGCGTAGGGGACAAGATACAGACACATTTGAAGATGAGGTGAGGCCTGTAGGAGGTCCCGGTGGAGGTCGCTCGATAGGAAAGGGGATGATCTCAGACGAGACTGTTTAATTGGGATCCAGAGTAAATGGTGAGGCATAATCAAGAGGGCTACCACACCTCGGACGCGACTTGAAGAATATTTTTTTAGAAATTCTGGATAGAGAGAGGCTATATAACATACCCCAGCTCAACCTAAATCAACTAAAGTAAGTGTATTTTATTTTTCTCTGTTAAGATTTCCGTGAACTAATTTTTTTTGTACTTTTCTAGGGTAATTCGAGTTTGTGGCACGTTTAAATCAAAGAAGATTCCAAATGAAATATTGCAAGGCGCAAGTGATTGGTCCTAAAGCTTCTTTGAATTCTCCCAGGCACCGTCGAATATCTGGTGCCGTATTAAGTACCAACTCTAGAGGATCGTCCGGTGTCCAGGGAGTTGGCGCCATGCCCAAGTGGCGGCCTTTTTGTTGTTTAATTACAATGGGACTCAAGAAATATCGGTGAAAGGATATGGATATGGTGGTAAGTTCATGATACATTTTATACTTATGTTGGGGTTATTCGAAAATTCTAATACATTTCTTTGTCTACAGATAAAGCAGCTGAGCCCTTAAAGAAATTAAAATTATGATTCGCGTCCCGCCGTGGTTTCAAAGCGGTATTTAGGTACTTTCACAGCATTGTAAGACCATATTTTTATTTTGTTTTTTAATAGGTACTCATAATTCTTCATATTTTATTGAATGATTCAGAACCAATTTACAAAAAAAAATCAATTTACAAGCCTTTGCATTATCATTATTTTAATACTAAAGATAATATGAAAACTTAATAATTAAAACTAACTATAGTATCTGACGAAATTATATAGTAACTCAGTTAAAATGCTTTACAAAATTATTTCATGGACCTAAAATGTATTTTACCTACTTTTTTATTTTCCTAAATGTTTGTTATAATTTCCTTTTTTTAACTTAATAAATTATCTTGAATGTTATAAAAAGTAGGTAAAGTAATTTTTTGGGCAATTTATAGTAATATAGATATTTTATGACTAAAAAATATTGGTCTCTACAGTGTTCCATGCGTGATGTACCCCAATCATAGATTTTTTTGCTTATTTATATGGCGTTAATTACTATTAAATATATTTAACCCTACGACTTTTAACTAAATTTTATTTTGTTAAATTTAAAAATTTAATTAATGTTGCTACTGTCGTATGAATAACAACTCAATTTAACCGATTTTTTGCCACAAGAAACAATGTTAATTTTTGAACATAACTCTTTGATTGGTACTGCTTTGGAACCAAGATTGTTGGGGATAGCAGCTGGACTAGGGCCATCTTCATCAGGTAAGTTTGTATAATCTTTTCATTTTTTTTACTTGGGCTATAATAGTTTTTTTCTCTTTTAGGTAGGTAAATATAGGGCGCTTGTAGTTGTCTTCTTTTATATTATTGTAAAGACGCCTATAATTTTCAAAAAATATAATATACTTGTAAATAAAACGATAGAGCAGGAAAATGGTAGGAATAGAAGAGGACTTGGAAGATGGGAAGAACGGAAGGAATAGAGTTGAATGAAAATGTGTTTAAAACAGTGGAGGGAGATAATAAGGTTGCTTTTTAAACAATTTACTTACTTTTTACAGTTACTTACTTTTTTTTATTTTTCAGTTGAATTGCTGGTGAATATTGTCAAGTCTGACGGGGAGGGGAGGTGAAGAATTTTTGAGAGGACATGCAGACATTTTACGAGGGGCCAATGCAGGGCTCATTATGAGAAAGCACTTATCTTCAGCTGAATATTCCTCCTATAAATGTAAGTTTAATAGATATCTATTTGCTTAATACCGATTACAGTTTACAGTAGCTATTATTATTTTGGTTAAGAAAATTTTATTTAGTAAAGCTTAATAGATTCATAATGAAAACCTTAATAGATTGTGTGTTTTTTTTCTTTCAGGGAATATATTGTGTTCTAAACACTCTTGGATGGCCCCTCTGCTTTAGATTATGCTGTCTTACGTCTTAGTAAAATATACTAGATTGTCCAACCTATGAAGTAATCCAGAAACTGGAATTTGCTGGTAAGAAATAAGTAAGTCTAAATTTAATCTACTAAAAATTTCTGTTGATTAGATTGAGATAATTTGAATATTAGTTTATTATGTTTAATGCTATCTACTGTTAACAATTTATCTTCTTAATGTTTAGATAAACAGTTCTTTTATGTATTATAGAAATACTTGTTACTTATAGTTTTTTTACTTGTAGGTATTTATTTTGCTGCTTTTGGCTGTTGCTTCCCTCCTGCTTCTCCTCATCTTCAACCGGATTCAGCAAAAATTCCTCCTGCTACTCCACCATATACCAAAAGGTTGCTTCTGTATTGTTTGCATAGGCGTCTATTTTTATTCTGGTACTGTTTAAAACTTTGATAATCTGGACAAACTTTAAATTTTAAAAATGTCATTGTACTGCAGTAAAAATTATATAGTAGCTGATAATTTCTCCATCATTTCTAAAATCATGTTTTGAATTTCATTTAAAATATTGGTAATGTAAACAATTGATCAGTTTAATTACTGTTGTTAATAATTATTTGCCAATCATATTTTTAGTTATACTACATATTATTATTATTACTCTTTAGTTCACTTACATATTTTGACACAAGTAACAATTCTAATATACTTTGACTATGCTGTCATAATTATTTATATATCTGTATTTTATTTACTAACTTTTGTAGTGTATTATATGGGAACACGACTTAATTTTTTTTAATTTCTTATTGGTTCTAATTAACAGCCCCTAGAATTTCCAGATTATCACAGTTCTTTATATTTTACTTCCGCAAAAGCGTCACCATATTGTGGCAATATGAAAACATTATTTTTTTAAGGGCATCAAAACTTTGTTTTTAATGTTCTTGCAGTTTACATACAGTTCGTTGCTTTCAACTGTTTATATGGTAAATCTGAGTGTAACATTTTTCTAATATTAATTTATATAAATTTTTCATACATAGAAAGTATCATATAATATACATATAAACTGTACTGTAGCATAACAGTTTATTACCATTATTAGGTTTTTAAAATTCTTTCATAAATTGGTTAGACATATTGCATGTAGCAGATTTTTTTATTCTTTGTCTTCCTTGGGACTTGGGATAAAATTCATAATTAAATTTCAAAAAAGGTTAATTTTATTTTGTAATGAAGAGTGTTTTTTCATTACAAAATAAAATTAACCTTTTTTAACCAAACATTATTTTCATTTTTTATTACAACAACTAAATTAAAGTTTACTCAGATGTGTTTAGTCAGTTTCAAAGTAATGTTCTGTTTAGTAAATTTTATTTTGTGGGATTTGCATTCATAGAGCTACTTTTAAAAATTAAAATAAGCACTCTAGAGGTTTTTAATTGTTAACATAAGCAGGTTCGTTTTTAAACTTAATAATTAATTAATGAAGGTGAATTAAATTTTTAAGTATATATTTCTAGTAATAGATTTTAAATAGTATTATTAATAAATACTATTCAAAATTTATTATTACGTATTTTTTAGAAAGGTATATTTAATAATTTAAGTTACATTAGTTAATTATTATGTTAATAAAATATAGAGTTTATTAGTTATAACATCGATGGGATTTGTTTCTCCTTCGGTTTTTCTAGTGGGTATGCAACCAAACATACATCAATGGTATAATTATGTATGTCGATTTATTCAGTTTATTTTTAAGATTATTTTTTGTTAAAAATGAGTAAATTCAATTTGAGTACATATTTCAGTTAAGTATCCATGCTAATATACTTTATAACTACAAAAACACACTATTTTTATTCTTGTATTATTGCAACTTTAAATTTTCAAATTTCATGTCTGTAATAATTTTTTAGCAATTAATTTTGTTAGCTCAGTACAGTTATACAGTTTACAGCTGATAATAATACAAAAATAGAATTAATTTTTTAATATATGTACATAAATGACACACTTTAGCCGAATATATTTTATTTCTGTAAAACTATATTACGAGCAATATGAATACATTTAAATTTGTCTCAGTACGCATTTTTAATGTCTTTTTAGTATACAGTGCATTGCTTTTAAAGATACATACATATTTCTTGATAAACCTCTTATCTAAGTTTTTTTTTTAATTATTAATTATTAGCCTTCTTTATTGATCTCATTTTTTAAAGCCAAACAGTATAAAGAATAAGGTGGTATTTGTTGATGATTGGTAATATTTTAGATTTTTAAATTTTTATCATAAATTTTAAGATATTTGAGTCTGTTTTTTATGTTTTTATACTTTGCCCCCTTTTGTATTCTAAAAATTTTAGTTGCTAATTTTAGAATTTTTAATATTTTATTGTTACATTAAATTAAATATAATAATATGAACAAAAATATATTGAGTAAAATTTTTAGCGTTAGTGTCAAAGCAATAATTGTTATACCTATAAAATTTTGATGTACTTGTATTCATAGAGCTCGGAATTCATAGAAAAATAGTATTTTGAAACAAATTATATAATTATGTATAATATGAAACCGACAAAATGTTAAATAGGAGCGATCTGAAATCTGTTTCACTAGTGCCCTCTATTTACGCGAGGCAAGATAAAAAATTTAATCTACTAACAATTTAATTTAAAAAGCATAATGAAATTATAACCCAGTTTTAGGTATACATATATTATATTAATAACGCATTTTACAATATTTACGTTCTTCGCATTTGTTTTTTTTTACTTCATGCAATTTAATTTACTTCTGTTTCTTACGATAAAAATATTAAATTCTGAGTATACAATCTTATACAATTGAGTCCATCAGCACATTTTAATTTTTAATATATTTTTTAAATATGGATCCAATAAGCAAATAGGGAAATATACGTTGATCGTTGATGAGAGATCGCTACTATTCTATATATTTTTATTATTTATGTTTTACTTACTGTGTAAGTAAAACAGTCTTATTGTTTTTGTGTCATGTTTATATTAGGATATATTTGATATTAATAAAATGTCAATATTTTGGTTTCTTTGAAAAATCTCATACATTGCAATTAGGCAGGGAGTGTTCTAGTTGAAATCATTGGTGTGGTGATAGGTGATAGTGCTCCAAAGCTCACCCTGTAAACTGATTAGTTTATTTGGTACTTACACAATTTTAAATAAAAAATCCGCCAATTTTTGTTGCTATTTTTTTACTTTTTTAATTTTATACAACTTTGCTTCAAACACATTTATTTATTTGATCTAAATTAAACTAAAAAATAAAAAAAAACCCGTTTAATATAATTAATATAAAATATTAAATAATAACAAATATATACATAGTATGACTTAACTAAAAAAAGAATAAATATTAATTATTTTAATTAATTTACAATTCTCTTATAATGTAGTTCGTACTGTTATTTTTTTTCTTTTTTTTTCTTCTAATTTATTTTTTAATTATATTTTTATTTTCACTTACTACTTAAAGTTTTATTTTTTCTAATTTTTATACCAGTTTAGGCAACTTCTTATTAATTTATTTTTGGTCATTCAGTAATAAAGGGTAATATGTATACTTACATATAGTACCTGTAGTGGCTCAAAATCTTCCAAAGATATTTCTAAAGTTTAAATATCTTTGAAATCTTGTAACTTTTAATTCAAAGTTCTGATTTTCTTTTCTACCTTAAGAAATGCATTTAACATAATTTGTAAATATCATTTTCAGTCAACTTGAAATAATAAAACTAAAGCAGTTAATAGGTGCATTTATTCAAGATTTTTTTTTATTATAGATTGTTTTCTTAGTAAACATTTTCAGATTACAGGGTTAAAACTAATAATAAATTAACTAAGGCTATGACAGCAAAGTCCTATTTTTTTTTTAATTCTAGTTTTTAATATGACTTAACTAATCCGTCATTATTAGTATTAGATTTTGATTGTTCGATTTTGAGGGTGCTAATATAAACTTGTGACATACCTATAACGAACCACCTATATTTTTATGCGAAAATGTATGAGGTCTTTTATTTGTAGGATATTAAAAGATTGTGCTGGGGTATAAATCGGCGATGTAGAAAAGGTAATATTAGATTAGTGGCTGTCGTATAATATTTTTTCTCAACTTTCCTCCACGTCTATGGTTCACTGATTCATTACACCTTAAATGATTAAAATTCTCCGAATATAGCAAGGGCGTAGCATAGAACTTTTTCAACTGAAGATGAAACAAAAATACATAATACAGTAATGCCTGATTATACGCTTAGTTAAACTTTTTATTTTTTTTTGTAAATATTGAACACTATTGAATTTTTGAAATTATAGAGATCTTTTAATACTAGCAGAAACTTAAAAGCTAATATCAGATAAACTTAAACAATATAGCAATAATATCTTTTGTGGTAACAATGCAATACTATTATTAACGACTTGTTTTCAACAAAAAAAGGACATAAATTATTATTTTTAAAAATATTTTCGTAAGTTTTTCAGCTAACAATTTTTATCCTAATTCTTATTTTTTTAAATTCTTGTATCTTTAATTTTCTTTTATTATGAGCAATTCTGCGTATTTTACATAGCGTTGTTTTGAAAATATATTTTGTACTTACAGTTTTATTTTCGTACATATTTTCTCTTTCGTTTTAAAAAGCGCTCATACACATATGCGGCAGCCCTATAGACAAACTCGATTTGGATGCGAGACGAAACTTCTAGAGCGTATAATATTTTTTGGCAATTGTTACGAAAATTCTGCCGCCATTTATTATGAGAATAATTTTACTATTCTCTTATAGAGCACGCTTAATCATATAATTTTTTGGCCGTGTATAGGGTTTTTCATGAGGAGTAGGAGTATAGTACCTGAAGTTCTATAAATTCTAAGACAGCTACTTACCCTTTTTACGCCATTATAAGCCGATTTCGGTCCACTAATATCTTTTCTTTTGCAGTTGGCCTTGCCTACAACAAATTTTCAAATTCTGTAATTCTGAAAATTTGTAGTAGGAGACAATGTACAAAAAGGAATATAATAACTTAATACTTTAATAACTTAAAACTTACGCACCCTTAGGTGCAAAACCTCTGGCTCTAGCGACACAGAGAATAGCACAAAGAATACAAGCAGAGAATTCCATGCACAAGCTAGCTGCCATACATGTACGTTGGATCGTTACTGCTGCACAATCTTTTTAGTATTCCACAGAATTTTTCGCAGTTGGCTTTGTCCGTTACAATTGTAGCGGACAAGGAAAACTTCTTCTGTCTGCACCGAGCTAGAGACCAAGGCGACGTTGGAGAACTTCCATATGCCGCCTTATTTTTTTTCTCGGTCCAGTCATGGAAGTTTTGTGTTGGAGTGTGGCACACCCACACTCCTCCATGTGTGCGTTTAGTACACTTGTCTGTAAGTGGACTAAACGCATATACGTACGGTAGTATGGGTGTGTATACCACACTGTAGTGTGTGTTATGTCTCAACACACACATTACTGTATGTATACGTGATCACACACTAACACAACACTTCGTTGTCCCAGTGTTTAAAATTGTCACTGACGGACACCAAAAACCTTTAGTTATAAGTTTAGAGCCGGACGCTCTTTTTGTTAACTTAAGAACGATAAATAAATATTTTTTGGAAATATTTGGTTGTTTTATTTTTTTTATTACTTTTTGAGCGACATTGGCGCCCTCTAGCGGCAAAAGAACGAAACTAAATTTTTAGTTCAGAGTTTTGCCGCTAGGGGAGCCACGGTCGCTTAAAATTTCATGCGACTTGGGCGCCCTCTGGTGGCAAAATGTTGAAACTAAATTTTTAGTTCAGAGTTTTGCAACAAGAGGGCGCTGCATTAACTACTTTAGTTCAGCCTTTTGCCACCAGAGGGCTCGATGCATGCGCCCTCTTGCGGCAAAACGCTGAACTAAAATTTTAGTTTCAACGTTTTGCCGCAAGAGGGCGCCAAAGTCGCATAAAATTTTAAGCGACTGTGGCGCCCTCTGGTGGCAAAACGCCGAACTAAAATTTTAGTTTCAACGTTTTGCCACAAGAGGACGCTGCATTCACTACTTTAGTTCAGCCTTTTGCCACCAGAGGGCTCGATGCATGCGCTCTCTTGCGGCCAAACGGTGAACTAAAATTTTAGTTTCAACGTTTTGCCACCAGAGGGCGCCAAAGTCGCATACAATTTTAAGCGACTGTGGCGCCCTCTGGTGGCAAAACGCTGAACTAAAATTTTAGTTTCAACGTTTTGCCACAAGAGGGCGCTGCATTCACTACTTTAGTTCAGTCTTTTGCCACCAGAGGCCTCGATGCATGCGCCATCTTGCGGCAAAACGGTGAACTAAAATTTTAGTTTCAACGTTTTGCCACCAGAGGGCGCCAAAGTCGCATACAATTTTAAGCGACTGTGGCGCCCTCTGGTGGCAAAACGATGAACTAAAATTTTAGTTTCAGCGTTTTGCCACAAGAGGGCGCTGCAATCACTACTTTAGTTCAGTCTTTTGCCACCAGAGGGCTCGATGCATGCGCCCTCTTGCGGCAAAACGCTGAACTAAATTTTAGTTTCAACGTTTTGCCACCAGAGGGCGCCAAAGTCGCATAAATTTTTGAGCGACAGTGGCGCCCCTAGCGGTAATACTCTGAACTAAAAATTTAGTTTCAACATTTTGCCACCAGTGGGCGCCACTTTCGCATAATTTCTTTTTTAACTTTTAAAAAATGAAAACCAGGATTCTCTTAAACCAGATTTATTAAATATTAAAAAAATCAACAGAGGTTACATTGTATAATATATTATAAATTTACTAGTGTTTACTGTGTGTTATGTATGTTTTATGACATATCACATGCACAGAGTTGTAGGTACTATTAATTATAGTACCTACCTAATGGTGCGTGCTGTATGTTCATAAAATACACACGCACGGGTGTGCTAATACATACAAGCGACATACAATGTACTTAGAAACTACATAGTGTGCCGCGTGTATTTTCATTAATATATGCGTACACTGATAGGTACTGTATATTATATAGTACCTACTGTGGTGTATGTATATATTATACAAACGCAGTAGAAAACCTACTTGATTTCATAGTATTATGAAATCAACTAGGCTCTGATGGTTACAAGAAACAGTTCTAAGGTCTGTTCCCAGAAGAATTCCTGACTAGTCAAGCACGTTTCTCATTGGTTAAAATGCATAGAAACCTAATTGTTAGTCTGGTTTCTACACATTTCAACCAATAAGAAAAGCGCTGACTAGTCAGGGATTCTTCTGGGAACAGAGCCCTAAGCAGACCTGCCATGGCTGTGAGAAAAGCAAGGCGGCATATGGAAGTTCTTCAATATACCGCCTTGGTCCCTGGCTCGGTACAGTCAGAAGAAGTTTTTCCTATTTCCTAAAAAAAATACAATTATTGTAACGGACAAGGCCAACTGAGAAAAATTCTGTGGAATACTAAAAGGGAATTGTGCAGCAATACGACCCTAGCAGTAACGATCCAAAGTATATGGCAGTTAGCTTGTGAATGGAATTCTCCGATGCCGCCCTATTCTTTGGGTCACTTTATTATCTTATTTATATCTCTCTCTAGAGCCAGAGGTTTTGCACCGGTGTGGCCACCTAAAGAAGTGTAAGTTTTAAGCTATTAAAACTTATATTCCTTTTTGTATATTATTGTCTCCTACTACAAATTTTCATTACAGAATTTGAAAATTTGTTGTAGGCAAGGCCAACTGAGAAAGAAAAGATATTAGTAGGTAGGCTGAATCGGCTTATAATGGCGTAAAAAGGTAAGTAGCTGTTGTAGAATTTATAGAACTCTTCAGATAAGTAGTAATTTTCAGTTTTAATATAGAATACCGTGTGACTGAAGAAAAATTACATTACAGTACACGTAATAATTATATATTAGAATAATACACCGGAGCGCACAATCCTTTAACATCCCACAAGAAAAAAAAGACCTCATACATTTTTGCATAAAAATATAGGTGGTTCATTATAGGTATATTAGCACCCTCAAAATCGAACAATCAAACTCTAGTATTAGACGTATAATGTCGTATATTATATGATTATATTATATTAATTATATGAAACGGAATTATAATAAAATGATTTTATATTTTAGATCAAATAAATTGTAAAAAATTAAAAAAGTACCTATATAAAATTTAGCAACAAAAAGTGGTAGAATTTTTATATAAAATGTAAGAGTGTAAGTGCCAAATAAATTAATCAGTTTACAGGGTGAGCTTTGGAGCCCTATCACCACACCAATGATTTCACCTAGAACACTCCCTGCATAATTGCAATGTATGAGATCTTTCAAAGAAACAAAAATACTGACATTTTATTAATATCAAATATATCCTAATATAAAATATGATACAGAAACAATAGACTGGTTTACCTACACAGTAAGTAAAACATAAATAATAAAAATATATTGAATAGTAGCGATCTTTGAACCTATATTCTCTTATTGGACCCATATATAAGAAATATATCAAAATGTGCTGATGGACTCAATTGTATAAGATTGTATACTCAGAACTTAATATTTTTATCGTAAAAAACAGGAGTAAATTAAATTGCATGAAGTAAAAAAAAAGGAAAATCAAATGTGAAGAACGTAAATATTGAGAAATGCGTTATTAAATATAATATATACATAAAACGGAGTTATAATATCATTATGGTTTTTAAATCAAATTGTTAGTAGATTAAAATATATATTTTACCTCGTGTAAATAGAAAGCACAGATCTTCAGATCGCTCCTATTTAACATAAATCTATAATATATTATACCAATGCATTTGTCGGTTTCATTTATATAATTTGCTTCAAAATACTATTTCTCTATAAATTCCAAGCTCTATGAATACAAGTACAACAAAATTTTATAGTTATAACAGTTCATTGCTTTGACACTAACACTAAAAATTTTACTCAATATGTTTTTGTTTATATTAATATCTCTAATTTAAAAAAGACGTAACAATCAAATATAAAAAATTCTAAAATTAGCAATATAAAAGTCTCAAACATCTCAAAATATATGATAAAAATTTAAAAATCTAAAATATTACCAATCATCAATAAATACCACCTTATTCTTTATACTGTTTTGCTTTAAAAAATGAGATTAATAAAATAGGTTAATAATGAATAATTAAAAAAACTTAAATAAGGGTTTTACCAAGAAATATGTATGTATCATTAAAAGCAATGCAGTGTATACCGAAAAGACATTAAAAATGCGTACTGAGACAAATTTAAATGTATTCATATTGCTCATAATATAGTTTTACAGAAATAAAATATATTCGGCTAAAGTGTGTCATTTATGTACGTATATTAAAAAATTAATTCTATTTGTGTATTACTGCATTATCAGCTGTAAACTGTATAACTGTACTGAGGTAAAAAAATAAACGGCTAAAACAATTAATACAAATAGACATGAAAATTGAAAATTTAAAGTTGCAATAATACAACAATAAAAGTAGTGTTTTTGTAGTAATAAAGTATATTAGCATATATATTACTTAACTGAAATATGTACTCTAATTGAATTTAATCATTTTTAATAAAATAAAATAATAATAATTAAAAAAAAAGTTAATCGGCATACAGGATACCATTAATGTATGTTTGGTTGCATACCCATTAGAAAAACTCTATCGGCGTTATAACTAATACACTCTATATTTTATTAACATAATAATTAACTAATGTAACTTAAATTATTAAGCAAAACCCCTTTCTAAAAAATACGTAATAATAAATTTTAAGTAGTATTTTTTAATAATACTATTTAAAATTTATTACTAGAAATATATACTTAAAAAATTTAAATTACCATTATTAGTTAATTATATGTTATGAAAGTTAACGAACCTGCTTATGATAAACAATTAAAAACCTCTAGAGTGCTTATTTTAATTCTTAAAAGTAGCTCTATTAATGCAAATCTCACAAAATATAATTTACTAAACAGAACATTACTTTGAAACTGACTAAACAAATCTGAGTAAACGTATTAGATAATAGTTTAGTTAGTTAATTTAGTTGCTGTAATAAAAAATGAGAATATTTTTAATGAAAAAAACACACTTCATTACAAAATAAAAATAGTTTTTTTTGGGTTGGGTTGTCCAGGAGTCCCAAGGAAGACAGAAATTCGCTAAAAAATCTGCAATATGTCTAATTAATTTATGGAACAATTTTAAAAACTTAAAAAAATAATAATGATAATAAAATCTTATGCCATAGTATAGTTTATATGTATATTAAATATTTCTATGAATGAAAAAGTTAAATTAGAATTACTACTATATAAATTAATATTAAAAAAATGTTAAACTCAGATTTACCATATGAACAGTTGACAGCAATGGACTGTAAATTACAAGAGCATTAAAAACAAAATGTTGATGTCTTTAAAAAAATAATGTATTCATATAGCCACAGTGACGCTTTTGCGCAAGTAAAATATAACAAAGAACTGTGATAATCTGGAAATTCTAGTGGCTGTTAATTAGAAACAATAAGAATTAAAAAAATATGAAAGGTGTCATAAGCACTACAAAAATTAGTAAATAGATATACAAATAATTATGACAGCGTAGTCAGTGTAGAATTGTTACTTGCGTCAAAACATGTAAGTGAATAAAGTTGAAAAAGAGAAAAAACTTTGTTTTGTTTCTTACTGTTAAGAAGAATATTGGTAGTCTATCAATTTTGAGATTTGTGATGAAGTCAAGACAATATACTGCTGCTGTTCCATCAACATATGGGAGGTTAGCCAAGGGTGTCAGGAAAATGTTATTGTAGTATTCCCTATAAAAATATTAGCTTTATTGTACTCTACTTTATTGTACGTGTTTCAAGCTATTAATAACAACTTAAACATAATCATTTAACTATTCAAATCAGGCAGCTATTAGTGTTAAAAAAAAAACAAATAAAATTACAAACTTACATTTGTAACACTGCCACTTGTTGCCACTTCAAGACTGTATCATCAGCTAGGATAATCTAATTTTACAGCTGCTACATTGTGAGATATGAGAAGACAGACCAGTTTTTAGACCATACTGCAGTATTTCCTAAAATAAAATAATCAATTTCTAGCTTTCCTCATAACATATGATTTAAATGAAGTTCGTAATAGTAGATGGAGTTATACATAATAAAATGATATACAAATTATCTCAATCTTATCAATAAAAATTTTCAGTGGATTAAATTTAAACTTACATTTTTTACAAGCAAATTCCAGTTTCTAAATTGCTTCATAAGTTAAACAATCTACTGAAATACTACTCATCCCCTCCTCATCTTCAAATGTGAAGTGCATGAAGAAATCTTGTAGCTTGGGTGCCAGGTCTTATCTGGCCGAAGCCTCTAGCATTAGAGCACCTAGCCTTGTACACCAGAGGGTGGTGACTCCCTTGGGTGCCTATATATGCCAGATAGGTCATCGTAAGGCAGAAAATCAAGTTCGGGAGATGATCTAGCTCTCTTTTTCAGAAGAAAATTCATTGTAACTGCCCTCAAGTTAATTAATAATATCCCTGCCGATTCTGTCGCTGGCGACAGTGTGCTGATGTGTAGTATTAAATCGCGTCTGAAAAGAAAAAATAAAATACTGTAAGGCTTTCTGGCTAACAAAAAGAAAACAAGAAAATTCATGAAAGATATGTTAGGTATCACAGTCACAAGTTCCAAAAAATCTCAAATCAAAAATGTTTATTTATCTATCTCAACGGATTTTTCGAGAGGTTTATTTATGCTGTGTGGTATGACAGTACAAGAAAAACATTAAATCAGTGTAATATAAGGATACAGTTAAAAACGGTATTTAAGGCAAGCTATAAGAAAATAAATAACATATTTCATATAGAAAAATAAAAACTAAAAAGCTGAATTTCACCCTATATATTCGCAAATTTATTAGACTCTATAACAGTTAGTGAATAAAAATTAACACATTTTCAAGAAGTCTGAACGAAGTACAAAAAGGATTTTTGATCAAACACACCAAACCGAACATTTTATTAAAAAATATAAAGTAAGATAGAGAAAATCCGCACCTTTCTACACTTAATTCTTACCTATCAGAGATTGATTCATTTTTAAAACTTTCAACTCCTAAAAACTTCAAGTTATTACATTATTCCCAGTAATTACAGAATTTCAGAACAACTTCAAACTGATAATAAGGCCTTTGTTAGAATACTGCATTAATATAAATTCACAAATTAAGAACTAACATTTAAAAAAATCACCATTTAACCTGCCCAATACAAAATGCAATGAAAAAAAAAACTTATAGAATTTTATACAGCATTAAAAGTTCAAAATTTTTTTACAAAATAATATTTTGTTAAAAAAATTTAAATATGCCATATTTAAACCCGTAAAAAATATCTATAATAAACTTAAAAGAAAACAAAACCAAGAATTAATAATAATATAAGACAAGATAAGCGAAGACGCCATGGCATTACAAGATTGCAAAAAATTTTAACCGATACAACGAAATATAAAGCAAATATCAAGTACTCACTTTTTGGAGAGGCTGAGCGAAGCACAAACAAGAATTTTCGAAAAAGTAGTGTACACAAAACTCACTTTTTAATAAAAAAATCAGAAAACTTTAAATGCCGGCGACAAGGATATGCGGATCTCCCGTCATTTAAAAGCACAAATTTAAAAGTGAGCTCATGTTGTGGCCCATGTTTAGCCCTGATCGCCATTTTCCGGAAGTCGTGGTGACATATGTGAGTTGACCAATTAAAAAGAAGTATTTTCATATAGCAGAAATCACAGCCCTCTTTGTGTTTAATAATGTTATTTTAAATTTAGTGGGTTAAATTACTAAAAAGTGAGCCAAAAAATGGCTTAGTATATTGTAAGTATTGGATTTATTATTTATTTATAAAATAAAAAATGTAATAAGCCTAAAAAACCTTATTTTTATTGTTATATTTCCTATCTATTTAATCTATACCCTATTTTAAACTAGCATATACAAAGCTCGAGTTCAACTAGATTTTAAACTAACTTGGGGGATGGGAGTATTTTAAGTAGTTTTACTATCTTTATGATTTGATGGGGAAAATAGGAAAAAAAATTATTTTAGATATATATCTCTTAATTATTACTCAATTACTCTTATTCCAAACATGCGACACAAATTTAAAGAGCAAATTAATAAAATTTAAACTTACACATTTTCTCAATGAATGTTTCTTTTTCCACTTTTTGTTACAATAGTTGAAAAACTAAGGACATGAGATATATAGCATATTATCTTGTACTACTGTTCTACAAACATCAAAATCATCCAACAGTATTTGGAAAATATTCCCTGAAAAATAAATTAAATTTATAGTTTTTCTACATAAATATTCCACTTAAAATATGTTTAAAATAAATTGTTTGTATGAAGGGTAAGGGGAAAAAACACACGTCACATAACCAACTTACTGAGAAAACAACAATTTGATATTGCCAAATATCATGTTAAAGATACAAAAATTTATTACTGTATGCGTTATTATTTTGGACATCGTTTGTTATATTCAATTACAATCTAACATGTGTATGGGATTTGATATTCTCAACAAATTGGTTTGGTTTGGTTTGGTTTTTACTTTAACAATCCATAAAATGGACATTGTCGGTTTTCTTTCTTTAGCCTTCATCATATGTAGTAATTGAAATTATATATCTCTAACGTGCAAATATCATTTTATTACACTTACATTTTTACAAGGAATGTGTAGTGTAAAATACTGTTATCCCACAAACTGCACTGCAATGACCTCACTTAAAATTTCTCATAAATTCTTATAGTTGATATCCATCCAAAAAAGCCACACCTCTTACTCAGATATGTAGTGGTATTCTCGAGTTGTTCATCTGAAAAAATATTTCTAATCAGTATCTGAAATATATATATAATTTATTTTAAAATAAACTACTTGCTATTTTATCTTTATATTCTTCTTATTCCACCTTTCTTCTTCCTTTTCCTCCATTTCCCTGCTCCGTAAACTTCCATTTTATTTGTATACATTTTCGAAATTACAAACGTCTTTGCAATGAAAATATTGCTTTGGGAAGACAACAGGACCATGAGACGCAAACTGTACCTTTTCTTTATTTCTTTCAACATTGACCTATAAGATGCAAGATAAATAGAGTAGTAGAATACCTTAAATTCAAAATATTATTAGCACTTACCATCTTTCATCATCTCTAGTCAGTATTTATTCATACCATTTTAAGGACTGATAATATATTGATTTGTCTCTACCATAGGGCGACCTGTGATGTGTAGAGGTAAATTGTGTCTGAAAAAGAATAGATATAGATATAACAAAAATTATTCTGAAACTATGAAGACAAAGACATAACATAGTAGCGTTAAAAGATATTTGTTTAATTATCAATAACATTTATACTTAAACAAGCAGACAAATAAAATTGCATAACTGACATACTTATTTTGACCCTTAAGAGTGTATAATTTCTTTTTTTAAAATATACCTATTACAGCCTAAATTAAAACACCAAAATTCCCTTTAAAGTTAGATTATTATCATAAATAATCTAAGAGCGATACACAAAATAATGGATAAAAAAAATGAGAAGATAACGTTCAATCCAATTAACGTTATGGCCCGTATCTGGGCAGGAAAATAATAAAACAAACACAAAATATTAAACACTGACTGCTTGGAGAGATTGAGCAACGCTTACAACCTTATTTTCTATGCTTACAACTGAAAAATGTTCAAATTGCATGAGGACAGATGAGGAAAACAAACTTTTTTTATTATAAATATAAGTACAAAAAAAAATTATGATGTCGGCCATCTTTCAACCTTTCAACCACAGCTTTCAACTTCAACTATGAAGATGTCAAAAGTCAAAACCACAGAATATAAATATACAATGGACTACGTTAGTCAAATTAGTTCTCTAATGATATAAATAAGTGGCATAATTTTGGGCATAATGGACCAATAAGAAATTAATATTTTGACAGCTTGAAATCCGCGGCCATTTTGGATTGGGGCGGGGCCAATACTGGCAACTACTTCAATGAAATTAGGTTACTATAAAAGGAATGCGAAAATATAGGTCAAGTTCAACTTTACTACAACTAGAACAACTATTTTAGGTCTATTTTAAAGTTAGTTTTTGTTTTTTTTGTATTTCTGGAAATAAATCGAATTCTTGTATTAGACTCATGAGCAAGAAAAAAACATATAAATAATATGAAAAACCCGAAAAATTTAAGAACGATAAGAAAATGTTATTTTACAAGGTGCAATTTAACCCTGGATTCGAATATCAGAGAACAAATGTTTTTTTATTGGTAAATAATACCCGAAAAAAAATTAATTTTTAATTCATCTTTATAACTGTTTTTTTTAAGAAAAAATTTATTATAGAGAGCTACCTTTGGTAATTTGATTTTATGTTGATATGAATTTTTATTCTTAAAAAAATATTTTTCTATCGACTGCTATTACAAAGTATATTTTCTTGTTTATTAATGCAATTTCGATTTAGTTTAAGTCCTAACAATCGAACGACATTTGAAAACTTTATAAAGTATACAGGTAATAATTATTTTTAAACTAATTTTATTAATACTTAATTAATTACTACTATTTTAAACTTACTACTTTTAGCCTCCATAATTACTACTATATTAAGTAAAATATATTTAAAAATATTTATAGAAAATATTTAAAATAAAAATTTGGCTATTTTGCCGTGAATTTAGACACTAGATATATGAAAAAAATTGACATCTATCAGACGCTTGCCGAACTATACTTCTCTATCATGAAATCTATATTTTGTAGTATTCGTAATAAAATATATACAAGGGTAGGTCTGGTAACAGCACATAATAGCCTTGTTTATATGTATATTAACTAGTTATTCAGTTATGATTCAGTTAGGGAGTTAAATCTGAGACATTTCTGAGAGTTTACTGATAGTTAAATAATTCTTATCAGTTTACCGTCCTTGCGATTGTCCCACTTAATGAGAAATTCAAATTTTTTCAAGACCCGCGATGCAATTCTCGTAGCCATCTATCAGTGAACTCCCAGAACTAACTCACGCTGAATATCTAGTTAATATATAAACAAGTGTAATAGGAATATATAAACAAGGGTAGGAATATATAAACAATGCCTAGCCTGGGAAATGGAAAATTTGTAGGTTTGAGACGAAGGGGATAGAGCGTGATTTTCCCTGGTATAAAGAAAATGGGGAAGAATCAAGGCTCAGGGTTGCATCCCTAAAGTAGTCTTTCCTCTACCCTGGTCGTATTGGAGTGACAAATCGCGACCCTTTAGTTAAGCCGACTACTCACATGCCGAATTGCAGGGGACAATCTGTAAAAAAATTGGATAATATCTAATTTTTATGCTCTTTACATACAATTTAGCGGTACGCTGGATTTTTTTTGCGGAATAAAGATGCAAAACTAAATATAAATAGCACTTATGATCTTAAAGCATATGAGACATGAAAACCGGTTGTTGGAGAGTGTTTATTCTCAGGCCCTACAAAAAGCCGTTTATTAGTCGTCAGCTTATATACAAGTGGAAATATAAACATATAAAGCATATATCTATTATATGTTTATTATGTCATTCAAATAAATATATCTTAAGTCAGTCCAGTTATCTAGTTATAATATATCAAAGAAACTAGGTTTTTACAGGGGGCTAAACTTATTTGGTGAGGGTTTTGATGTTGCTACACGCTTAAATAATCAAAAAATTATTACGGCTTTCGGCTTAAAAATAAACGAAAATATTTGTAAGTAATTTTTACTTTAAACATAATTTTTTAAATTATAATAAAAATATATAGATATTTAATGACTTAAAATAAAATTTTATAAAAAAAATATGTAGAATTTTTGGTAAAATTATATTTCAATTAAATTAAAGTTAATTTCACTTTAAAAAATAATATCAACTACAAGGTATCCAAATTTATAAATATATAAGAGAATATTCAAAAAAATAATTTCGGTTTGTTGAGGTTGAGAAAAAGGAAACTAATAAAAATAACTTCCCTTATTGTAGGTACATAGGTAGTAGGTCGTAGGTATACAATAAAATTAGCTGAGTTCTGTTAGGCAAATAAACACTGACCAATGGATAATTACATGATAAGTTGTTAAATATTCCCCCATTTGAATCAAGTCGACTAGTCGGCTCACTATTAGTTGAGTCCAAGCAGAATTTGACTGTTGGATCGGCAGAGCGTACCGTTGGGTTCGACAGACTTGCCGAGGAGGTGTTGTGATTTTTTTAAACTATAGTACAAATAAAAAAAAAGAAGTGACTACCCCTTACTAAAATCAATTTTAGTTCCCTCATCTTTACTGTATTTTGTAAGTATAGTATTTACTCATTTTTAAATTGCATTTCCAAAAATTTTCTAGACGTGTCTCAACGTTGAAACACCTGTTTAAAATAATATATAAATTAAATAAGATTTCATTCTCTTTTTGATATTACTCAAATTAGTTTTTGATACCACTTTGCTAAAGAGAAAAGTGACTGACCTTTCAAAACGAATCATATTCGGAAATATTCTCGTTTTCTTCAATTCTCTTTCTTAAATATTTAATAAGTGGAATATTTTGAGAAAAAAGAAAACCGTTAGAATAATTAATAATTTTAATTTATAGATAGCACTTTAAGGTTTAAGTACTCTTCAAATAGACGTACTTTCTTTTTTTTTTCGCTGCTTTAAAAAGTATGTTACTACAAAATTGTGTACAATTTAAATTCAAGAAAATCCTTATATTTGTGTGTAGCAGATATTGTCTAATTTTGCATTTAATGGATGAAATTAAAAACTAAACGAAAACAATTGAAACGAAAATTAATTAAAGATTTGTTATTATAATTCTAATATTTCTTAATCAATGTTTAAATTGTTTAATGTTTGACGTTTAATCAATATTAGCATTTAGTAAACTCAAAACCTCCTGATAAATGAAAAAATACATGTTAATTTTAATAATATAACAGAAAGCCTTTCCTTTTAATTTTATAAAATTAATACTTACAAACCAAATCGTCACTGCAGTAGTAAAATAAATAAAGCTTTCATTTAATGTGTCAAGGTATGTCAATAAAATAAATATTTAGATAATAAATGCAATAAAAATATGCAAATAAATTACACGTGTTTAGAAGATCATCAAATTGATTGATAGAATGTATAGATCCATTTTGAAAGGGAAATCTTATACTTGCTTATACGGACTTCAGGTAAACTCTATAATTTTTAAAATTAAAATTCATTCAATGTATATTAAAAGCTTCGTTTAAGCCAATATTTTTATGGCAATCTAAAACGCGTAAAAAAATCTAAATAATAAAAGCGGTACCCTAATGTTTATTAATTTAGAGTTCAAAAAAGCAGCTTCAAGTGTTGTATCAGATGTAATAAGAGTGTTGAAGAAGTTAGGGCTGATTGCGTTATTTGTTTCTTGTTTCTTGCTTAATTTTAGGTATTAAAATAACTAATTAAAAGTAAATAATACACTTGTACCTTTATGGTGATTTTTTAAGCTGTGCTTGTGGTTTTATTGAAAGTTTTCTATTCTGGTTCTTGGGAGGCTCAAAATCTCTCACGGGGTTAACTATCATAGTGGAAGATTATCAAATTGATTGATGGAATTTATGGATAAGTTTTTAAAACTAATATTTTTTTTAGAATATTACAGCTCAATACCATAACAAGTTAAACAATACAATCAAATTATAGTTAAATAATATATATATAGTAAGAAAAGACTATTAACATTTATTTTATCCGCTATATTAAAAGTTAGTAATTATAATAAAATATATTGTTCATTAATAAGCTTTATTATACCGTAGTTAAATATTCAGAAGATAAAAATTATATTTATTTTGACTGCTAAATAGTTTATTGTGGGCATTCTGAAACGGATTAAGAGGGAAAATAAAGATATACTAATTTCTATTATAGATCTTAAGCGATTCTAAATATTAGAAAGGTTAAAGAGCCATAAAAGAGACCTTGAAATTGGCAATTAGTCTATTCTTCTTCACATTTTTTCTTTTATGTTCGATTTTAAAGAAATATTGCCCCTAGGTTGGCATAATAAGATATTACCTAAAGATGATGTACTGAAAAAATAGAAAGAAGCTCGGTAAATTTTATAACGTTAAAAAAATATACATATTTGAATGCAGGATTTTCTAGTGATCGTTTAGATCGAAGGAATAAATTGTGGTTTCTGTTAATTTGATTTTGAAACTAAAAAAATATATTTTCTATTTACACTAGCAACTAAAATTTGTTTTTTAAATATTATGTTTATTCATTATTATCGTTCTTGTGTACAATATAGGAAAATATAAAGATTTGAAATATTTCACACCGATGTAATAATTGAATATGGCTAAAAATATTGAGATATTCATTTCCCACAATCAGTTGAATTCTTGAATAGAAAGAAATATTTTTATTTATTGCTAACAAAATCTACTAACAAATTGGCTTGACGCTTATACGTAAGCAAAAATATATCGGAATTTTTAAATTGCAACTTATTAAGATAATTATATACAGGTATAATGATCAAGGATCAGTTATAAACGCGACTTCACAGAAACCGTAGACATTTAAAATGTAACAGAGTGCTATATGAAATAAAAAAATCGGATTCTATTATTCTAGGTGTGACAAATAATGAAAATATATATAAATGTTTTGGTAGATTTCTAGTGATACTAAAATAAAATTTCATTTCTGTATATTATCAATGACAGGAAGCAATTTAATTTTTCTACAGTATTTGTCGACTAGCTCTGGTATCAATTAGAAATGCGACACACATCTCCAATATTTTTCATGTGTTTCAAAAACGTTCCGCACTAGCTTCGCTTTTCTGCATTATATAATTTTTTAAATAAGCTTCCATCATTGGAATTTGCATTGATGACCTTTTTACGCCTATGAAGGTTGCAATAGCCTTGTATATTTCGTTTTAATTTGTAGGTTTAATGGATTATTAATACAACGCGGAAAAATGAACAAATATGTCAAATTATTTTTCCATAGGATTCTAAAGGACTTCAGACAAAAGGAACTCCTTCCTTTAAAGCTGCTGTTTTTTATGCATTCTTCTAGTAAGTTCAATCCAAATATTATTTCACATTTAGTTCATCATGGACAATATAGTAGAGAGCGGATTGCAACGCAAATCTCCACAAAATGTGGGTTTAAGGACTTCGAGTTGGCGAGTCATCAACTCTAGGGAGGAGGGTCCTCACAATAGGAATTGACCTCAAATCCAAGGAGGCAATAGAGAAAGGGGGATATATCCTCTATTATAGATTCGGGACAATACCGGTATCAGGTCTAAGGGCCAAGTTAAAGAGGTGGAGAAAATCCACCTCACGAGTACCTCAGCCGGAGACAAGCTCATTGACTGTGAAGGGCACGGAGGGCCAAACCCCAACCGTGGAAGGGAGTATACCCTCGAAAGAAGAACATCTGTTGCCAGAGGAGGATGGGAAATACCCTGTCCCCCCTACAACAGGAAAATCCTCATGTGTAATGAGTTATAGACTGTACGATAAGTTATAACTCAAAGGAAGGGGGACATAATATATATTTAAGGTCGCCATGATTAACCCCCCTCCCACTCATTCTACATTCTACATTAATTCATCATTTCGTATGTTGTTTCTAGCTATTTTGGTGTTGTATCCTTACTTGACTATTCATATGAGGGAACTTGGTATAAATGTAGAAGAAACGGCTGTTATGTCAGCTGTGACACCTGTTGTTGCCATACTGATGCCTCCTTTAGCGGGAATGATAGCCGATAAGATAGGAAATTTTAGAGTAAGTATTAAAAAAAAACGCTTACAAAAACTTGTAAACATTGCCATGGGAAATTCCTCATCATTAACAGTACAATAAAACACCCAAGGTTCATTATTCGGCAAACACATTGAATATTTACCGGTTCTTTATTTTGCATCACTTATATAACCCTTTCTAATTATTCGTTTGTTGGGTTTTTTATTTGGCGTTCTGTTTATTTTTAGATACTGCTGTCGTTTTTTTCGATTGTTGGAGGAGGATCTGCCTTGCTTTTGTTGCTTGTTCCTGTTGGAAGAATTACAGTCACGTTCCCGAAAGAAATTGTTTTCAATATGGGCTGTTCAGCCGAACAAAATCTCGTGCTGTCTGTTGATAATGAATATCCTTGCGAGCCTCTAACAACCGAAGGAAACATTTTCAATTCTTCTCTAAAAATAGAATCTTGTGGCATTGCTTGTCACACTATCTTAGACGAGAACTACACTCAAACAGTATTAAAAACCAGAGAGTATAGTGTACAGATGTTTGATATAAAGGATAATTCTACCCTTACAGTTTCATATACTCCGAAGGAAAGTGATATTCACGAGGTAGACCTAATCAATATGAGAAATCACATGACTTTAAAGAACAACATACGTTACACAACATCAGTGAGAAAACTCTCTAAAAACGTAATTTATTTTCCCACTCATAGTTATTATAATTTAAGCTGTAACTCTGAAAATTCTAATGCTTCTTGTTTAATTATTCTGGGAGAGTCTAGTTCAGGAAACCAAGCCGGAAAGATGTTGAAATCTCAGCTGAGTCTTGAAGAAATATCTCACGATGACTTTGAAGAATACGGGCGTTCATATTTTGTTCGGACAATGGAAAATAATAACTTCGAATGCTTGTTAGATGGTTCTTTAAAGACGAAACATATAGTAGTCACAATTCCAACAATGAAGTCCGCATTTCGTCACCTAGACCTAGGAAGTTGTACCCCAAAATGTTTGGTTACAGTTCCTAGAAAACAGTTGTGTTCGAATTCTAAAAATGTCATAGAACTGGACATGCGAACTACATTTTGGTCGTACATGGTAGTTCGAGTTTTTGTGGGAATTGTCAGCGGAACGTCATTCGCTATGTTCGAAGGTGCTGTTATTGCCATACTTAGGGAGCACAAAGCTGACTACGGCTTGCAAAGGATCTACGCCACAATTGGTGGAATGATCAGTTCTCCACTCTCAGGATGGATGATAGATTTTGCCAGCCGAGGGAAATCTTACACAGACTTTAGGTAAACTCTGTAATTTTTAAAATTAAAATTCATTTAATGTATATTAAAAGCTTCGTTTTAGGCCAATATTTTTCCTGTATGCCAGTCTAAAATTAATAAGCGGTATCCTAATGCTGTTTATTAATTTAGAGTTCAAAAAGGCAGCTTCAAGTGTTGTATCAGATGTAATAAGAGTGTTGAAGAAGTTAGAGCTGATTACGTTATTTATCTCTTGCTTAATTTTAGGTACTAAAATAACTAATGATAAGCAAATAACACACTTAAACCTTTATGGTGGTTTTTAGGCTGTGCTTGGGGTTTTATTGAAAGTTTTCTATTCTGGCTGTTAGAAGACTTGGGAGGCTCAAAATCTCTTATGGGGTTAACTATCACAGTGGGAGGTATTGTTGGGATACCACTACTAGTTTTATCTGGACCTCTCATTAAAAAAATCGGACACGCCAATGTTATCTTCATAGGATTTGTGTTCTACGCCATCAGACTAATTGGGTACTCCCTTATATACAATCCATGGCTTTGTCTGATATTTGAGGCTATGGAGAGCATTACTTTCGGACTTAGCTTTACGGCTGCTGTGACATACGCAGCTAAGTTGTCGACTGTCACTACAGACACCAGTATTCAAGGAATGCTTGGAGGGATATATTATGGAGTAGGTATGTTTAGATACAAATTTCATTAAAACACCTCTTTCCTATTCTTTTATTTCTTGCTTTAAGGAAAAGGAGTTGGAAGCTTAATTGGAGGGTACTTAATCAAGCCAATAGGTATTAGGCACACTTTTCAAGTCTTCGCCGTTTTTACTATTATTATAGGGATTATCTACTTCGCGTTTTATCATTTCTATATTAAAAAACGCCCGTCTGAAGGTACAGACATAACTAAGAAGGATTCTATTAAGCCGCAAGATACTTTCAGCGAGGTAAATCGGAAAAGTGGCTCCCTTGTAAATGGGGAAGCTCACGAGGTTCATCCAGCTGTTTACGAAGATGCTATGTGCAATCCTGCCTACGAAGCAAGTGAAGAAGAGCTGGAAGAAATGGAAAAAGAGAAAACCGAAGAATGCAATAAAGCGTGAGGGTTAAAAAAGTGTTCTCGATGTTCAGCAGTCCATAAAAAAGTTCCTCGTTTATAAAGCTTCTCAGAAAAGTGAAAAGATTTTAGTTACAGTAATATTAAACCTACACTTAAAAAACTTTATTTTTATATTTATTGATTGACATTGTAACAAGATTATTTGGAGTAATTTAGTTTATAGTAGTATTACAAAAATAACATACTCGAGCAGGTATGTTATTATATTGTCTGAATCTGTGATATGAATAAAATAAAATCGTCTTTATTTTAATGGTGTCTTCTGTGGTCAATTATTTTTATTTGTTGGCCTTAAATTACAATATAATAATTGACATTTCAAAATATAAACGAAATATATACAGAAAAGACCTTTTGTATCACACAAAAATATCATATAGACCAATTCCATGCATAAGAATGGTATGTGTATTAATATCTTAAATATTAAATTAAATAAATGAAAATAAATGACACAAAATACACTGAGGGTTTATAAATCAAATCTAAAAATTTATCCTAAAATCTTACATGGAATTAGCCTATTAAAAACATATTTTGTTAATTTGGTTCGTGTTAACAAAAAAACTAATTTATCATTTTTCTCATCATAATTTTAAATGAGAAATTTCAGTCTACGTTTGATCATTTCAACAACTCTGTGGTGTTTGACCGTCTGTCTTAAAATAAATCCTTCTCTTAAGCTTAAAAATAAACTTAAATCTTTTTACAGTTTTTCTCGTCACTTGCATCACTGCATTCGATAAAACCATTGCACAATCTACTCTCCGGAAGACATTCGCCTAAAGGACACCTATGTCCTGTACAAGTGGTTGCTATTTTAGTAATATTTTTTACTCGAGATCCATCTCCATAAACGTAAGAGTTTATCCAGTCCAAGTAGTTTGTCACTTTGGTGTATACACCTGGTCTGTTAGCCCTGGCACAGCCGTATCCATTGCTGGTTATACCTTTCACATAGCGGTAGATATGTTAGTTAAATATTAGATTTCTTAAATGTAAAATAAAACAAATAATAAGAAAAATAAGTTACCATGTAAAGTCCATCGTCCATTTGGTTGTGAACACATTAGAGGACCCCCACTATCCCCTAGACAAGCATCTCTGCCGCCCCTATCATAACCAGCGCAAAACATGTCGTCAGTAATCTTATACAGAGGAAGAAACAGTGTTCTTTTTCTGCACTCCGCTGTTGATATTATCGGAACTTGTACTTCTTGAAGTGTGTCAGCTATATTAATAGAAAAAAATACCAGATATATTATCACAGAATATATATAAGATAGATCTTACGAAATATTCTTCCAACTTCAAAAAGCTGTCCCCATCCGATGACAGTACACAATCTTCCATCTTCCAAGACTTGATCGACGGAAGGTAGACATACTGGTCTTACGTAATCGCTGAAACTGACTGTACTGCTCATTTCCAGCAGAGATATGTCGTTGATGAAGCCAAAATCCATGTAACTAGGGTGAACTATGATGCGAGCGATGGTTCTGAGTTGTTCATAAGGTGATGGCAGTGTAGTGCCGCGTCTTAAGGCTCCCAAGCGCGCTACCCAATGATCTTTGGGCGAACTAAGAAAAATTTATATAGGTATAAACAGTTAAAAAAGGTTCATCTCTAATACCGATAGAAACAATGTCCAGCTGAAACAAGCCACTTTTCAGATAAAAGGGTTGCTCCACACTGAAACTCTCCTTCTTTGTACAAAGCCACCTGCCAAGGCCAGGCGCCTGATTCCGCATTTCCGCCACCGACAACTCTAGAAAAGTAAATTAGTATTTTTAAATATACAGGGTGGCCTATTAGTGCGAGGAAATCCAATATCGTCGTTGTTGACAAAAATTTGAAAAGAAGTTTTTTGTAGATGTTGCAAGGTTTATAATAATGCATATTCTAAAAATATTAAGTATACAGAGTGTCCCCGAAAAAGTTATGATGATTGCAGTTACATACAGGGTGTCCCAGAAATAAGTGCAAGTATTTTAACTGGTAGTATATTTCGGCCTCAGAAACACGCCTATGATTATTTTTTACAGTATTTTTTGTAAAATTTTTTTTTTGAAAATTTGGACTTTTTGAAAAAAAAATTGGCATTTTTTTAAGTTTAAGCTAAAAAACATAGTTTCTTGATAATATGGCAACATAGGTAGTAGCTTAAATTTACATGAAAACAAATCCAGACAAGATCCAGTGGTTCTCAAAATTTTAGCAAAAAATTTTTTTTTTGGACTTATTTGAAAACGGTAAAGAGAAAAAATGTTTCTTTTGACCAGATCTACCACCCCTTAAAATACTTGCACTTATTTCTGGGATACCCTGTATATAACTTGATCGTAACTTATTTTGGGACCCTGTATACAACATCTGTATAAAAAAATTATATCTTCGACACCGTCTACGATATTGGATTTCCTCGCGCTAATGGGCATCCTCTATGTACTTAAATACATTTTTAATTTTTACCTGGCAACGTGTTTGACAGCTTGGGGCCTAACGCCGCACTCCAAAGCTTGGCAGGTAACCCTAACTACGTTTCCAGAAGGGCAATGAGTTTCTCTGAAAGATAAATTTGATTTTTTCTCATCCTCCATGGAATAGGTTAATTCAAAATATTTTTCGTCTTTTGTTTCAGGTGCCTGTACTATATTTTCTATCGAGTCCATCTTTCTAAAACCAAAAGTAAAAATAAATCACATTAGTTTATAACGAGTGTCCAAAGCGTCATACTGGTAGGTCATAGATTTGCAGATGGCTTTTCCTAAATCTGTAATCCTCCAAGTGATGGTCGAGTTAGAGACAATGTTTCTAAAGTTATCTACGCAAAGTTTTCCCCAGTTACCTTGTTTTCGTACCATAAGGTATCCTGTAACAATAAAAAAAATTGTGTGTTTACTATGTGCGGATATTTGAAGTGAAACTTCTTACTAACAGCTATTAAATTGAGAAATCTGAAAGACATGTTTGGAAAAATGTAGTTTGAAATGTTGAAAAAATAATAAATTAAAAGAGTAGTAATAGTTTTTTACACATAAAAAATAGTTTTTTCGTTAGCTCGTGTGTCACGGTCTTGAATTTTTACTCGCGTAAAGAAGTTTCACTTCAATAACTATACAGGGTGTTTCAAAACAAATGCGAAAGCTTTAGGGGGTGATTCCTTGTTCAAAATAAAGGGTAGTTTGCTTTATAAACGTTGGGTCAAAAGTCAACCATTAGGGAGATATCGCGGTACAAAGATGGCGGAAAAATAATGTTTTTATTTTTTATCTTGAAAACGAAAAGAGATAGACTAATGAAATTTTATGGAAGCATTACTGTTATGAAAACACACTTTCAGGTAATTTTTACTTTTTTTAAAATGAGTGGAAGGGGTTGAAATAAACTACCCCTATCATTCTTGTTAAGTGAATTTAAAAGAAAAAATCTTATCAAACACATGCAAATGCTTTAATTTGGATAGTTCAGTTTGTTTAGAAACTTTTCTACCTCTTGTGTTTTTTTGATAAAACTCACCGATTGGAAATTAAAAAATAAAATGTAAAGCATGACATGTCAGGACAAAAAACATTTTTAGATTAAGAATCTAGTGATAATAACGTATTGCAGTAGAGTAATGCCAAATAAAATAATATTAGGAACATCCTATAAAGTAACAGCGGCCAACTATATTTTTTCCTAAAAAAATTACAGCAGCCCAATAGATTCTTTATCAGAAAATGTTTTTTGTCCTGACATGTAATGCTTTACATTTTATTTTTTAATTTCAAATCGGTGAGTTTTATCAAAAAACACAAGAGATAAAAAAGTTTCTAAACAAACTAAACTATCCAAATTAATTTTTTTGCATGTGTTTGATAAGATTTTTCTTTAAATTTAGTTAACAAGAATGATAGGGGTAGTTTATTTCAACCCCTTCCACTCATTTTAAAAAAGTGAAAAAATTACCAGAAAGTGTGTTTTCATAACAGTAATGGTTCCATAAAATTTTATTAGTCTATCTCTTTTCGTTTTCAAGATAAAAAATAAAAACATTATTTTTCCGCCATCTTTGTACCGCAATATCTCCCTAATGGTTGACTTTTGACCCAACGTTTATGAAGCAAACTACCCTTTATTTTGAACAAGGAATCACCCCCTGAAGTTTTTCGCATTTGTTTTAAAACACCCTGTATATGTTGAGAAGTATACAGGGTAGTCCGAACTGTATTCCGAAAACTTTAGTAGCATATTCTGTAGATAAAAATAAGTAAAAAAGTTCGTATAAATGTAGTCCCAAAAATGCTTAGTTTTGGAGATACAGGGTGTAAAATTTTCATTTTTATTTCAATGTTTTCCAAATAATTAGTGAAGTAACAAAAGGTCTCTTGGTAAAAATCGCTACTAGTAATGGTTCTTGAGATATTTTGAATCGAAATTATCAATACCTGTCAGTGACATAAATTAAACATGTTGACTAAATAGTTATTAGACCGAATAATAGACTGAAATCATAAACTTTAAATATTTTTGTGCTAAAAGTTCCACAGAAACTGTTTTATCATCACTTTTTCGAAGAAAAAATTATGATCAATATAAAAAAACAAAAAGTTCCCAAATTTATCATTTCAGTCAAATAACTATCTACTCAACAAGTTTATTTTTTGTCAATAATGACATGTATTGACTATTTTCTTTCTAAATATCTTGAGAACGGTTGCTCGTAGCGATTTTTACCAAGAGACATTTTTTACGTAGAAAATCACGGAAATGTATATTTTTCACTCAGTAGCTTTATACAGGTATGGACGAAAAGTTATTACTCTTGAAAATAGCTAAAACACATGTAGGCGGCGCCCCCTACAAATAGGAGTCATATTGACATCAAAATCAAATTTCTCATCTCAAAAAACTCCCAGACACCAATTTTCATCCAAATATTAACGTTACTTTAGAAATTATTAGGAAAAAATCGAAATAAAAATGAAATTTTTACACCCTATATCTCCGAAACTAAGCATTTTATGACATATGCTACCGAAGTTTCCGGATACAATTCGGACCACCCTGTATATCTATGTGTGTTTTCTGAACCTTGAGAATAATAAGGAAATTCATTGGCTAATGTAGTGTCGTTGGCAATAGTTACACACTGCTTTTCGTCATCCCCTTGTGGACAGTCTTTGATACCATCACAAATTTTTCTTTCGCTTATGCAGACTTTTGAGTTACTGCAGACATATTTTTCTGGAGAGCACCACTCTGTAAAAGAAATCAAGTTACAGTATGAACAAAAAATAGCATCTTTAACATACCACACTGATTTTCATCTGAAAAATCCCAACAATCGACAATTCCATCGCAAATTTCATTCATCAAACGCTGTGACTTCAGGTAATCAGCACAATTACAGTTTTTCTCGTCACTCTCGTCAGCACAGTCGATCAATTGATTGCATTTGGCAGATTCGGGAAGACATTTTCCATCTCCACACTTAAAACTAAGTTTGTCGCAATCTGAAATCAAACTAAATTTTTAGTAACTTTATAGGTATTACTGCAATTCATTTTTACCTGAAGTTGATTTGTTTTTGTATAAAGTGTTGTCGTTTTTAACTGGAAAATTTTGGGCTTTATTAAAAGTTTTTGTAAGAAGCTTTAAGCCATTTGTGTAACTTGAAGATACGGCTTTGTCTGAAATGAAGGTCTCGTTATTATTTATCTTGCTAATTTTGGACAGCTGTCTTATTTGTTCTGGGGATAGAATGTTTGTTCCTGTATATGCAGGAAGCGAATGTTGCGAACTGTTCCTGTTTTGATTTTGCTCCATTTTAGGAAACCTGACAATATCTTTCTGGTTATTTTCGGTGTTGTATCCTTCGGTGGCAAAGTTCAAAATCCCCATTATTTGGTAGTTATTCACAGTACTAATATTGACGGGGGGTGGTACAGTTTTCGATTTGATAGTAGACTTTTCATAGGTTTCCAAATTTTGTCTGGTCGCCTGGCTTGGGAAACTTCGATTCTCTACAGAGATAGTATTTGTATCCCCAACGCGCTTTCTGTTGAAGGGCCTTCCTATTCCCGAATTAGAACGCACTGGGAGTAGAGTAACCAACGGAATTTTCGTCGTTTGACTTAAGAGTTCATCCATCTCCACCTCTACAACTTCAACATGTCCTTCACCAGCAATATCGTCTAGCACGGGCTCGAAACTATCATTTTCAACCGCTGTTCTGTTTGTTTTATCTAACGTAGAAGCCAAGTCGTAAAAAATCGAAGATATGTTCTTCACAGCGTATTCCTCGCTATTATTCTCAGACGGTTGGTATTTAATAGTGTCTACTCTAACGTATTCCGATTCTCTAGTTGTAATTTCATTCGGTACTTGCTTCTTTGTAGGCTCGGTACTAGAAAATTCAGAGAAAGGCTTGGTAAAAGGTATCTTATTAACCGGAATGGGATGTATCTTCATGCTAGTGGTGCCCAGTTTTTCTGTTTCTTGAAAATGGAAAGATAGGCCGGGATTGGTGAAGCTTGTATATGAAGGCTGAGACACTGGAAAACTGTAATCCATTTGATTCAACGGACTTGGAGAATGGGCCGGAACGTTTGGCAAAATCGGAATCCACGGAGCATCGTTATATAACTGAGGACTTCCTTTGAAGTCTTTTACCGATTCTGTCGTACTCGTAGCACTTTTCGTAGTAATAACAGGAGGATCCAAGGAACTACTAGAAGTGCTAGCTGCAGTAGTGGTTTTTGATTTATCCCCGGCAATTTTGTATAAGGCACTTGTAACTGATGACTCCTTGAAAGTAGTTTTTCGTACCGAGGCACTTGTGACTTTTTCGGGCTTTGTTTTAACTGCAGAAGCTTCAGTCTTTTTCTCAGTTATATCCGCGTCAGTTTTGGTAATTTTGAACGAGCCTTGTATCACCGGCAAATCTTCTTCGTTAAATTCTGGTTCATCTTTTGTGGCTGACTTAGATGTTGTTGTTGTCGGTGCAAGAGTTGTGGAAGATTTAGTTTTTAAAACCACCCCCATACTATTTGACTTTAAGTTACTTTTAATAGTGGGGGTTGAGGTGACCGTGGAAGGAGCACTATAAACGCCAGCTCCCTCTTGGATCTGCTTTACCAGGATACTTTTCGAATCAAATCGTATGTTTCGAAAAACCGGTTTTTTTGAGGTCGTATCGCTGAGGAGAATATCCTTGATAGCTTTTTCGATATTTGTCAAGTTCCTGTAAATAAAGTGTGAGTTTCGAGGACAAAGATAGACGTGCTTGATTGAGCTTACTCGACTAGTTTCCTCCTGTTAAAAGTTAATCGAAAAAAAATCGTGTGACCATCTTTTCCAAACCTATCCACGCTGCAGGAGAGCAAAGCTGGTCCAAGAGCGCTTCGCTGATATAAAACTTCGATTTGCCTTTTGTACCTTTGAGCTTTCTCTTCTAAATTTCCAATAAACCTGTCACCTTTGGTGACCTTTGCGCTACACCCAAACGATATAATTGCTAAAAATCAGAGTCCATTAACTTCCAAGAAACTTTTGAATAAAATATACTGTGTACCGTTCGTGGGTGGGTCTGTGTTCGATATTCCCATGTACAAGGCTAGGCCTGCTATAGCTAAAACTATAACTAAAACTATAAACGATGCTATGGCGAGGACTATAGAACAAACTCTGCTTCTCGACGACGGTGCTTTTCGATCTATACCTAAAATATAATAAATAGACACCGTGATAAAGAATAAAGGGATGGAATAATTTTGAACCACTCTGTATATACCTATGCAGGACATAGGCGTCCTGAGATGATGCCCCTCTTGCCAGAGGCTGTGATGCGGATGTATGATGGATGTGGTAGATGTCGATCTGCGACCCAAGCAATTTGGTAACGTATAGTCCATCTGAAATTATGTAAATTTGCATTAAATTTATGTCGGTGTAAAGATCTTTTCGACTTTTTAATGGGAATTAATGAGACACCTTGAGCAATCCGATGCCCCGAACTTACCATGGCAAATTTTACCCGAGATATTTGATGCTGATACCGAAAAATATTACGCAGGTTACAAAAAAAAACAGAAAATTGAGATGAAATTGCAGATTTTCAAGTGATATACCGTTATACAAAAAGTATATATATGTTTCAGTTTTCCAAAATTAATGTTAGTATTATATTTTTAAAGTATCTTTACTTGATTTATGTAGTAATAAAGTAACTGTAGATCTTTTCTTGTTTTTAGAATGTTTGAGAGATACACAAGATATCTGTGTATACTGGGAATAAATTGAAAAAGGACTATTTTACGGTATAATTTGGTGCACTGTGGGCCAATTTCGAAATTATTTTAATTATCTTAATTGGACGCTGCTCAAAGGACCACAAAACAACAGAACATAATTTTATTGGCCGGCAATTATTCTGACAATTAACAAAATTCGGTTGCCCTCTTCTGGGAAATGAAAACCGCAAAAAAATATACTTATGTCAATTATTCCTTTATTTCTGCATTTACTTCTTTGCTTTGTTCGTTTCTTTTCGAGCAGACTACACACATCAAAAACGTATTGTTATTAACTGATACAGAACTTACGTAATTGTTTGTCATTCTTAGTTAATTGATATCGGTGCGCGGTAGCGGATCTATACCGTTTTGCTATGCACCGCTAGGAAGCCCCATAAGCATATTACATTAGCTCTAACTGTATTCTTTAATAATATAATAAGCGTATTTGTTATGATTTTCGCGGTTATTTTTATTTATACGTTGAGGCTATTTTCGTGGACATTTAATGGCCTCTAACGTATTTTGCTCTGGTTCAAAACAATTTACCAGAACCGTTAGAAAGCAAAACCGCAGATAATCGTATTCTTCTTCAAAGCGGTCATATATTTATTTCATTATTGATTCTTTTATGGCGACTTGATAATATCTCAGAAAAATTGTCATGTCTAAACCAAATCCAGAAAATTGTTAATTTTTGTATTTTTTTTGTTTCTCTATTATTTTAACTGTAGTTTTTTTTTAAAATGGGGTCATTTTTAGTACATAATATGTGTAGTATTTTTTATTTGGTTGACTCTTAACAGTACAGTGCGTTATTTGTCACTGGGTAACGGCAAAAAACATTTTATTCGTCGGTGTAATTTAAACAGTATTAAAAAGAAAACTTTACTTACTTCACTTATGGATAACTGTATAGTAAAAATCAAAGCGTTTGCCGTATATGCCTTATTCTAAGCTAATAATTAATTAAGCGATTATTAGTTCTGTTACTCTTTTCTACATCACAGATATGGTAATTTTATACTTAATAAAATGTTTCAATTAAAAAAAAACTTTTAAATGTTGATTGTTTCCTAAGAAATTAAAAGAGTTTCTATAAAAGCAGAGGATTATTTTTTTTTGTTTTGTTTATATTTTTAGAGTTTCATAAACAAGATGATTATTTTTGTGTTCAAAATAAATTAAGATATACAGGGTGAGGCTTAAATAAGTTCAAATATTTTCAGGGCTGGTAGATCTCGGCAAAAGAAACATAATTTTTTTTACCGTTTTCACAACCAAACAACCGAGTTATTTTACTTTGAAAATTTCCCCAAAAAAAAATTTTTTTGCTTAAATTTTGAGTTGGCTGAATATTTTCTGGGTTTTCTTTCTTGTTAATTTAATCTACTACCTATTAGTGATGAGCAAATGCAAGACCAAGACCAAGACTTACCTTGGTCTTGCAAATAAGAAGTGGTCTTGGTCTTGGTCTGTCTGCAAGACTCTTGCAGGTCTTGCACTTTTATATACATTTCTACTGAAGTTTTTTCTAATATTTAGTATTAGTACTGCATTTATAATTTATAATATATGCGTTAATATTTTGAAATGCAAGACCAAAACCAAGACCGCAAGACCAAGACGAGTACCGCTCATCACTACTAACTATGTTACCATAAAATAAAGAAATTATGTTTTTTAACTAAAATCTAAAAAAAAATCCAAAAAAAAATTTAAAAAATGCCAAATTTTCCAAAAAAAATTTTTTCGCGAAAATAACCTCATAATCGTGTTTCTGGGGTCGAAATATACTACCCCTAAAATATTTGCACTTATTTAAGACTCAACCTGTATATATAAAAAGTAATAAAAGTTAAAAAAAAGAATATACATATATTTTTGTTTTGTAATTATTAATGAAAAATTGGTTATTTATAATATCAAGAAAAATATACATTCACACAGAATATTTGTTACATAATCTACAACGATTTGATGAAATTCTTGTCACAACAAAAGTGTCATGTCTTAAACAATACAACTATAATAAAATAACCTAGATAGGTAACAAAATTCTTAAACTGGGTTACAACGTTTTACATACCACCTACTTTTTGAAACCGACATCCTCATGTTATTAATGTTGTTGAACTGGTCGATCAAACTTAGTTTAGTTTCGTTTAAAAACTAATAGTTATAAATAGTAATTAATTTAAAAAAAAATAACGTCACATTTTTTCCGTGCATGTAAGCAAGAAGTGAATTTTCTCACCGAAGATCAGAATGAAAAATGAAAGAAAGGGTTATTGCGATGTAAAGGAAACGGTGTTTCACTTACTGAATATTAATGAACTACATACATTTACATTCATCTTAATGAGACAAAACCAAATATTTTAAAAAAATGATCAAACTTCCGTGTATCTAAACTATTTTCTTAATATATAGAGAATGTAAGAGGTAAGTGTGGATGTTAGAACGTTAGGATAAAGTTTAGCGCTAGTAAAGAGCAATTCACAATTAAACCGGTTGACTTTAGCAGCAGTGAACAAAAAAAATAATGATGGGAGTAAAAACCTTGCAAGGCCGGCTTTATGCCCATCTTGCAAAGAATCTGTTTCGGTTTTGTCTATGTTAAAAAGCGCAGTGCGTTAATAGAAAAATCAAGTAAGAGTAACATTAACAAAAAAAAATATTAGTACACACAACATAATTTTTAGGGGAAGAATCATAATTTTGATCTGAACTTGAAACAATAAAGGATGTAATTCATGCGAATGGGTAGTAAACCTAAAGTATAATGCAATAGTTCTCACGTTATACAGTTGAAGACTAATTGCAGCTGGAATAAATTTTGTATTTTTTGAATGATCCTTTTTTCCCACGATAACATGATATACATACACAGAGAGAAAATAAAAGATGCCAAACACTTATAATTTCTCAAATCCTTGCTGCTGAGTGATATTTAGTGCTAGTAAAACATTGACTACATCTGGCACTGTCCTGGTTAGTGATGAGCAAATGCAAGGCGGAGACCAAGAATCCCTTTGTCTTGGTCTTGCACTTAACAAGTAGTCTTGGTCTAGGTGTTGGTCTTAGTTCAAGACTTGCAAGTCTTGCATTTTTTAAAATATTTTTTACTAGACGCACTTTCTATATAGAAAATATTTAAATAAATAGTCTTTTTAGTAATTTAATGCAAATAAAACTTAACTAAAAAGTTATTGGACGACAATTGACGACAATTTTTATTTTTCAATATGTTATATTGAATCAGCATTTCTTTCACAAACATTTTGAACAAATAAGTAATTTCTGTTATCCCATAAAAAAAACTGAAGAAAAGTAGCTAAGATACCCAAATAGTATAACCTACAGATTATTAAAAATTTCATTTTTCATAAGCGAAATTCATATTTTGAGATGCCGTTTTTAATTATTCTTGGATATTTTTTCGTGGCCAGTTTCGAGACCACCCATTAAACTATACAGGGTACTACTAATTATTGTACCCTACGTTCCTAACATACTTTCGCTGGACGGTCCTTTAAAATCCTCTTGAGGTATTTACTTTTCATTAATACTGGATTTGCCAAACATTTTCATAGAATTCGGACGATGAAATGCTTCGCATTTTTCATTCTCGGTCGCTCATAATTGCGTATCAATTTTATTATGATTCCAAAACATTTATCAAGACGTTTCGATAAAACCGACAATCAAAAAATACATTAGCCAGAAAGAAATGTGAATTTTTATAAAAAAAATTATATACGTAAAGCCTTTTGAACTTATTTTTTTTTAAAAATATACAGGGTGGTCCGAACTGTATTCAAGACACTTCGGCAGCTTATTCTGTAGACAAAAATAAGTAAAAAGTTTATATAAATGTATGTGCTAAAATGCTTCGTTTCGGAGATACAGGGTGTAGAAGTTTCATTTTTATTTCGATTTTTTTGCAAATAATTTCTCAACCAACGTCGATATTTATTGTTTTTAAAAAAGAAATTTAGAAATTATTTATAGAAAACAGAAATAAAAATGAAACTTCTACACCCAGTATCTCCGAAACGAAGCATTTTAGTTATTTTTATCTTATGAAAAAATTTTCTTTTTCTTTTTTTTTTATTAAGAATATACCTATTGCATAATCCAATATAATAATATTTGTAATGTGTTTGTAAATCCAATATAATAATATATACTATGTGCATATAGTGTTTAATTATTTAGGCTTTTAAACAATTTTCATCCTCATCAGAAGAATAAATAAAACAGTTAAAATTAATTTAAAATATTAGTAAGTATTGTTTTAAATAATGTTCGTATATCTAAAACTATGTCAACAGCATGGAAAAAATTAAAGTTGCTACAAATGGCACATGCATCTTATGTCTCAAACAAATGTTACACACGCGGTAAGGAAATATAAACATTTAACGGATTTTCAAATCACAGCTCCAGTTATTTGCTGAAATTATTTGTGTTAGTAGAGTACTCATTTTATTTGATATATCGACACAGAATTGTTTCACAGCAGCAACTAACCTAATTATTAACAAAAAAAAGTTATAATCTGATATTACAGGATTTCCTGATAAATGCATTTATAATAAATTCATGTTTGGTATTATTACTTAACTGTCAAAATACATATGAGTTAATATAAATATACCTAAAATTAAATTATTTCTAATAAAAATAATATCAAATTTTTACCGTCATGGGTCTGAAATTTCCTTGATATACGTTTTGACAGAATGAAATTTGAATTTATTGCTAGATTGTACGAATGATTATATTTTTAGCAAAGAAAATTATGTTCTTAGTATGTTTATAAAGAACGTAATATAAATGTAACTAAAGATTAATTATTTCTAATAAAAATATCAAATTCTTACTGTCATAGGTCTGAAATTTCCTTGATACACGTTTTGATAGAATAAAATATGAATTTATTGTTAGATTTTTTGAATATTTAATTTTTTTTAATTTTTAGCATAGAATATTATGTTCTTAGTATGTTTATAAATTTAACTAAAGATGAATTATTTCTAATAAAAAATATCAATTTTTTATCGTCATGGGTCTGAAATTTCCTTAATATACGTTTTAATAAAGTTAAGTATGAAACTATAGTTAGATTTTTCGAATGAATATACTTTTAGCATAGAAAATTATGTTCTTAGTATGTTTGTAAAGAATTTAATATAAATATAACTAAAGATGAATTATTTCTAATAAAAAATATCAATTTTTTACCGTCATGGGTCTGAAATTTCCTTAATATACGTTTTGATAAAGTTAAATATGAAACTATAGTTAGATTTTTCGAATGAATATACTTTTAGCATAAAAAATTATGTTCTTAGTATGTTTGTAAAGAATTTAATATAAATATAACTAAAGAGGAATTATTTCTAATAAAAAATATCAAATTTTTACCGTCGTGGGCCTGAAATTTTCTTGATATATTTTTTGATAGAATGAAATATGAATTTATTGTTAGATTTTTTGAATGAATATATGTTTAGCATAGAAAATTATGTTCTTAGTAGGTATGTTTATAAATGTAACAAAAGATTAATTATTTCTAATAAAAAACATCAATTTTCCTTAATATACGTTTTGATAAAATGAAATATGAATTTATAATTAGATTTTTCGAATGAATATATTTTTAGCATAGAAAATTATGTTCTTAGTATGTTTGTAAAGAACTTAATATAAATATAACTAAAGACGAATTATTTCTAATAAAAAATATCAAATTTTTACCGTCATGGGCTTGAAATTTTCTTTATATAGGTATATTTTGATTTTTGATAGAATGAAATATGAATTTATTGTTAGATTTTTGGGATGAATATATTTTTGGCATAGAAAATGATGGTTCTTAGTATGTTTGTATAAAACGTAATATAAATATAACTAAAGAAAAATTATTTCTAATAAAAATATGAAATTTTTTCCGTCATGGGCCTGAAATTTTCTTGATATTTTGATAGAATGAAATATGAATTTATTGTTAGATTTTTCGAATGAATATATTTTTGGCATAGAAAATGATGTTCTTAGTATGTTTGCAAAAAACGTAATATAAATATAACTAAAGATAAATTATTTCTAATAAAAATATGAAATTTTTACCGTCATGGGTCTGAAATTTCCTCGAGAAACGTTTTGATAGACACCCCCATGAGTTAGGTGGTGTCGAAATTTTGTGGGGGGATCTAGGGCTGCTGCGCACGTGGGATTCCTCATTGTTTCCGTAAAAAACACAACCACAAAACGGACAAATTGCAGATAACGCCAAAATCAGCCGGTCAGTCGCGACATTTTCCGGGGCTGGCGCTCGAGAACGATGTGAACAGCGCCTTAGCCGGCTGAGAAATGTTTTAAGGTCTTTTCGGTTCTTCTGCCATCGACTAGTGCTGGTGGAGAACTCCTAGTCACTACTGAGGACCACTACTACAGTCAACAACGGAATCTGAATAATATTCATTGTTTAAAAAACAACAATTATCCCATAAACCGCGTGCAATAAAATGTGATATAAATAAAAAAAAATCAGAAAAATATTCTGGCTTAAATGAGGCTTAACATATACCAAGAAGTATTTAAGATAGACAGTTAAGAATACCTATATGTATAATACTATATCACAATGTGACATACTGACTGCGTAATGAACAAATTTTTGAAACGGTAGTCGGAGTCCCCGGATAGCTGTACTTTATTGTAGTTTTGCGTGATGTTAAAATTGTCAGATCTGCCTATTTTTATGCTCTCGATTTGGCATGTTCTGCAATTAGATATCATTTTCTCATCATGTTGATACGAAATAATTCAACCTGTTTATCTAAACCAGAACTGCAATAATTATGCAAATTAAAACAGAAATTTGCTAAAAAGTTATTTAAAATACGTTCATACTTCTTTCTCTAATCCTTTAATTAGAAATAATAGTAGAAGACACCTTATATATTTTGAGAAATCAAACATGGAATGAATAATATTATTAAGGGTATTAATGCGAATTTTAAAACAAACTCATGATACTTATAAGGGCAAAATTAGGCTCATACATTATAAGCAAAGTTCAAATGGGCATTGAACTTTCAGTTAGTTCACTTCCTCTATGTCTTCGTAGGTTCGCGTCCAAGCTAACTTGTCCTTCTACTCCGTTTTAAATAGATTTGTTGCTCCTCATTGGTCAAAGGAATATTGTCTGTTATATACAATGTCTGACTCGACCAACCGCTAAATTAGAATCGTTTCTTTTACAACCAATAATAGTATTTTATTAATAATGACCAAATCAAGTTTTTTAAAAAAATACAATGTTGTATGAATTATTTCAAACTGATTTAATCACAGGTTTGTACAGAAATCACTAATCCGGATAATAATGATGCTTTGTTGTTTATCTTGCTGATTATCCAGTATGTTGAAATCGTTCTCGAGATATATTTTTTCGCACCATTCGTATAATATTTAGTAAAGACGAAACCGTTAGAACAAACATGATATAATTATTTAATAACAATTAAAAAATTACGAGAAGAGAAATTTAACGAACCGTAAGAAATAAATATTAAATAATTGTTATAAATATGCATTTTTTTCTTTTCCGGCTTCGTTTAACTGAAAATCCGCGATTTGAATAATTATATTTTGACATTAATAACATCTGTTTGATACAATCAGTTTAATGAAGTATTAGTCAATTTATGTAGGGGAAAAAAATAACAAAGTTGAAAATATTTATGTATATTTCATTTTTTAATGGCACAGTCTCATGTCAGTATTACGTTAGACCTGCACAAAACGGTTTTATACTATTTACAAAAAGAAAAACTGTAGTTTTACGAAAAACAAACCGTCCAGTAAGAAAACCAGTCGTAATTAAAAACAAAACAGTACTCGTTCAGCCGCAAAGACAAATTGAAATAAGATTCTACGTATATTTCTTTGAAGAAATGGCATCCATAATCCTCTGGAACGTTTGAGATGATACTCCAGACCACAAGTTCTGCCATGAAGATGGTTCATTTATCGACCTCGATCTGCCATAAAAATCATCATAATAGTCATAATCAGTGGTAATGACATTAAACTTGGCATAGTACACGGCAGCAAATGCTGAATAGATTAATAGGGCAGCAGTAACTAGCTAAAACATAAAAAAAAATAATTAAGTACCACCAAAATTTCCCATCAACAAAAAACACTATTATATATCTCGAACGTTGCATTAGCTTTAATATTACTCAGAAAAATAAGTTTCTTCAATTCAAGTTGTGGTTGCAAAGAATAAGCTACTATGTCGAAATAGTTTAATTAATACAACAATAAAAAAGCAAATAAAAAAAAACTAATTACAATTATTAGTAAAGAAGAGTTCCATTTCAGGAAGGCGTAGATCACTGTAACAATATTCTTAGTTAATACTATATATGGTCAGTCTTAAATAAGTGCAAATATTTTTATGGGTAGTATATTTCGATCCTAGAAACACGTCTATGAGTGTGTGAAAAAAAAATTTCAAAATTTTTTAATTGTAAGTTCAAAGACATATCCTGATAATAATATCCTGTTGGCAACATCGGTGGTAGATTAAATTTACAAGAAAGAAAATCCAGAAAAGATCCAGTGGTTCTCAAAATTTAACCAAAAAAATTTAATTTACAAAGTAAAATAATTCGGTTATGTTGGAGTAATTTGAAAAACGGTAAAGAGAAAATATGTTTCTTTTGTTGAGAACGCCAGCTCTGAAAATATTTGCACTTATTTAAGATTCACCCTGATATATCTTTCTTGGCTGTAATATTGGTGGAGAAATGAATACTATAACTAATTCTCTGCATCCACAGATAAATAAAAAATATTTTTAAAAAATATTTCAGTATGTGTATAGAGTTATAGAAAAAAAAAATGTTAGTATATTTTTCATAAGGAAATGAAGAAATAATATGTAAATATGACCTAGTGCCATTAGATATAATACAAGGTCAAAAATGTTTGAATACAATTGAAGGGTTGGCTGTAATAACCAGGCAGCTCCACTTTTTTTATGAAAATGAGATCTTTACTGAATTGCCCTTATAAAATAGCCCGATCGTCCTTTGCACCAATCAGGTATCTTCATTCATTCGGTTGTAGCAAGAACAAGGCAGCTCTTCGAGCTCCCTACTTTGGCTAGCAGAATTTGTTAAAATGGAGCTGCCTGGTTATTGCAGCCACCTCTTCAATTTTATATTGTACCTGAAAAACAGCCCAAAATTTAAATGAGCCCTCGTTGATTAAGAAGTCGTAATAGCCTTCCCAAGGGTCGTCTTTAACTGCTTTCTGCTCCTCCTTTTCTTTCTTTGGTTCAACATGGTGATCATCGTGATACACAATATCGTCATCCATATTCATCCCTCTAGATTTTCTATAATTTTCTTTTTCCTCGTCGTAATCCTCCAACCCTTGTTCGTAACTGGCGTGGAAATAGCAAAGTTTCACAAGAAGTTCTGGGATATTTTAAAACTTTAATAAACTCTTACCGTGATTTCTCTGAGGTGCTTTGTGTGTGAATATCTGTAGTAGCTATCATTTTTGTTGATTCTGTGGTTGGTGGAGGAATCGTTGAACAATACACAAAAACTAACGAAAATCCAAACAAGGAGTAACAAGCGAACACTTTGTAATACATTTTTAGTCAAAATTGGAAAACAAATTAACTCCGAACGCGAACAATATCTAGCAACATGAATACGGGGTAAAGTTTCTAAACAGTACTTCTAACAGTTGAAGATGTCACTATACAAAAGCTCGGCAATAGCTATGACCAAGGTGTGATAATTATTATTATTTGGCACATGTTAACTTAACGGAAATATATGCCTTATTGTAATAATATAAAGGACAAACAATACCAGTCCAGATGATGAGCCCCATATCTAAATTATGGAGAGCAAACTTCTATATAATTCCATCTAATATACCGTAAGATTTCATTAGTGTCACCTTTTTGGAAAATTTATTTCTATTTAAACAATAAATAACAGTAAAATTTGTGTTACAGATAAGAAAATATGCTACAATTTAAATTAAAGCAGATTTGGTGCTAATTAGCAAGGGATGCATACTAATGTCACGCATGTTTAAAAAGACTGTTATATTAGGAAAAGAATAACTTCAGGCATTATACAATAGGTTCAAATTAGTCTTTTATTTATTAATTTAGTTCTGTCACATTCCTTTTCCCTCTCAGTTATCCTAGTTTGGAGGAAGTAAAAAATTTATATTCATTCATATCTAAATGTACGTTTGTTGATTTTTTTTAACCTCGCCTATGTTAAATTCCAAAGATGGTATTAAGATTGACATGAGATTTTAAGTTATTGTTTTTTTTAATTAAAATAGTAAATAAAACCAAAGGATATTCTGTTGGTACGATATCTATATGTATATCATACTATTCAGGTTTATATTTTTAAATGTATTTTTTTCTTAATAGTAATATAGAATAAAACAGGGGGTATAAAAGGTTTACACAAATTTTATTATTCAGTTCTACATAGCTATACAACTTTTCCATATTTTTCGGTTGTGTCCTTAAGTGCTACAGAAACATTTCTATGTATATCAGAAATATGGTCCTCTCTGGCGCTGTTCAAATCCAAACTTCGTGCCTGTTTAGCGTTGATGTCGTGTTCGTACCATTTGTACTTAATTTTAACCTTATGCCTAGCGATCGACTTGATTATCAAAACTGTTACGTAAATAATGAAGTAAACACTGAAGTATAAAGGAATGTACCATGCAATTCTACCTAAAAAATAGTAGCTGTAATGCGTCGTACTGACTCGTTTGTCTTCTTTAGCAGGAGGCATTGTTGTGTGGGGTATTTCTTCGTAAACGTGGTTGTCATAATGATGATGGTCGTACAAATAATCTGGAAATGCGTGCTTGTAACCATGTACAGGTGGCGGTGCAAGATCCATGCTATCCTGCTCGTGATCATTCGCCTTCGGTTCATCTTTCTCTGGCATAGGATCTGGCGCCGGAGCCGAATCTTGCCCATGATCATCTTTCATTTCATGATTGATCTGATCTTTCGGAAAATCCGGAGGGTAATATACGTCATCGATTCCTTTAGGAGGATAGTCTGGAGGACCTTCGTCATGGTTTTTATACATCGCCATTGGGTCTTCTACAGGAGCGTCTTTCTGGTCATAATCCCGAGGTCCGTCATGGCTTCCATACGAAGCAAAAGGAGGTCCCAACGACGCATAGCTATCTGCGTTTGCTTTAGGACTTTCCGTAGAGGAGCTACTGCTTTTGGTCGGAGGCGGAGGAGGTGCCAGACCAGCATTGTCATCCGAATTGATCGGTGGGAATTGGTCTCCGCCAGCTGAGTCATCTTGCTTGAAATCTGGAGGGTTATATGAAGTAAAAGGTGAGTCGTATAAACTTGAGACTGCTCGAGGAGGTGGAGCGATTGGTGAACTTGGTGCTGGTGGAGGTGCCTGAACCGCAGCAGGGGCTTGCACAGCTGGTTTTGGGGCAGAAGGTGGCCCATACGATGAAGAGAGTTTGTTCTTGTACGCGAACAACGGTCTAGCTTCAAACCGGTCTTGAGCCTGTTGAACTATCACCTCTCCTATCCCTGGAACGTGTTCTATTTGCTTATCTATTTTGGCATCCGGCTTTTGATAGACGGGATAGTGATAAACCACTGAAGGGGTTTTCTTTTTCGCTGTTGGACTTATACTCTTCGACGACTCTATCCTGAATAGATTAATTACAAGTTATTACAGAGAAAAGTGGAAATAAAATCAGAATAAGTTACCTATGGTTCTGCATATTTCGTCCTGAACTTCTAGCTCCTTCGATTCCTGAATCTGTTGTGCCCCACTTTGATACTGTCGCGTATTTAGAAATAACCGATGAATTGAAAGGAATACTTGAACTCTTCCCTATAATAAGCAACAGCAAAATAAAACCCGACAAGTGTTTCATTGTACTTCTAACGCGACAATGAAAAAATAACAAGAGTTTTTTTAACTGTAGCTGTGACCAGCTCTTGATGAACACTGATGTGATATAGATAATCCAAAAGTGACGTTTCAGACTGGATCACAAATATAACACTTGAGGTGATAATTACTTAGAAATTGGTGTTACAGTTATGTATAGTCTCTGATTATATATCGGTTGACCCATGTTAAACATCGACGTGTTTTTTATTCATTTGCACAATCAGTGTGTAATTTCTATGTTGAATATATAGAACAAGTTTGCTTTTCAATTTGGAGAATAATTAGAACACACTGATCTAGATTTATGTAAAGAATGTTAATAGATAAAACAGTTCAAATAACTTTTTTAGACTTTAGAATATGCATATTTGGTATTAATACGAGATATTGCACTACCAGAAAAATTTTATAAGGAATATAATATTTAAAAACGCGCACAAATAATTGCGCGCCAACTTTATTTAATACGGAGACGAATAGGATAGGCAGCTCTGAAAGCAGTGCTCTTTTCACGTCAGATGGAAAAGTATGTAATATTCATTTTTGATTAGATCAATAACGAGAAAATAATATTAAATCAAATATTCTTTCCTTCAATTTCCTTAATATTACAAATTTATAATCAAATAAGTAATGATTCAGATAATAAAAATATAGATTAGGCAACTAATTATACGCGAAAACAGATGCTCTGTCAAATCCACAGAACGTCAATCCATTCTTCTTCCCGGTTATGGCGGTTATGTCAAAATTGATTTTTGAGACGGGGGTGTTTTAGTTCAAAATAATAAAGAAAAAATGAATAGATAAAACGCCAATGTTTTATGGCATTAACAGGCCTATAAAGGCAACTTAAGTTAGAGCTGCGATATCAAAAAGAATCATAAAATATGGCTATGGTCAAGGCTTTTCGTGTTTTTGAAAAATCATTACCACCCAGTCCACATAGTGTATTATTGGAGCACAAAGCTAAAGAAAACACTTTGCTATTTGAGTCTGAGGCAGTGGCAGTACTTTGTAAGTCCATTTACTAAAATACAAACGCTTTATAACCTGATTTACCGTTACTTAAGTGTTATTTCTTAAGAGGTAAACACATTGTCAAAAGGTCGAATTATGTTTTTAGCTGCCCAGGAGACAGACGCAGTTAAAAAGCAATATACTAAAATTCTTGATGCATATGGTAGCTTGGGAGTTCTGCAATTATATTCTGGAGAGTCAACATTGCTGTACCTTGTTATGGTAACTGGTTGTTTCTCAATAGGAAAGATCGGTGATACTGAAATATTTCGAATCACACAGACACAATTTATCTCACTACATCATCCACAAAATGAAGACAAAGTAGCTGAAGTAAGTTTATAATAATAATTTCTAATCAATATCAGATTTTACATTAGTCTGATAATATTATAGAAGGTATAGGAGAAAAGAGTTAAAACACTGATTTTTTAGGTGAGAAAACTATTAAATTCTGGCACATTTTACTTTTCTTGGTATTCAGGGCCTCCAGGAGGTTCTGCCTTAGATCTGACTTTGTGTGCTCAAAGAAGAACAAAAACAACAACAACAGATCATAGATTTTTTTGGTATATTAATGTAATTTAATTATAAAAGAAAGTTTATATGTTTTTATTGTAGGAATCGATTGCTACATGTGCATTTAGTAAGATTTGGGGTTGACTGTAATTCTTGGTTGTTAAGGGCAATGTGTGGTTCTGTCGATTTACGTACTGTCTATGTTGGTTCTAAAAAAGCTTTAGCATCAGTTATATCAAGACTCAGTTGTGAAAGGGCAGGCACAAGGTTGCTATAATCAGCTTATTACTCTATATTGTAAATATTAACTAAGATTGTAATTACACAGATTTAATGTTAGAGGGACAAATGATGAAGGCCATGTAGCAAATTTTGTTGAAACAGAACAAGTAATATATTTAGACAATGAAATATCATCTTATGTACAAAATAGGGGCTCTGTACCTTTATTTTTTGAGCAGCCTGGTGTTCAGGTTAGTATCAAATTAAATAAATAAACGATAACTATATTAATGCATTTTGAATGGACAACATAATTTTAAAAAAAAATCACTTTAGGTTGGTTCTCATAAAATTCGCATATCTAGAGGGTATGAAGCATCAAAAGCTGCTTTTGATAGACACATGCAGATGATTAAAGAAAGATATGGCAAACAGGTTATTGTAAATTTATTAGGGACTAGCCTCATTGGCAGCAAAGAGGGTGAAGCTACCCTAAGTCAAGAATTTCAAGTATATATTCAATCTATAGTTTTTAGCTTAATTATAAACTGATATTTTTTAGAGACATCATAAAGAGTCCAATCATTCAGATGTTCCTCATGTGGTGTTTGATTACCATCAAGAAATTAGAGGAGGAAATCAAACAAGTTTACAAAAATTAAAAGCTAAAGTTGAGCAACAGTTACAAGAGTTTTCCTATTATCATGCTGATGGCAATAATATTTATAGTTTGCAAACTGGAACCATCCGCACTAATTGTTTAGATTGTTTGGATCGAACAAATTGTGTACAAACCTTTTTTGGCTTGGAGGTAATTCTAAGTATATGAAATTGTGTATGTTTTCTACTTAAAAAGTTTAGATTTTAGCTAAACAGCTGGTAGCTATGAAAATGATGGACAAGAAAAATACTATATCCAGGTTTGAAGAAGTTTTTAAGCAAATGTGGATAAACAATGGAAATGAAATTAGTAAAATATACGCTGGAACCGGTGCTATACAAGGCGGATCTAAAGTATGTTATTTTTTTAATGCAGTTTTGACATTAATTAAAATGTATTTTTTTTCAGATAATGGATGGAGCTAGGTCTGCTGCTAGAACAATTCAAAATAACCTCCTAGATAATTCCAAACAGGAGGCTATCGACATTTTATTGTTGGGATCAACACTTTCTACAGAACTAGCTGATAGAGCTAGAAATTTGTTACCATATAATACTTTACATGGTAAGGTCAATGTCCAATATTTTTTTTTTACTCTAATAGTTACATATTTTAGCTCCGCCACGTGTTTTAAGAGAAGTGTGCAATAGATTTGCAGAATACACTGAGGCATTACCAATTAGAGTGGCTGTTGGTACTTATAATGTAAATGGAGGCAAGCATTTTCGCAGTTTAGTATTTAAAGACATTAAATTATCAGACTGGTTACTGGACAACCACAAAAACAATGAAAGCCTTGTGGACACAAGCCACTCGGATATAAACAGAATGACTCCTGTTGATATTTATGCGATAGGGTTTGAAGAAATAGTTGATTTAAACGCAGCGAACATCATGAATTCAAGTACTGAAAATGCCAAAGCCTGGGCCATAGAGCTGCAAAAAGTTCTCTCAAGGGACTGTCCCTACGCCCTGGTTACATACCAGCAGTTGGTTGGCGTTTGCCTGTATGTATTTGTAAGGCCAGAACATGTGCCCTATATCAAAGATGTTGCTGTAGATTCTGTAAAAACTGGTTTAGGTGGTCACACAGGTAATATAATTTATTTAGTTTTAGTTGAGCTGTTATTTTTGAAAATGGTATATGTCCAATTTTTAAAAAAATTAATTAATGGTAATTTCAGTAAGATATAGACACATTCTTTCCATATTTATAATCATACATTCAATGGAGTACGGAATTTTGACTATAAAATGTCAAAAAATATTATCAAACATTTTTTTTGAAAGTAAAATAAGTCCATTCCTAATAATTATAATTTAAACAATTTTCTTTTTGCAATTATTATTGATTATTGCTACTTCAGTGTACGCTGCTCAAGTCTATAAAATGCAATAAAGGGTTGTCAAACAAAAAGTTTAATTTTGTATAAAATGAAAAGAGAAGACTTTGTCTCAACCAAATCTCTAGAAGAGTTGAAATGAAACATAAAAAAATAGGGACGGGAACTTTGTAAACTGGCTTAAAATATGTTTGATGAGGTTTGAAAGGAATGAACCTCAACATTTTTTTATAAATTAGTATGGAAAAATGCTCTACTTAAAACAATTTTATTATTTGAAAAAAATGGAAGGCCAAAAAACCTAAGCAAAATTAATATGTTACCACTTTATATATAACTTTAAGGAGCATAAAAAGAGAGAAATATAACGATATGATAAGTTTATTACCATATATACCACCTATTCACCATAAATACACTATTATCGAAAAAAACGACGTTAGCGATGGCCATGAAATAAATATATATAAAATATATTTTAATTTTATTTAAAGATCTACGAAATAATTTTCATTTTTATATTTTGAATATAACTGAAATTAATTTGAATAAACTTGGTTATTGGCATGTTATTGGTGTATTTAAATTCTTCATTTTAATTATTACTTTTTAAGTAAAAAATCCATTTCAGTAAAGCTAATGTCTATAAAAATATAGACTTAGTTATTCCTGTTTTTATTTCTTGTAATATGTTATTTTTGAAAGTGATTTAAGTCCATTTGGAGTTAAAAAAATCGTTAATTTTCTGTAAGAATTGTAATTTCATAATAAAATTTAAAAGATGTATAGTGCTAATATGATCACTCAAAAAAATTAAGATTTACGAATATTTTAAATTAATTCAAATGCAAAACCTGAAATATCTCGATACATGGAAAAATGGACTTATACCACTGGCAAAAATAACAGCTCAGTTAATACAAAGAGTGATTATTAAGGAGAAATTTTTAATAATTTATTAGGCAATAAAGGTGCTGCTGCAGTGAGACTAGTGTTTCATGCAACTTCTCTTTGCTTTGTTTGTGCACATTTTGCAGCTGGACAGTCCCAAGTGAACGAAAGAAATGCGGATTACAATGAAATCACTCGAAAAATTACATTTCCCATGGTAAAAAATATAAATTCTTATAATTTTCGGTTTATAAAATGTTGCTTTTTTTAGAGCCGTTCTTTAAATGCACATGAGTATCTATTTTGGTGTGGAGATTTTAACTACAGGGTTGACATGGATAAAGATGAAATAAAGGAATATGTCAAACAGGGCAATTTTCCCCCTATTCTCGCTAATGACCAGCTGAAGGTGAATATCAGAAGGATATAATTTTAAGTCATTTACTTTTTTTTATTACTAGAAACAACAAGAGGAGGGAAATGTGTTCAAAAACTTCATAGAGGGTGAAATAACGTTTCCTCCTACCTACAAGTACGACCTATTTAGTGATGACTATGACACCAGCGAAAAATGTAGAGCGCCAGCTTGGACTGACAGAGTTTTATGGAAAAGAAGGAAACAGCCTCCTGAGATGAATGGGTTCGCTGATAACTGGTCCCCAGGGCGCTTAGTTCATTATGGCAGGGCCGAGTTAAAACAGAGTGATCACAGACCTGTGATTGCCATTGTTGACATTGAATGCAGGACCTTGAACGTAGATAAACGTCATAAAGTTTTCTATGAGGTTATTAAGGATTTGGGACCTCCTGATGCCACTATCATAGTACATTGTGAGGGTAAATTGTATTAAATATCTGAAATTTTGTAAGACATTTTATTATTTTCTTTTAGATGAAAGAGATCAAGAAGAAGGAACTGTGTTCGATGATAATATGGTCATGATACTTTTAGAAGAATTTACACAATTTGGAGACACAATTTTGGTTAGATTTGTTGCTGACACTATGTGGATTACTTTTAGAGATGGAGAAACTGTTTTGGAGGCTATGAAGAAAACTAATGGATCTTTAATGGTAAAATTATTATTAAAGTTCCAAGTAAAGTAAATTAATTTATGACCGTTTTTAGATTCAAGACTATGAATTTACATTGTCTTTGAAAACTCCTGATTGGGTTGAACAAGCCAAACAGGAGATTGGACTCTGCTCAAGCAACACCATTCCCCTATATTCCGTACCCAGTCAATCTGACTATAATTGTAAGATTAAAAAACCATTTTTTACAACAAAAATACATATTATATTTGCTCATTACAGGTCTGGGAATTCCTGAAGTCCTAAAATCGGTGCCCCCAAGACCATCGCCTCCCAGTCGGCCTCCACCCCCCTCTGTGAAAACCACCCCCACACCATCACCCGTTAAAAAAACAGCTGCCAGGGCTGGTGTTATAAGCGTTATACCAGTAAAACCAGCTTCACCTGTATCGCCAATGGCCGCTACACCTTCGGGCCCTCCTAATATGCCACCCCCGGAATTGCCTTCGATGCCATCCCAGGATCAGGACGGAGGAATTTACGAAGAAATCAACGACGACATTATATCCATTCCAGAACCACAAGGTACATTCCATTAGGGCTCAAACACACTGACGACCAGGTCGCACCGGCCAGGCCGCACCTACCTCTACTACACTAATGTCCTGGCCGTCCGTTGGTCGTTGCGGCCAGAAGACTGCACGGAATATTATTATTTTCTGCCGCTTGTTGCCGGTTTTCTTCCAAATTAATAATTTTTCAGATGAAATCCCTCAAATTCAAGGCACAATATTTTATTTTCTATAAGATATAGTGTTTTAGTGTAGTTTTTGCACACGTGCAGAAAATCCAAAGAAATAGTATACAGACTGGATCAAAGGTAAACTTAAATCTAGTCCTTTTTTTTATAAAGGGTCGATTCTAGTAAAAACTCAAAACATTTTTATATGACATAGGTACCTACTCTATTTATGGTTGGTATGATACCTGTTATTATACCTTTGAATTTCGATGTTTAAAAAATAAAAAAATTAATATTTAAAGTTTTTCTACAACCACTTGTTTTTTTTATTAAATTAGTTTTTTTAGTTGTATTGTAGTCATGTACAAGGAGGACAACTGTATTTTAAATATGATATTTAATTTAACGTTTTTCAAACAGGGTTCATTAGACTATATTTCTACTAGGTACATTATCTTGAAAAAAAAATTAAGAAAGTAACTTAATCATTCATAAAAATAGAAGTAATTATACTGTTGTAGATTCTTCATTATATTGTAAACATTGAAATAACTGGAAGCTAAACTTTCTACCTGCTTATATTTAGAGCCAGTGTCTGACGATCTTTTTTTACGATGGCCCTAATATGTTTACTTCTAAAGTCGATAAGGGCGCCATATCGGTAGAAAAAAGAAACAGAATAGCTCCCTTTTTGTCGGTCGCGCGTACATAATGCTTTTTGTTTGTTGTGAATAGCAACTTCGCTTTTTAGTTAACTCGGATATTTTAACATTTCTGAAACAATATTTTCTAATTGGTAAAACGTAAAAAATCGTTAGATTTGACAACTCTGTTGAAACTGGTCGTTCATCTGGCCGCAGCTAAAAACGCTATACATCTGGCCAGCCGACGGCCAGGTCGTTGCGACCTGGTCGTCAGTGAGTTCGAGCCCTTAGTCATTGGGACATTTTATAATGGTGTTTAACTGGTTGTCTACATTCATTTGTCTAATATATACTCTATCAAGTCCTAGAAGATAATTGAGAATTAAAGTTTTTTAATGTTACTTAATTAAAATAAAACAAGCTGGAGAAGAAAACTTGACACAATGCTTTATTATATTTTTAAATTGTATAATTGCAAATTAAAGTAACTTAAAATACAACTTTGGTCATTTTTAAGAATGTTTATTTATACTTTTTTGTATTTTTTATCTCTAAAAATATTTGAAATGTTAGATATAAATTGGTTCATCGGTACATTCTTCTTCGTCATTAAGGGATTTGTTGACTTCACATTGCCGATTAATAGTGTTTTCTTTGATTTTTATAAAAATTATGGTATATAGGCGGGATAAAGGGAAGAAGACCTTTCATGTGTTGCCTTTTAGAGTGTATTACGTTACGCCTATATGAAATTATAAGATTTTTCTTCCCTGTGCAGTTTTATTCAGATCAACAACATGTCAGATATCAAAGTAAACAAACAGCCTAACTTATTGATGTAGTAATAGTGAAAATAACGATAAATCAAACTATACTTTCAGAATCGATAGAATCAGACCTTTCATATGACTGATAATCTGATTCACTTGGTGCAAATGGTTCACACTTTGTTTGTCATCCATTTTATGAAAAAAATATTTTTCTAGCCCTAAACTTTAACACGTGTGTTAATATCACGCACAGCGTTATTTTATGGACTTGATCCAGTTCACTTCTAAAAGGAATCAACAGAATATTCAGGAACCAAACAGAAACAGGCTATAGCTGCTTAATGCGTGAAGTATGACTTGATTCATTTCTCTACTGAATACAATATTTTATAAATGTAATAAAAACTATTATCTTAAAATAGTAGGAAATTGGACTTGATCCATTTTAATTCTGACCACTCCATATAGATGGAATGAATATGTTTTAAATTATTAATTTGTTTTAGGTCCGCCGCCGCCCCCGCCTAGGCCGGAGCCTGTGCCGCCCGCTGCTACCTCTAGGCCGCCCCCCGTGCCTGCTAGATCGGCGCCGCCTCCGCCTTTGCCCGCCAGGCCCCGCCAATAGTTCTTCGCCCGGGATGTTAATCAATCCTATCACATTTATTTGAAGAAGTTTCTTTATAGGACATTCCTAATCATTTTAGCTAGCGTTTTTCTTTACGAGATATGGAGACAAACGATCGTAATGAGCGTAAAAGGTCCCACAAAACCCTGGTACGCCAAAAAATGATTTCTCCATTGTTATTAGATCTTTTTCTTGCCTTTCTATCTGTGAATATTCTTTGGCTGTTAACTTACTTTTTAAATAGATATTTAAGTGATACATAAGAATCTTTTTTTTAGAACTCGGTCCTATAATAAAATATGTCGAAATATAAGTCAGCATATTTTGGGGTAGGCGTTGTGTCATGATATTTATGAAAATCATTGTAGTATAAATAAAATACCGATTTGATAGTGTGTATGATCTTATTTATTGTTAGAATGTTATTTAATTGGAAAAGCGGTATATAAAAATGCTAACGGCACAACGCAATAATGTCTTGAACGACTTAAATACAATAATTAGAAAATTACATCAAGCCAATTTAAAAATTATTGAAGTACGATTATAGATTGTTTTAGTAAAATAAAAATTATGAATTTCTAAGAGTATATTTACTATGTAGAAAGATTTAAAAAAAGAACAAAAAATATATATTTTTTCTTTTTTTTTGTTACATTTTAAATGAATTTTATAAATTTTCCTATTTTGTTCAACATGCCTTAGTTCCTTTGTTATTTATAAATATTGATGAATTAGAAGACGGAAAGAATTAATAAAATGCTTACAGTCTAACATTAGAAAAATCTATTAAAGTTATGTTTGCTGGAAAAAAGTTATTTATGTATTGTGTTATGACAAGTTATATGAAGCATATCTAGGAGTAAAATATATTACCTATCATCATGAAAAAGTGTCTTATTTCTTTCCTTTTCCTTGGATTCCTGTATAGAAGAAAAAGTAAATAATAGAAGAATATCATTTCTTAAGATTATGTAGATATAAAAATGTTTCAAACTATTGTAACACCGGTGACGGACGCTTCTAAAAATAAGCCTGTTAGTTTTGAAGAAAACTTAAATCTTTCGGTGCTATTTGTTTGTCGATTTCCGCCATGGCAATCGTCGCCTTCAATGTAAAAGTTACGAAAAAAAACGTCACTTTGCTCCCAAATTAACCGAAATGGACTTGAAAAATCCCCGGAATAAGAAAAAAATAAGGACAGAAATAGATGGATGCCCAAACTAGAAGCGGAAATGCGAGAAGAACTGTGAACCTACAGTCATGAGGGCCGCTTTGGTGTCATCGCCAAGAGGTAGTTTTAATCACCGCAGTTCCGTACCTCTAGGAAATATTACTTCACAGGCAGATTAGCCCTTCGTACACGTTATTTCCTCTTTTATTTTAAGCTTTCAAGATATACATATATTTTCACATAGATAAGAATTTTGAAATTTAAATATATCTACTCGAAAAAGAATGAAATGAATTATTGTATATGGATTTTTTTTTTAATATTTAGAAAACATACAGGGTCCGGCAATAGTGCGTCGGGCATCTGTAGCTCCTAGAATAAAAAACTTGAGAATTTTGTTTAAGTGCAAACCTAAACTATGTACCAGGATGTATTTAAGGAAAGTATTTTAACTTCTATAGGGTGGCTCAAAAAAGTGCGAGTGGACCTTGATGATTTTTTTTAAAATGGAACACCCTGTATATTATTGCATTTTTGGCTTCCTTTCGGGTCACTTTACATAATCCGAAGATATGAATAAACACATTTTAATAGTTTCAGAGATATTAAAAAATAAATCAAAAATATATATTTTACAGCCCTTCTTAAAAAAATTATTAAAAATACAAGAAACGTTCTGAAATCAAAACTATATTAGGTATCTACTTTAGATGGTCTATACTTACTTTGCTATAAATATGAAAATCGTAAATTATACAGGATGTTTAAAATTCTACGCCAAACTTACTGAAATATAAAATAATTTTTCTTGGTTATTTTAAATGGAACACCCTGTATATTATTTTCTCAATAGACGGAGAATTAAAAAATGAACATTTTTTGTATTTAGAGTATTTCAAAATTTTTAACAGTTTCGCAGATATTTGCGGTTTTATATTTTATATGGCATTTTCCACAGTAAATTTTTATCAAAGCCACCCAATGATTTTTTCTCGTATTTTACCATTGAAAGCGCCATATGAAATAATACTGCGTGTATCTGCGAAACCGTTAAAAATTTTGAAATACTTTAAATACAAAAAATGTTCATTTTTTTACTCTCCATCTAATAAAAAAATAATATACAGGGTGTTCCATTTAAAAAAACAAAGAAAAAATATTTTATATTTTAGAAAGTTTGGCGTAGAATAGTAAACATCCTGTATGATTTACGATTACCATATTTATAGCAAAGTAAGAACAGACCATCTAAAGTAAATCTATCGAAATATATTTATTCATATCTTAGGGTTATGTAAAGTGATCTGAAAGGAAGCCAAAAATGCAATAATATAAAGGGTGTTGCATTTAAAAAAAATCATCCAGGTCCACACACACTTTTTTGAGCCACCCTATAGAAGTTAAAATATTTTCCTGAAATACATCCTGGTACATAGTTTAGGTTTGTACTTAAACAAAATTCTCAAATTTTTTATTCTAGGAGCTACAGATGCCCAACGCACTATTGCCGGACCCTGTATAACAACGGTATACAATCAACTATTCAAATTATTAAATGCAATTTTTAAAAATAAATTATTTATTTCGGGAAAAAAGTTTACAGTAAAATGTTTGAGGAAATATCTTTCTCTAAGTAAAAAAAAATAATAACGATAAACCTATTGGTATATTTGCGTTCTAAATATATCGTCGATTGGAAATTGTCGATTATTTTTATACTTCCGTTGAGAAGTACCTCAGTTTTTAATTTGCGTAGAGGAAACCAACTACGTATCCAACAATTTTCAGTGTTCATTCAACCACAATTTTATTATAAAAGTATAAATGATTTAAATTTTTAAAGAAGAAAATCGCAAATTTTCACGACTATATATATATATGAAAAAAAACCGAAAATTACCATTTTAGGCTATTTTACACATTTTCAAAGGCCTTAGAAAAATAGTAATCATAGCCAAAAAATAATGAAAATTTCAGAATTTGTAGGAAATTTTATGTAGATTCAGAATATATACTTTTACCTTTAAAGGCTATCCTAGTTTTGTTATAAAATTAATTTTTTGGACCCTTATTATTTTGAGTTATTTTTGATGATGATTAAAACGTCTCCTACATCCATTACTGTTCTCGCAAGACTATACACACACACACACACACACAATAGCCTATATTTCTTATTCTCCAACTTTTAATTCATAAATAACAGCAGTTTCAACAAAATCGGAGACACGACGAAAATCGCCAATTTTCACGACTGAATAAGCCTTCTGAAGCCGAAAAAATTACCAAATTTTTGGCCATATTTTACACATCTTCAAAGGCCTTAGGAAAATAGTAATGACAGCCATAAAATTACGAAAATTTCATTGTTTGTAGGAAATTTTGTACGACGCGACGATGGAAAAAAGACAAAAAATTACCAATTTTTGGATATTTTTACACATATTTAAAGGCCTTAGAAAAATTGTAACCATAGCCATAAAATTATGAAAATTTCAGCGTTTGTAGGAAATTTTATGTAGATTTAGAATATATACATCTATAAAGTTTTGGATATCTTGGTTTTGTGAGAATATTAATTTTTTGGACCCTTGCATTGAACTATTTTTGATGAGGGCTAAAACCTCTCCTACATCCATTTCTGTTCTCGTAAGACTACTATGGCCAACATTTTCTTATTCTACGCCTTTTATTAGTAAATAACAGCAGTTTTTTACAAAAACGGTGCCATGACTCATTAACATAAATTTTTTCCCCGCTTTTCTACTCTTTTTTATACAAATAGCAGTCCTTCCTAATAAGTCTTTAATCTAAGTAATTTATATCGAGTTGTTTTTTTAATAGGTATATTTTGGAAATGATTGCTAATAGAATCTTACAATAATTATCAATGAAAACTGTTTTGTCGTAAAAAATCGAACCAAAAAGAAAGTAAAAAATTCAATTGTGATTTCAAAAACGAAATATATCGATATGTAGGATGCAAAACTTATCGGTATTCACGACACAAACACCAAACATAGCTTTAATTTTTACTACTGCTTGTTTAGTAGCCATTTTTATTTTATTTCATACCCAGAATATATATTACTACATGCCATTGTATAATCTGGAGGCAGCAACTGTCGTATGCCCCGTAGTAAGCAGAGGAAGAATAATGCCTTCCTTTATAGTGATTGTGAGAAGAATATTTTTTTGAGAGGATCATTTGAAGCGTCATATTCTTTGAATTTTTTAGTTTATGTATATAGTGAATTTGAATAGATTATAAAAATAAAATTACGTCATATACCTATATGATGAAGAGATAAGTTAATTAAGGAGACTACAAATATGATCTGTTTATCCAATATTGATTTTATTTGACATTAATTGTCTATTCAAATCTATATGATTATTTTCATAATAGTCATTCTATTTAAAACAGTTGTATTTTGACCTACATCTATAAGAATCTTTGCAGTAAGCATCCACCTGGCGTCTAACCTTAACACTGATACTTGTGAACTGGACGTGCAAATAAAAACATAAAGGAATATGATGGCATTTTGTTATATTTTGGCACGATGCCTTTAAGAAACTGTTCAACTATTCAGAGAACGGTTAAGAAGAAAAGTAGAAAAATATTTCTTTATTTTGTACCTTCAAAGGCTTTAGACAGATAGTAATCAGAGCACTAAAATTATGAAATTTTCAGAATTTCTAGGAAATTTTATGTAGATTCAGAATGTATACAGGGTGAGTTTTTTTTGAATAAGTGTAAATATTTTCAGGGCTGGTAGATCTCGATAAAAGAAGCATATTTTCTCTTTACCGTTTTTCAAATAAATCCAAAAATTTACCAAAAAAATATATTGGTTTTGTGAGGAAATCAATTTTTTGAACTTTTGTTTTTTATATTTGGGATATATATATCGGGTATTTGTTTCGGCGCCGTCGTGCGAAATAAGGGTAGGCGCCTTTCTCCAATCTATACTAATATTATTGAGGCTAGAAAGTTGCCTTCTAGCCTCCATAACTAATATATATATATATATATATATATATATATATATATATATATATATATATATATATATATATATATATAAAATCCTTAAGTGACTGACATACTAGCTTTTTTCGTTTTCCTGTTATTACCGATTCTGAACCGTCCTAGAATTGTGATGCGTCTGCGCAGAAGGAAATATGAAGACATTATTTCATTTGCGCATGGGCTGGAGAGTTCTAGGACGATTCTGAATCGATAATAACAGGAAAACGAACAGACCTACTGATTAATCACGATACTGCTCAAACCACTCAACGTAAGAAGCTCAATTTTGGCATACAAGTTGATTCTAGGATGTAGAGGTTCGATAAGAAGAGATTTTCCGAAATTCCAGTTCCAAGAGGGTAAAACCACCCCTCAAATATTACAATATATTTTATTTAAAAAACGGTCAAGTTTCCGAAAAATCGCTTGAACACCTATATTTTATTTTGTTTTTTTACATATTTTAAGATTTTTTAAAAATGTATACAGGGTGTTTCGAAAAATCTGGTCATTGATTAATCACGATCCTGCTTAAAGCGCTTGACGCAAAAAGCTGATTTTTGGAAAACGGATTGAATTTAGGGTGTAGAGGTTCGATAAGAAGGGATTTTTCGAAACTCGAATTCTAAGGGGGTGAAACTATCCCTCAAATATTAAAATATTGCTGACATAAATG